CTGAAATCATTGCTGGAAATTCGAGTGGATACTCATTCTTTACAAACTTCACTGTATTGATTTTTGGCTTTTCGTTTAACAGATTCTCTGATTGTTTAACTTTAAATAATTTCTTTAAATCATAATTACCATCATACCATTTGTTTAACATCCTTTCGATGTCTTCAATCTCGGGTTTTTCAATGACTAATTTGTATTCAGTATCTGAATCAAATTGTCTCAATTCATAGGGTCTTTGTGGTCCTTTGGCTTTGATGATTAACTCGGTATACTTAATCACATTTTCACCAAGGATGATATCATTTGAAAGATCTTTAATCACATACGCAGCTAATAGAGTTGATTCATTTCCTTTATGAACTCTGAGAGGTATGAATGAATTACACTGAACTGGAGCTGAATTGATTGCTTGAAATTTCAAGTCATAAGGATAAGCAAGAAAACCTAATTTGCTTGCAACACTTTGATTAATCAATGTTGTACATGCTCCTGTATCAATTAAACCTCTTATTGTATTCACACAATTGTTTGCGATTATCACATCAATCATCGGATGTCTTTGATCGTCTCTATTAGAATTTGTAGTATTAAACACTTTAGCTGTATGGATGAAGTGACCTTCATCCTTACTAGCTGGATTTTCACAATCAAAATAACTAACATTATTTCCCCTTTGATTTGAATTGAATCGTTGATTTGAGTTTGTTGTTGAACTTGCACTTGAATTTGGTGATGATGACGGTGATGAGGTTGGTGGTGAATTGTTTAATGGTTGATTTGTAACACTGTTGTTATCGGTGGAAGAGTAACTCTTTCGCCGATCGTTTCCATCTTTGTACCAACATTTATCTTCATAATGAGTGTTCGATTTACACTTTGAACACCACTTATTTCTTGTGTTTCTATTTTGTTGATTTGCTTGACTTGAAGATTCATTTGATCCTCTTTGATAGCCATTTGATTGTCTACCTCTACCTTGGTATCCATTTCTCTCTCCTTGTTTTTCATTTGACTTTGAAGAAATTTTTATCTTTTGCCAATAGCCAAAAATTTTTCTTTTTACCATTTCTGTTTCCAATTCGGTGACTTCTGGTATAATCTCATTTTGTAATTCTCTTGGGAGAGCCAATAATAGGGTTAGAGCTTTAATTTTATCATCACTTTGAGGATAAATTACTTTTAACGAGCTTTCAATTCTCTTGATGAACTCATTCGGATCTTCTCCATTGTTGTATCTTTTTTGTGTTAGCGTAAATAACGCTTGTGTAACGCTCGAGGCTGTTACTGTTGATTTTAACATCTTCGCTTTCCATTCCTCATATCTTAAGAATGGCGAAGTGTGATTGAGTGACTCAGTCACATTTCGAATTTCCCCTTCTAGCAACACCGTTATGTGGTCTTTCCACGTTTCTCTTGTCGGGTCAATGATTCTCAGATCATATTCCGCGCTTTCAATGAATTCTGCGAATGTTGTCTCTTTATGAGGGAATTTTCTTTTATTCAGTCTATCACGAGCCAATTGAGCAGGAAGCGATAGCTGTCTCGGCATTTCGAACGGTTGTTGAATCGATAAATTGTTGAATCTCGATAGTGTTGAATATTTGTTAGCCAACAATGTAGCTTGAGCTCTATTAATTCCAAGCTCTTTTAAATGTTCACAATTATACGATCCCAACTCTTCAATTGTTCTAATACCATTTTCCAATAATGTACCAAGGGTTAGAAAATTTGCACCATTCTTTCTTAATTCTATTCCATCTTCCCATTTAAATCTGATATCTCTCGTAATATCGATTGTCGTAGGTATCTCTTCATTTTGATAAATGTATTGAACGGCATGAGCTTCAAGTAACTCTTTCTTCAACATTTCATCATTTTTACTATTAATCTTTGTTATACCCCATTGACCTGCCAACTCCATTAATTGTTGTCGATTAAGTTCCTTAATCATCAATCTTTGATCTATTGGCTGTCGTATTGGCGATGACGTAAGATTATCTTGTATTTCGGTCATTTTCTTTTCTTTCTTTAAACGCTTTTTTCTTTTGTAGAATTTTCTTTAATTCTTTTCCTTGGCTTTTCAGTCGATGAAGTAACTTCAATCTACTGTTTCTTTTGTTGAGTGTTTTAGTTTTAGGTTTATTATTGATGAAGATTTTCCTAATTCGCACAGGTGACCTTCAGAAATTAAGATTGTGACTAATTTGAGATAGAGTAACTCTGATCTCAAATGGTTCTAATGAAGTAAAGAAAACCCTTTACTTAGCACAGTGTCAATCACTAGTCCAGATACTGATGGAGTAGCTCCGTCAATATTTAAACAACTGGTGATTATTGGGTACCACAATTAATATCAATTCAATCACTTATGATAGCGAAGACATCTCCACCATTTGTTAGGGAATATAAGGACACAAGTAAGATCGTATCGAGTGAATTGAATTTTATTAAACACTGAAATTATCAGAACTTTCAAAGGTATCACAATTGACGGTTAATTTTATTGAAGGGTAACTTATTTGAAAAAGGTTAAAGGGTGATTAGGGTTAGTTCATCTGAGGTAGTTAATTAAAGTATTTTAAAGGGAATTAATTTGATCTTAACAATAGAACACTAAAGACACTAAGAACACTAGCTTGAGTTTCTCAAGCTGGTGACTATTTAAGGTATTCAATTGTATCAGCTGATCTAATTATTGAGGGATGATTTCATAATTACAAATAACAAAGGCTAATCCCCTTACATTAATCAAATTAAATTGAATGAAAACTTTAATTATCATGACAATTTAATTGTTTACTTTACTTTTAACTTTTACTTTCTTTTGATATTTGATTTTGATTTAAACCTTTAGTATAATGAGATAGATTGAGTAAATAAGATTAGTTGATATTTAAAAGAAAAAGTTAATTGTAAATCATGTTGACGTTGATTATTGTGATTACAGCTTAATTACAATGAGAGCACATGAATTAAATTAACAACAATTAACAAACAAGAAAACAGGTAAAAAGAAATGAATAAAAAAAAACAATGAAGGTTAAGTCTGATGATGATTTTTCCCCTTTTACAATCAATACTTGTTACAATATTAATAACATTTAATTGTGATTAAGATGATAATTATTATCATGATTGTTATCCAATTGACTTTTCCTCTCTTTGTTTAATTTCATAATGATTAACGGTAAATGATTAGATTATGAAAAAAGTTCCTAAACCTGGAATTAGTTGATTTCCAGGTGAAAATGTCAAGGCACAAATACCTCAAGGCCTCAAAGTTAATAAAACTATTATCACAATTTGTTTTGTTTAATTTGATATCCTAATTAAATAATTAACTAATTTTATCTCTGATTGTGTTCCTATGCTCCTGGTGGTGATGGTTAAGGTATCAAAGCGGTCACAATTAGGATAAACATTAAATGTTATTGTTAATGTTCAATTATCAATTGATAGACTAATTAAATGTTCTCATTTGTTTAACTTAATGTATTGTACTTGTTATCGAGTTCATGTTGATAACATTTTCACTTGGAACATGGTGATCAGGATAATTAGTGGAAGATAATTAAAAGAGAATCAACATTTTTACGATCATCATTTTCTTAGTGTTTCTCTGCTTTTCGTTTGTTAATTGTCGTTCTATGATAATTTACAGAAATATGATTTTCCCTTACCAGCTGATTAATCTGTAAATGAATATCATCATCATCATCATCCTGATTATTGAATTGTTGGTGAGTGGGTGTGAGATTTAACAGTTAAATCGATGACGTTTATCCATAATCACTATTTGCTCCAGTTGCTTCTGTAAATGTCAATTGTTATAAAGAAAGAGAAAAAGAAAGAGAGATAATGTTAGATCGTTGTTGACACAGTTTCGATCAGTGAAAGTCTTTATCATCAGCAATTTCTTTCATATTTCCAATTGGTATTATTATTTTCCATCAGCGCGACAATTAAGTTGTTGACAGCCAAATGACGATAATAACCAGAGAAAGGGAAAAGGAAACAGAGACTGATCAACTAACGTCAATCGAAATTCATTTTTCTCGTTTACGTTATTAAACAATCACTTACGTATTTAATCATCGACTTAATCGTTTACTTTTCTATCCTCGAATAAAACAAAAACAATCCTTTCTTTTTTCACTTCGTTGGGGTTTTTTTTTCTGTCTTATTATCTATCTTAATTATCCCTCCACAGGTAAGGGATGATTAGTTGATTAAAGAGAAGCAAAAAATCATCTATGAAACAATTTATCGCGATCTATTGTCGAAACGACCTCGACCATCAACAGTAATTATAAACGAAAATTTAATCCAAACCAAAGTAACGATTGTGTGTGGAGTAAATGAGTTATCCCAACTATTGAGTTCTAATGGTGAAAGAGCAGAAAAAGGTAATTGTATTAGTGAAAGATAATAAATAATAATAATGATCATGTAATAAGAGCTTATTGAGAGAGTATGTTGCTTAAGAGAGTCAAAGATAATCAAAGTTTTTTTTTGTTCACCAAAAAGGTTCAATCACAACAAATAATAGTTCAGGAAAAAAAAATAACATTTCTAACCTCGGATATATTAAATTTTGCTAATCTTTTCACCTTCATTTTTATCCTGATAATTGGGTGACCTTCATTGATGATTACTAATCCAATCTCATTGTCAAAATTGTTTTTCATTCACTTAGAAAAAAATCACTTTTGCTCCAAGTTGTAAAGAGTAATGTGGTTGTAGCGGTAGTTAGGTGGTTGTGATTATGATTGTTGTGTAGTAATGATGATGATAATAATATCTTTCCATCTAACACCATTAACGATTCTTTCATTTTATTTTCTTTCTCGTCTCTATTATCATTCTCATCCTCTTTTATCTTCATCTTGGTACGTGTATGTGTTACTTTGACTTATTGGGTTGATTTACTTGTTCCATCCTTCTTTAAATTTTTGATTGCTCGATATCTTGTTTAGTCTTTTGTTGTTATTGTGTGTGTGTGTGAGAGAGAGAGAGAGAGAGAGAGAGAGAGACACTCTCGTTGATATTGTTGACGAATGTGAACATAACTGATGAAGTTGATGATGAAGAGAAACAGTTTCGTGTGTGGTTGATGTATTCCTTTGATCGATTGTGAGTCTCGGTGTTCAGGATGATGTTGGTTGATTGCCAGGAAAAACCTTCACTGTTTGTGTGTGTAAATGAGAGAGAAAGAGAGAGAGAGGGAGAAAAGATAGTAGAAGAAAATCAATTGAGGCACCTCATCATCTATAATCTCATATCTCACTCATTCTCATCATCATTTCTCTCTCTCTCTCTAACTCTCCCTTTCCCTTGTTTGATAGGTTGTCGTTGTAATAGTGTACTGCAAAGAGTACAAACCTGGTACTTGTTAAGAAAAGGCAATTCCTTAAGAATCTAGGACAGTAACACTTAAATTTTTGTTTGTCACTTTTTTGCCTTCAAAAAAGAAAATAACAAAACAAAAATGTACCCAGAAAATTGAGATTATATCAAAAACAAACACGAAAACAACACCAATCAGCATAAAATAGCAATAGTCGAGTTCAATTGTGAGCGGAGAGAGAGAGAGAGAGTGATAGAGAGTTAGAATGAGAGTGAGAGTGATATAAGTTCAATCTTACTCATGAATACCGGATTAAAATAGAATTGAACCAAAATGTTAATGATGATGATGATGAAGAGACTGGTAGTGGTTAGGATGACGGTGGTAAACTTGTTATTATATATTAATAATAATAATGTAATAAGTACCAGTAGCAATAGTGTTAATGGTTGTAATAGTAGTAGAGGTAAATTGTGATAAAAGAATCTCCAAAAACAGGTTGTTAGATTAAAATTACATCGGGGATCCTTTTTTTTGGTTCTTCTTCATCTTCTCCTGGTTATATTTATATAAATACATCTCTAATAGCTGGTGAGAGGGGTTAGGTTATCATCTTGATTGTTTGGCTTTTTTTTTCTTTCTTTTCTCTCTTTGTTTTCTTTATATTTTCCTTCCTTCTTCCTCTTCTTTGCGTATAAATATATTTATACATTGCTGATTGTGAATGTCATCATCATTAGTAAACCACCACCAACATCACCATAAAATCCAAATCATTTGATTACGATGGAAAATTAATAAATTATCATCTCAAATTCCAGGTTAACGTTTTTCTTTCTTGATTTCCTTTATGTTGGTAACAGTTTCAATCACTTGATCCAAGAAAATAACGGGAACAGACAGTTACCTCTTCTTCTTTGTCTTCTTTAATGGTACCACTGGTTTCACCTTCTTTACAAGTTGATAATTGGTTGAGGGTTAATTGATTTTCGACCTAAAATAATAGAAAAATTAGAAAAGAAATTAAATTAATTTTAATCCAATTTCTTTTTCCACTTGTTACTTTGAGATTTGGTTCGGTGTAACTAGCGACATCTCTTGGAGAATTTTTCATTCTATTTGTTTGTTTGTTCTTTTTTTCTGTTGGAGGGAAAATGAACTCTAATTGATCCAATTGATTAAATTGATTATTTCGAAGTGAATTAAGTAATTTTTTTAATTTTTCGTAGAATTTTAATTTCGACTGAAGTGTAGGATAAGCTGAAGATCGTGGAGAAGATGAAGGCATGACGAAAATTAAAGTTCCATCCAGTGTTTCCTTTTGAAGGCCGAGAGGAAAATTTTTGGTTCCAGAGAAAATCTCATAAATTCCTATTATTAAATTAAATCAAATTAGGTAAGAATAAATTAATTTTCAATTCAAATTCAACAATCAATCGAATGATTGAAATGAAGAAGAAAAAAGAAAAAAGAAAACAAGACTAATCTAAATGTTGGTAACAAGTGATTTTCTTTTCTCTTTTTCATTCCTTTGTCTCTATCAATCTCTTACCTATTCCATTAAAAACTGCAACCTTAGGTTTGTATTGGATTAATTTACGACGTAATTGTATTGCTCCATTTTAATTTCTTCTTTACTTAGGTCAGATGAGCCACGAGTTGTTCTTTCAACAATATTAGTAAAACCAATACCATGGTCAACTAGTCTTTTATCATCTTTGAATGTTGCTGACCAATCAATTATACCTGAGGCATATAAACATGGCCAAAAGTGATTACCAACACCAGCATAATGATGACCATGATAAGCTGATGATAATCCAGGATTAATACCAATTATAACGCAATCAAGTCCTGGTTTTAGTGAATCTTCTAACTTTCTCTCCAATAATATACTCTCATCAACATCAAATCTGAATCGTTTAGATTTACCACCAGTGGAAAATGATGATGAAGCCATTTTCAAATTTCTCTCTAATACTTTACCATTTACCAGGTTATAAGGTCAATAGTACTTGCCTTATATATATTATGGTAAATAATAATAGTATTTATCTAACATAATACAATAAGAGATAATATAATATAATCTCTGTTTATACTATATTAATATACTAATGTAATAAGCATCAGCCTCTTGTCTTTCCCTCTCTCAAAAAGGATTTGATACACTGATGGAATATAACAAGAAAACTATCTATGGAAATGGTTTTTGGTGATAATCAAGAAGATGAGGAAACAAAAGAGCAAGAAACAAGAGTGAAAACAAACCAAAGTAATTTCATTTATAATAAACAACACCAAAAGTAACTGTAAACCCAAACTGTAAGTAGATTTTTAATCTTTCCCATTACTATTTCTATGTGTCGTTGTTGTTGTTGTTTTTGAGGGTGGGATGGTAATCTATAGCTTTAGGGGGTCTTTTCTTAATCCAGTTAATAGTGAGTGAGAGAGAGAGGTAGAGACATAGAACCTATGAGAAATTGTGAAAGAGAAAAACAAATCAATCAATAGAAATCAAATATTGTCATTTGTTGTTGGTTCCATCATCACATGTTATCATTTCTCTTTTAACTCAAACTTTTGACTTTCCAAATTTTCCAAATATTTTATCTCTCACACACTCACTTGCTCTGTGATTCTATTTTAATTAATCAACATTCAGTTGACAAATTAACAACGATTAAACTACCAGACAGTCTAATATAATTTAACCTTGATACAAATTCTTAATTCTAACTAGCTAACAATTGATTACCTTTGTAACAGTTTCTAAAATTACTTTTAATTGTTGATTGTGTAACTTGTTGTCTGTTTTTTCTTGACAGTTATGAGCGCACAATCAGCTGATTTTTTGTTGTAATCAAGCCTTAATCGGTAACATTTACAGTTGAAGGATACAAAAAGGTACATATCAAGAAAGAGGAGAGATTAAGAAGACACAGATTTAGACAATTACAACAGTAGAAAAGGGATTAAGATGAAGACAGAAGGGAAAAGTATGTAGGCAGATTTATCATGGAAGATGAAAAAGATTATGCTGAAAAGGAAAAGAAAGAATAAAAAAGATGATGATGATGATGATGATGAAAGAGAAAGATTTGAATGTCAGCCTGTGGAAAGTTATTAATGTGTTTTTGTTTCTCTGTTCGAGCAAATTATTCGAATACTTTTAATGTTCTAACTCGAAATTTTCTATTTTTTTATTCTTTCTGCTATTTTATCATATTCTTTAGAATTTCCATTTATTAAGATGATGAACGATAAATTTCTCTTTTTTTAATTACTCTCAATGAATGTACTATTATTGCAAAAGATTATATTTCCTAACGGAACTTTCATTTTCTTTTGAATAATAATTAATCTCTTTTCTTTTCCTCTCTTTCAGATGATTTTCTTTGAATATTCTTTGTTATTTCATGAGTAACAGAATCGTTTCCATGTTTCGTTTAATCAACTCATCGCCATGTTGATCATGAAATTCAATTAATAACCTTTCGTACTTGTCAACTTACACGTTGTTTTGGAAGGTGACAGTTTCAAAATGAGAGAGAGAGAGAGATAAGTGATGATTGTGTAACTTGTTTACAATTAAAGCGAGTGAGCAAATTGTTTCTCGCTTTTTTCGACACTAATTAATTTGTACATCAATTGAAAGTAATTCGAAGGTAATATTTTCGAAATTTTTTCTCTCATCAAAAGTAGTAAACAAAATTCCAATATATTAATATTATTCTCTTCATCTTCTTTCATTTACAGATTAATATTCTTTCTGGAACTTTTCTGTTTATGCTCCATGAATGGACTCATCGACCAACAGAAGTTGTAACTTTCGAGTTGAAACTTGATCGCTAAATAATTAGATGAGAATTATTAATAATTTATGGTGAGAATATTTTTTTCTCTTCTACTATCAAGTTTTTTTCTAATTCCTTTTGCAAGATCTTCTTCTTTGTCAATAGTAACAATTTGTTTCAATTTTTTCTTTCATCAAATTTAGTATCATCATCAAATAATCTTCATCATTATAACTCAATCAAATTAATCACCTTTTAATTCCAACCATTATTATACTTTAGAATGATGATTAAAATGTTGAAAACCGTTATTTTTGTTATAATGAAACAATGATAAATTAACAGGGATTATAAACTGTATTACATGGATAATGATGATAATTAAATAATCAAGAGGTAGTTATGATAATATACTAAACGTGCACTTCCCAAGTTGGATAATGTAACAATTACAATGAGAGAGAGAAAAAAACAAAAAATAGTTACATAAATTGTTTACAATTACGGTAACACTTTAGGTTTGCTCTGTTTTCTTTTACTCTCTACTCTTCTCATTAATCAAATTAACAACGATTTGTTTACTAATTAAGAGGAAAATGAAATTTGTTTTTGCCGAATTTTCTAAACTTATTCTCATTATCGTAAATGTCGTAAACAAAATACCAATGATATTAAATAACTTTTTCTTACTCATTTCTTACAGAGCGATTATGGAAATCAATTGAAAATAAGATCATCAAACAACAACAACAACTACTCAATGAAAAGTTAAGGTGATGACCTGATTGTTTGTAAGCAGATAAACAAAATTGAAGGCAACGGAAACTATTGATATTATTGATACATTGTGAAAGTAAAAGGAAAGATGAAGAGAGAGAGAGATGATAACTACTGTATGATGCTCCCCTTGTACTTCCGGGAAGAGAGGAAGGTTACAGGGGCTCTCCTCTATTTTTTTCCCACTTCGGCAGGAGCCAAATTAGGCCTTGTGAGCGATGTAAAGAAAGCAAAAAAGTGTCAATGAAACTCAATGATTAATGTGAATTTTGTCAATTATTGAACATCTTCACAAGAATCAGGAAAGAGAAAGCTCTCTCTCTCTCTCTCTCTCTCTCTTTCATCGTTCTCATTATTTCATCTTTATCATCATCATAAGCAGCTCACTAGCTCTTTACTCAATCAACATCATTATTTCATCATCATTATCATACTATTATATTTAGTTAATTTACTATCTCATTGTTTAGTAGTAGTAGAAAAAAATTAATGGTTGTTTTTTTTTCTTGTTGATTGTAAAATCTCATCTAATTTTTTTTTTGTTATATTATTAATACAACAACATCATTAGTCATTTGACAATGAAAAATTTAGGCCTGCGTTCATAAAGAAACAAAATTAGTTTAATTATATTCTAGTGAAAAGTTAGTTAACTATTAGAATCATTAACTATTGCGAGGATTGTTTGTTTTTCATGTTACTGATTGTTGGTGATGATGATGTTGATTATGACGATGGTTAAATCATATTTCCCTTGTAAATGAATTCTTCTTTATACTAATTAATTTTATCTTCACTTATTTTTCCTCTCACGCGCTTCATCATCTCATAGTTTTCCATCTTTTCAGGCCTTCTTATTTTTCTTCCATAACAACATAGTAATTGACTCTTCATCTTAATTCAAAGTTAATCAACATTCCAACGGGAATCATCTTAGGCTTTTCTCTCCACCAACCCAATAAAACGCATTTTTCCAAGACTTGGTTACATTTTTGTCGCAATTAGATGATTCCATCATCTTCATCTCCATCCTCATCATTATCCTCAGTAATCATAGAGAAACTGTTTCTTTTTTATATCAACTTCAAAGGAGAGAAACATTAATCTCTCTCTCTCTCTCTCTCTCTCTCTCTCTCTCTCTAACCTTTTCTTAATTTTGTTTTAAATATAATTTTAATTCTTAACTCTAGGAGTACAATTTATCAAGGGATAACACTTAAAGATTAAGATGATAACTTGGGAACAGAGGATTAATGGTGGAAATGATGATGATCTCTTTTCCAGTAAAACTTTTATCATCTCTCTCCAACTTTTGTCGACTGTTGAAAATATCGTTTAGTCAACTATTCATGGTTACTCTTGATCATATGTTTAGATGATGTTCCTGATTACATCAACAGAACATTTTTCATCATCTCTTTGTACTTAAATTAATTGCTGTTGACCCGTCAAACAAATTATCATCCCACCTCATCCTCATCCTCATCATCATCATCATCATCTAATCTTATTCATTCTGTTTCTGTCCATTAGCAACAATTAATTAACATTTTCTTCCTTCTGTTTAATTTTTACAACCCAAAGGAACCTCAATAGTTAAAGGTCACAATTAATTGTTCCATTGATGGTTTACCCCAACTGAACAACAATTTAAACCAACAACGAGAAGGAAAAAAGAGACCAGAAGCCTTCTGATCATGTTAATCATCATCAGCATCTTTTCTCTTCATCTTTAAACATTTAAACTTGGATAACTCAATTTAGAAATTACAACAATTAATCATTTCCATCATTAAGCTTCTTGTTTTAACAGAAAATTTATATTTCTCACCATTTTTTTTGACAATTTCTAAAATATTAAGTAACAAGAAATCAAAAAATCTGAATGAACTTAAGTGTATTGATTGTTTCATTAACAATTAGATAATTACATTGAAAATATTGAAGTGGGAAAATTAGTAATAACAATCAGATGGAAAATTAATCATTATTATTAATCATCTTTACCTTTATTATTTATCAATATAAAAGGCGATTGTTATAAATATAGAAACAGATTCAAGTAAAAATCATCTTGTTATTAAATAATTAGAATGATTAGAAAATTAATATTTCCTAATAACAATTAACTTTGAATTTCATTAAAATTGAATTCGAGGTTAGTTTATCTGGAATACGATAGATGGCGTTTCGACTCGACAATTTACTTAACAATCGAGAGGGAAACGTGTTTACCTGTGTACCCTGAATTTTTTTGTTTTATTTCGTGAAAATAATAATAGTTAATTATATTAAGTGCTCTAAAATTGAATAACAAGGTCGTAGAAATACCCTAAAAAAAGGTAAGAAAGTTAAAGAATAAAAAATAACACAAAAAATATATAAAAAGACTGAGCCACGTTGCTCTTCATCTTTTTCCGTTAACAATATAGAACGTTTAGTTCAAAATTTAAAATTTCCCTTTGGGAGTAAATACTTACATTTAATTTTTTAATTTTTCAATTTATTTTCTTTTCTGTTGACTTGTTAGAAATGGATAATTTTGATATTGATAAGTTTGTGAGAAAAATAAATCTTAAGATTCCGACAAGGAAAGACTGGACAAGCTCGATTGCAGCCATTCCAGTAAAGGATTTGCTTGACCTTATTAGTAATATCGTAATCGTGTTTAATGAACAAGAAAAAGGTGTAATCTCAGTAAAGAAAACAGTTTTACAGAAAATGAGTCACATCGTAACCTACGCCAAGGAAAGTGTAGACACATTGAATCTCACTGATGAAGAGAAAGTTATGATTCAATCAATACCGAAGGAAATGACTATTTGCATACCTGCTATCTTATCAAGAGAGGGCAAATCAAATGCAAGCTACGCAAGTTCAACAGCATCAACTTCGGTTAAAGAAGGTGAATCTTTAAACATAAAAAACCCAATTATAATAGAAGAAGAGACAGTTATTCCAGTTGTAAACAATCCCGAAACAAAAGAAAATCCCAATCCAGTCGCTGGAAAAAGTGACGACATGGTTGAAGAAGAACAAGTAATAAATAAAATGGTAACGCTCATTGAGAAAATGGATGAAGAAGAAATTGAGGAAGAATCGGGAGATTATCAAGAAGATGAAACGTCAGGAGAAAACAAACAGTTGAAAGGGAAATTTGGATCAGTTGATTTATACTCAGAAAACATCAAGGTTCGATTGGATAATGTGAGAGAGGTCAAGAGGGTGTTCCACCGAGTGGAAGATAGAACGATGCCAACATCATGGAAATGGTAAGGAAACTAATATTCGTGATGAATACGCCTTCGAATCGCTGAACTCACCGGAACAGATATCACCCAAAATCAAAAAAAAATAATAGAGGGGTTCATCACAATGGGGGTCGCCCAATCATTGGAATATTTCACTGAAGGAGACGGCTTGTTCGTTGGAGTTGGTTCATTCAACATGAGTGCATTTGGGTGTACATTGAGGTCTGAATGGGACAATTGCCTGATAGTGATTCGGGCTCAATTGGTGTTCATGAAGGAGGAGGAGGAAGATCATGTTTTAATATTACCAGAAAAGTTGCAATTATCAATCAATTCAAAATCGACCTATGTTAACGATGCATTTGCGATAATCAACAAGTATGGGAAGAAAAATTTGCGATGGACCTACGGCAATTATATTGAATACAAATTCACCCCAAGAAGAATAACAAAGCAAATAATTGGATGGCTGTCGACCAAGAGATGGAAAGAAATTAGACTTGAGATCAGAGCAAGAATTTGCAAATGGTTGCGAGATGAAAACGATGTCATTGCTACAATCATGAACAACATCGAGTGTTATACGAATGAATATGGTTATTTAGGACAAACACACTATTGCCAATTGATGAACATTTTATCCAAGAAGACAGTTAACCTCAACAATTTCAATTGCTGTCCCAACGATCAAAGACATCACCCGTTCACCTGTTCGGAAACTTTAAATGCAGCGCTAATAGAACAAGACACTAATTATAAATTTACAAGAAATTTCAAAATTAATCTATCAAATATTGATGATTTTATATTAGCAGTTAATATTGTAATATCGGCCTCAGGGGCAATAAGAAATTCCTTTGTTTTATTCCTGTAATCCTATCCAATCTCCCCTCCCCTTGTACGGTTGTCACTGCCGGAAACGATGAATTCCAATTCATCGAAGCCTCCCCTGAGGCCGCTGTTGAAGCTTAAAAGTAAAGAGAGGGAAACGTGTTTACCTGTGTACCCTGAATTTTTTTGTTTTATTTCGTGAAAATAATAATAGTTAATTATATTAAGTGCTCTAAAATTGAATAACAAGGTCGTAGAAATACCCTAAAAAAAGGTAAGAAAGTTAAAGAATAAAAAATAACACAAAAAATATATAAAAGACTGAGCCACGTTGTTTTCATCTTTTCCGTTAACAATATAGAACGTTTAGTTCAAAATTTAAAATTTCCTTGGGAGTAAATACTTATTTAATTTTTAATTTTCAATTTATTTTCTTTTCTGACTTGTTAGAAATGGATAATTTTGATATTGATAAGTTTGTGAGAAAATAAATCTTAAGATTCCGACAAGGAAAGACTGGACAAGCTCGATTGCAGCCATTCCAGTAAAGGATTTGCTTGACCTTATTAGTAATATCGTAATCGTGTTTAATGAACAAGAAAAAGGTGTAATCTCAGTAAAGAAAACAGTTTTACAGAAAATGAGTCACATCGTAACCTACGCCAAGGAAAGTGTAGACACATTGAATCTCACTGATGAAGAGAAAGTTATGATTCAATCAATACCGAAGGAAATGACTATTTGCATACCTGCTATCTTATCAAGAGAGGGCAAATCAAATGCAAGCTACGCAAGTTCAACAGCATCAACTTCGGTTAAAGAAGGTGAATCTTTAAACATAAAAAACCCAATTATAATAGAAGAAGAGACAGTTATTCCAGTTGTAAACAATCCCGAAACAAAAGAAAATCCCAATCCAGTCGCTGGAAAAAGTGACGACATGGTTGAAGAACAAGTAATAAATAAAATGGTAACGCTCATTGAGAAAATGGATGAAGAAGAAATTGAGGAAGAATCGGGAGATTATCAAGAAGATGAAACGTCAGGAGAAAACAAACAGTTGAAAGGGAAATTTGGATCAGTTGATTTATACTCAGAAAACATCAAGGTTCGATTGGATAATGTGAGAGAGGTCAAGAGGGTGTTCCACCGAGGAAGATAGAACGATGCCAACATCATGGAAATGGTAAAACTAATATTCGTGATGAATACGCCTTCGAATCGCTGAACTCACCGAACAGATATCCAAAATCAAAAAAAATAATAGAGGGGTTCATCACAATGGGGGTCGCCCAATCATTGGAATATTTCACTGAAGGAGACGGCTTGTTCGTTGGAGTTGGTTCATTCAACATGAGTGCATTTGGGTGTACATTGAGGTCTGAATGGGACAATTGCCTGATAGTGATTCGGGCTCAATTGGTGTTCATGAAGGAGGAGGAGGAAGATCATGTTTTAATATTACCAGAAAAGTTGCAATTATCAATCAATTCAAAATCGACCTATGTTAACGATGCATTTGCGATAATCAACAAGTATGGGAAGAAAAATTTGCGATGGACCTACGGCAATTATATTGAATACAAATTCACCCCAAGAAGAATAACAAAGCAAATAATTGGATGGCTGTCGACCAAGAGATGGAAAGAAGAAATTAGACTTGAGATCAGAGCAAGAATTTGCAAATGGTTGCGAGATGAAAACGATGTCATTGCTACAATCATGAACAACATCGAGTGTTATACGAATGAATATGGTTATTTAGGACAAACACACTATTGCCAATTGATGAACATTTTATCCAAGAAGACAGTTAACCTCAACAATTTCAATTGCTGTCCCAACGATCAAAGACATCACCCGTTCACCTGTTCGGAAACTTTAAATGCAGCGCTAATAGAACAAGACACTAATTATAAATTTACAAGAAATTTCAAAATTAATCTATCAAATATTGATGATTTTATATTAGCAGTTAATATTGTAATATCGGCCTCAGGGGCAATAAGAAATTCCTTTGTTTTATTCCTGTAATCCTATCCAATCTCCCCTCCCCTTGTACGGTTGTCACTGCCGGAAACGATGAATTCCAATTCATCGAAGCCTCCCCTGAGGCCGCTGTTGAAGCTTAAAAGTAAAGAGAGGGAAACGTGTTTACCTGTGTACCCTGAATTTTTTTGTTTTATTTCGTGAAAATAATAATAGTTAATTATATTAAGTGCTCTAAAATTGAATAACAAGGTCGTAGAAATACCCTAAAAAAAGGTAAGAAAGTTAAAGAATAAAAAATAACACAAAAAATATATAAAAAGACTGAGCCACGTTGCTCTTCATCTTTTTCCGTTAACAATATAGAACGTTTAGTTCAAAATTTAAAATTTCCCTTTGGGAGTAAATACTTACATTTAATTTTTTAATTTTTCAATTTATTTTCTTTTCTGTTGACTTGTTAGAAATGGATAATTTTGATATTGATAAGTTTGTGAGAAAATAAATCTTAAGATTCCGACAAGGAAAGACTGGACAAGCTCGATTGCAGCCATTCCAAAGGATTTGCTTGACCTTATTAGTAATATCGTAATCGTGTTTAATGAACAAGAAAAAGGTGTAATCTCAGTAAAGAAAACAGTTTTACAGAAAATGAGTCACATCGTAACCTACGCCAAGGAAAGTGTAGACACATTGAATCTCACTGATGAAGAGAAAGTTATGATTCAATCAATACCTAAGGAAATGACTATTTGCATACCTGCTATCTTATCAAGAGAGGGCAAATCAAATGCAAGCTACGCAAGTTCAACAGCATCAACTTCGGTTAAAGAAGGTGAATCTTTAAACATAAAAAACCCAATTATAATAGAAGAAGAGACAGTTATTCCAGTTGTAAACAATCCCGAAACAAAAGAAAATCCCAATCCAGTTGCTGGAAAAAGTGACGACATGGTTGAAGAAGAACAAGTAATAAATAAAATGGTAACGCTCATTGAGAAAATGGATGAAGAAGAAATGGAGGAAGAATCGGGAGATTATCAAGAAGATGAAACGTCAGGAGAAAACAAACAGTTGAAAAGGAAATTTGGATCAGTTGATTTATACTCAGAAAACATCAAGGTTCGATTGGATAATGTGAGAAAAATCAAGAAAGTTTTCCACCGAGTGGAAGATAAACCGATACCAACATCATGGCGACCATGGTCATCATCTTTAATGGAACCTCTAATTGTGGTTACTCATCCTAATATTCCGCCTCTAAAATTATGGCAAGAAATATCTCAAGCGTTACGATCTAATGCCCTTGAAGCATTTCCAGCTCGAATTATCAAGGGTAAAGATGCCATCAGAGTAATTTGTTCTGATTTACATGACTTACAATTAGCACGATCGACACTCTCGAGATGGAATAAAGATATTGTCATCAAAAATCCTGGTTGCTACGATCCCAAGGTCAAACTGAACAAATTGCCATTAAACATTGAAACAGATGCTGAAGCGGTCACACTGGTAGATCAGATCATGATTCAAAATGGAGCTGGTGGCAAAGGAAATTGGTCCTTTGTCACAAAATTTAACATGAGAACAATCAACAAAACGGATGTTGTTATAAATATAACACCTCGAATAAGAGATTTTATTCAGGAAAGGAGAGGAAAATTTTTCTTCAATTTTAAACAAATATCGGTTACAGATTTTTTTCATGTGAGATTTTGCCATAGATGTTTTTCATATGAACATTCAGCTAAAATGTGTAAAAATCAAGCACTGTGCCAATATTGTACTGGCTCTCATGATGGAAAAACTTGTGGTGTTCGATTCAATAGTAATGCTCATCGCTGTGATGTTTGTAAGAGAAAAAATCGAGAAGAAAATCATACACCATTCGACTGGGAATGCCCTGAGTACCAGCGAAGATTAAAAAACGCAATTCAATTGGTCAATTATGAATACAATTGGATAATGAGGGATTAATCATGAGTATTAATTCAACAATTGGAAGAATGGACATTTATATTTATTGATAATCAACTAATCTGCTTGAATTTGAATCTCTAATTAATCATTTGATGAAACATTTTATTTTCTCATACTAACATTTATTAATAATTTCATACTATTTGTTAAATTGCATCACTTTCCTTTTAACTAACATCCGGATAACTCTCCAAATAATTTCATTCTAAATTAGCTGTCTAACAGCAATCTCATTTGGCTCTTAACTGATTTGATGTTCAAATTTAAATTTTTCCAATAAAATCAAAAACTTATTTCAAACCCCGCCATTCACATAGCTCAGCTAAAAACAAAAGCACATTAACAAAAGCACATTAGTTATAACAATAATACACTGTTTCAAAAATGAATATCAATGTAAAAAGATTGAACATAGAAATCAATTAGAATTTACATTAATATTCAAAAATGAATATTAATGATTAAAGATTGAACATAGAAATCAATTGTAATTTACATTGATATTCAAAAATGAATATCAATGTAAAAAGATTGAACATAGAAATCAATTAGAATTTACATTAATATTCAAAAATGAATATCGGTGTGAAAAGATTGAACATAGAAATCAATTGTAATTTACATTAATATTCAAAAATGAATATTAATGATTAAAGATTGAACATAGAAATCAATTGAATTTACATTAATATTCAAAAATGAATATTAATGATTAAAGATTGAACATAGAAATCAATTGGAATTTACATTAATATTCAAAAATGAATATTAATGATTAAAGATTGAACATAGAAATCAATTAGAATTTACATTAATATTCAAAAATGAATATCAGTGTGAAAAGATTGAACATAGAAATCAATTAGAATTTACATTAATATTCAAAAATGAATATCGGTGTGAAAAGATTGAACATAGAAATCAATTGGAATTTACATTAATATTCAAAATGAATAAAATGTAAAAAGATACAACCAAAGACTTCGAGTTTTAAGTTGGGTTACTTTGAGTTGGACATTGAACAGTTTTCTCATCGAGATCTTGAATAGTTTGTTCTTGATAATTAAATTGTCGCAATTCATTTTCTAATTGATCAATATCAAAGACTAAGAACAACCAATTGTTGATCCAAGACGTGAAATAAATTAAGTTGATAACCAGAGAAATCAAGTCCATTAAGGTGAAATATTAGAGGAATCAAAGAATTAGCAATTCGGATAAGATGATAATCAGTCCATTCCCGGACAGAATTCATCGCCTTTCCATTCAATTATTTCCTGAACGGAAAGGAAAAGGTCACAATATGAACAATAAAGTATCATCTTAACTGGATTAGTAAATGACTTAGGATCACTTGTGGCTAATGATATTGACCAAGCGGTAATTGAGATGACAACTAAATCTTTCTATTCGGAGGTTAGATGTTTTCGCAATAATCAGTATCTGGAATAACTTTCAACAGAAAGTTAATTGTAAGCATTGTTTGCCTGTCTGGATTTCGTCTATTTTAAATTGTAATGAATAAATGATTTTGTTTAAAATTAAATTTATTTGCTATTACCGCTCTTAGTTAAATAATGTAAACCAGATGGGTCTGGGGTTCTTTTTGCATTGCAAACTTACTTTTTCTAGTTCTTTTGAATAATCATGTTAAAAATTTTACATTGGAACACCGCTAAATCTTATGACAAATTGGATATTCTAGTTAATGATCCAATTCATAGTGACACCTTAATATCGATAAATGAAGTTTCCCCAGTTTGGTTGGCCGCTAAAATGAACGAAAAAGCTGATGAAATTGAAAGTGGTATTGAGATCAAGAGTAACATCATTGAGGTTAATGAAAGAAGTGTGATATTCAACAAACACTCATGTTGGGTTATACCGAAGAGATTTCTCTGGAAGAACATGAATATAAACATGGAAAACACGGTCGGTATAAAATTAATAATAAGAAATAGACAATTCTACCTGATATCAACTTACAGACACCAAAGTACAAAGGATCGTTTTTTCTGTGAACTGGGAAAAGTATTGGAGACAATTACTGGCCCAGTGATCATTTGTGGTGATATGAATGCTGAGTGTTCACTATGGTCTCCAAGGAAACCAATATGGAATAAATATTGTGAGAATACATTCAAAGAGTTTCTGAAATCAGCTCATCAACCAGTAGAGGACAATTACACGTTTCAAACTGGAACTCTGAGGACATTCATTGACTGTCAACTCTACTCAGAAAATTGGCTTCTTCTTGAAGCAATGATCAACAAAACGAACTCAGATCACAATCAACTTCAAATGGTGGTTTTAGCAGGAGAAGGAGAAAAAATTAGAGACCAGTGGGTTATCAGATTGAAGAAGTATAAACTGTCAAGTGATATGGTTGAATATCATGATGGAAATTTGACCGTTGGTTCACAGCTGATTCAAGTAATTCAGGACATTATCAATTTTCCAATTCGCAATGGAAAATGGTACAATCAATCTGCGAAATTCACTACGAGAGGTTACAGGAGAAAAATTAAAACAGTAGACATCGAAGAGAAGTCTGAGTTGAGAAGAAAATTTGACAACCTCGACATCAAGGGTCTTAAATCCAAAAGTTTCTGGCGTCTGATTGATACAATCAGAAAAGATAATCATGTCTATGTATTGAGTGAAAGTGAATATGATGGAATTTATAAAGATTCAATTTCTCAGCAGTTAAAGTCATTCACCGTTAACAGACCGATATTCAATGATAATCGAGCAATTTTCGTAAAAGGAAATTTACAAGAGGAAGAATGGGAAAGGCTGTGCCAAGAGGTAAAAGATTCAAATCATCTCTCAATTCTGATGGATTCACCAAACGAACGTGGGAAAAATTCTTTAAAAAGAATATAGTTATCATAAGACGAATCTTGGAGATAATATTTGAGCTCTCATATATACCCGAGTGTATGAGAATCTCAGGAGCAGGTATGGTACCGAAATCCCATTCAAATAAAGTCAGAATGGTGAAGTCGCCGAATTATTTATTCAAATCAGTCGACAAAATAATCAGTTATCGGTTATTGGACATTTGTGACGAATTTATATTGGAAAATACTCAGTTTGCGTTTAAAAGAAATACAAGTCGAGAGGATTTGATTCTGCAAATGACCTTTCAACACGACTGGCAGGAGGTTAAACTATTATTATTGGACGTAACGGCAGCATTTGATCGAGTGTCGATGATCAAATTAATACCGAGAATAGAGGAAAGAGACTCACCATTGGCGAATATTATCGGCTCATTTTGCTCTCGGAGGTGGACAAAAATAATCAAAGACAAGAAGCCTCAATTTTGTGAAGAAAGTGTTGGGACACCACAGGGATCATCTTCGGGCCCATTATTATATATACTGGCATTGGATTCACAGATTCGAGCTCTGAGGAAAAGAAAAATCAATATTCAAGCTTATGCCGATGATTTGATTGTTTATTTGGACCCAAATGATGATGAAAAAAGTGTAATTGCAGATGTCGAAAATCACCTGAAGGAAATTAATCTAACCTTGAATTTGGAAAAAACGCAAAACTTTTGCAAGAAATTTCATCTCATGAAGTTTTTGGGTTTTAGGTTCCTGATTCCATTTGATGTTAAACAAATTAAACAAACTATGATGGAGATGAGATCTGAATTGTTAGCATCATTTAGGTGCAAACCAAAAACCTTATCAATGCTGCCAATGAAAACGAAACGTCTTATAATAAGCAATATTGTTTACCCGAAATTAAGACTGATTGGATACTCAATTTTCCTGACAGTTCCAAGCAAATTTATTAAATTGTTTCACCTTATGGATTCAACATTGTCACTGTTAGAAAGAAGCTCAACGTCCGGTTCATTTATTTGGAATTATTATAATATTGATCATTTATTGGAAAAACTGTGGATGGAATCACTAATCTATGGAAATGGTAAAGAAACTAATATTCGTGATGAATACACCTTCGAATCACTGAACCCACCGGAACAGATATCATCCAAAATCAGAAAAAAAATAATAGAAAAGTTCATCACAATGGAAATCACCCAATCATTGGAATATTTCACTGAAGGAGACAGCTTGTTCGTTGGAGTTGGTTCATTCAACATGAATGCATTTGAATATACATTGAAATCTGAATGGGACAATTACCTGATAATGATTCAAGCTCAATTGGTATTCATGAAGGAGGAAGAGGAAGATCATGTTTTAATATTACCAGAAAAGTTGCAATTATCAATCAATTCAAAATCGACCTATGTTAACGATGCATTTGCGATAATCAACAAGTATGGGAAGAAAAATTTGCGATGGACCTACGGCAATTATATTAAATACAAATTCACCCCAAGAAGAATAACAAAGCAAATAATTGGATGGCTGTCGACCAAGAGATGGAAAGAAGAAATTAGACTTGAGATCAGAGCAAGAATTTGCAAATGGTTGCGAGATGAAAACGATGTCATTGCTACAATCATGAACAACATCGAGTGTTATACGAATGAATATGGTTATTTAGGACAAACACACTATTGCCAATTGATGAACATTTTATCCAAGAAGACAGTTAACCTCAACAATTTCAATTGCTGTCCCAACGATCAAAGACATCACCCGTTCACCTGTTCGGAAACTTTAAATGCAGCGCTAATAGAACAAGACACTAATTATAAATTTACAAGAAATTTCAAAATTAATCTATCAAATGTTGATGATTTTATATTAGCAGTTAATATTGTAATATCGGCCTCAGGGGCAATAAGAAATTCTTTTGTTTTATTCCTGTAATCCTATCCAATCTCCCCTCCCCTTGTACGGTTGTCACTGCCGGAAACGATGAATTCCAATTCATCGAAGCCTCCCCTGAGGCCGCTGTTGAAGCTTAAAAATAAAGAGACAATTAAACTTTAATTATTATTTAAGTTCGTAATAATTATAACGGTTGCGAGTTAAATTGTCTGATAATAATTAAATCTTTAATCATGGTTGGGTGATCAGGATCATGATTATGTTACTCACCTTATAAAAGTTGAGATGATTAAAATTGAAAGGACAATTAAAGGTTTAATTTGATTAGATTGTTGATCTTTTAATTTTAATTGTTGACACTTTACTAAACATAATAAACTATTGTCAATGCATAATTAGGATGCAAGAATTATCCAGTAATTAAAACATTGGATGCATATATTACAATCTAATTAGAAAATTAAAATCACTTTGATTTGACTTTTTGTTTCCAATTTTACTACAATTAAGATGCTAATTAACTTGTGAATTGAACTAATTGTGAAAAAAACACAAAATCAGTGAAGATGATGAAGGTTAAATGATTAGCCGGTAATTGTTACGATTTGTGAAAAATTAATCGTGTAAATTGTTGAACAACAAAAAACCCGAATTTGTGATTAGTTAAATTTAGTTGTTGCTCTTATTGTTGTTGCTGTTGTCTAATTACAAGGTTAGTTAATAAATTGTCAGGTAAAAATCAGTGAATCGTTGTAAGGCCTTGGTTAAATTGTTCCTTCTTTGGGTTTCCTCTTCGAACCTTTAATTGTTGATTAATTTGATTCTAATTTTTTGGCTTTTCCTTTTTTTTTGACGAAAAAGAAACAAACTAAATTGTTGGGACATTTTCACTTCCATGTTGTTAACAGTTTGGTCAACAATTAAATTAAATATGATTCTTATTTCTCAACCTTCGTGCTTCAATTGGTACAATAATTAAATTGTTGTCGGTGTTGTTAATTGGACAGCAAAGATTAAGTGTTAAACTACAATGTTGATTTAGATTGATTCAGTTACCGTTGATTATCAACCCGAGGGGAAATTGTGATTTAATTTTTCTTGTCAGTGAATTAGTTGATTGTTGGTCTCTTTTTTTTCATTGTCATTAAAATAATAATAATAATAATACACTTTTAAAATAATAATAATAATAAAATTTGAATATTAATTATGCTAAGAAAATAGGAAACACAATCAACAATTAAATTTGATTTACTAAATTTGGTTTACCAAAAAATAGTTTTTAATTGTTGCAACCGATGGTTACGATGATTATATTGATTGATTATTCCCTTTACAATTTGATTGTTACATTGATTGAAATTGAATTTGTTTCCATTCACAAATTGAAACTATTGGAGTTTTTTTGTTCATTTTCAATTGTTTGTCTCTTCATCTGATAATTAGTTAATTGTCTGTTCTGTTGAGTGTTTGTTTCCATTGAGAGAGTTGATTTAGTTAATTATCTTCTCTCATTTGTTTTATACATTAAGATGAAATAAGCTAGAAGACGAAGAAGAGTTAAACTTGCAATTAGAATTGCAATATTCTGCCAAAGGTAATCATCTTTCAGGGAGAAATGATTAAGAATCAAAGATGAAGATGTCACCTGATCGGGCGATGATGAAGATGAAGGTAACTCAGCGGCGAGTCTTAAATAATCAAGTGGATTGTAAAATCCAGACCAAATTTTGGGTAAACTATCATATAAATAGGATGAAGTTCCGGTTGACGATTCAGGGTCACCAGGGTAATCGGGTGAACTTGAGATGTTTTCATCTTCGTAATCGGTTGGAGGAAGTTCAGTTGAAAAGTGAAGGTCTTGAGCAGCATATGATAGGGAGTAAGAGGGAGATGCCGAGGAAGAGGATGATGAAGATGGCGATGAATTTAGATTAGCCATTGTTAGATTTAGAGGTGGACACCGATCGTAACCATAAAGAACAATGAGAAACGCTTCGAAAGCATAACGAACATAGGAAATGGTTGCTATCGGTTTAAGGGCCAACGGTACCTTAGATATTTTACCAAAGAAGCCGCTTAAAAGGAAAACGGGTGCCATTGAAAGTGGAGCCATGAAAACGGCGTTTTGAACACTTCGAACATAAATTGTACCGAAAAGCATTCCAACCGTTTGTGCGATATTGGAAATCAGAATAGAGATGAATATAAACAAAGCGAACCTCCAATGGTCCCAAATTTGTCCCGTCATTGGATAGACAATTGAACAGAAAAGTGTTGTTATCACGATTTGGTAAGGTGTGTCGGCGATTATTTTGGTCCAATAGTAGGTCCAACATGAGTACCAGCCATTGTTACGCTCTTGAATGTGAACTGCAACCTCAGCGGGAAAGGTCAACACCGTCGGCATCATACAGGCCATAACGGTAAACAGAGTGATGAAAAAAATGAAAGCCACATTATCCTGAGTCGCTGCTAAAACGGCCCCAGGACTTTTGTTAATTAGATTAGCACTTAAGCTTGACAATTCCGTTGAAGTTAAATTGTTAGAGACTAGGGATAGACCTCCATTACCAGTATTAACACTGGCGGGGAAACAACCATCAGCTTCACCGATTGGATAATCGTACAGATAAGACATAAGAAGACCGATGAAAATTGCTTGACCGATACGAAACCAGGTCAACTTTGGATCGCGAATTGTTGTTAAATAAGTTCGAGTGAGTAGAATAATAAAATGAGAGAAAACGGGAAAATTTTGCTGCTTCATTTTATCAACAATTCGAGTAACTTTTACCCTTTTCTCGTTTGGTGAGACGGTAATCATTCCCAGGCCATTGTTCATCGGGTCCATTTGATCATCAACCATCATTGTGTCCGAATCAACTCCCGATCGAGAACCGGGAACAATTAATTTACGACAAGAGAGATACATTGTTTTCTCATCGTTAATCAATGTCATCTGTTTGGTTGACTCGTAAAGGGCCAATTTATTGATCGGCTCAAGGCCATAATCACCTGATGCAACTTCAATGATAAAATCTGCTGGATTGTGAAACTGAGGACAAGTTAAATCGTGACGGGAAAGATGAGATAACAGTGAAGTGGGTGAACCCTGGTAGAGACACCGACCATCGGAGGAGAGGACATACATTTGGTGGAAAATGTTTAACACTCTTGCCGAGGGTTGATGAATGGAGCAAATAATGGCCGGTGGTTTATAATAATTACCGTTATGACGGAGATCGGTTAATTGTCTTAACAGGGAGATACAAGAATAGGTTGACGATGAATCTAAACCGGAGGTTGGCTCATCCAACATAAGTATATCTGGACCTGAGATTAACTCAATTGCAAAGGTTACCCGTTTCAATTGGCCTCCCGAGATACGGCCAACCCTGACCTCAGCACATCCTTCAAGGGTAAGTGCCTTTAAAACGGAGTTAACTAACCTTGGATGATAATATGAGTTACGAATTCGTTTGTAATTTTTTAACCTTGAGGCAAACATAAGAGTCTCTCGGACCGTTAGCTCACCAATTAGCTGATCCTTTTGACCAATGAAAGAGATCTTAATTGACCTACTTTCTTCACTTGTCTCAAGGTAATCGCGATCATAGGTAACCATGATTGAACCTTTAAGACCTTTAGTCCGTCGACCAGCTAAACTTTCAAGTAATGTTGATTTACCTGCACCCGAAGGGCCAATGATTGCGGTCAGGGTTCCACCGGTAATTTCACCGTTTTGTTTATCTAAAATAACTCGACGTATAATTGGACCCATAGAACTGGTGCCCGTTGGTGTGGTCGGGGGTTTTTTCGGTGCTTTCGGTGAAGTGTAAGTTAAATTACGCCAAACAAGTCGGACAATTGAATTGGTTGAATGGGATGAATATTCAAAAGGAAAGGCAAGAAAAGCGTCTGAAGGTTCAGTTGGTTTTTCCTTAACGATATCTTGTTGTTCAAGGGAAAGACGACGAATTGATGATTTACTGACCATTGACCAGTTCTTATAATCGGTTGATGTTGATGGTAAACTATTCGAGGTAACGGAAGGTCGTATCATCGATGAGCCTGTAGGTGAACCTTTATTCACGTTAATTGGATCCATATTTTGATCTAGATCATCTAAATACGAATCAATATTAAGACAAACATTATCGATACCATGTAAACCATTTGAACTATGGTGTTGATTGTTACGATTAACACCAACACCACCACCACCTCCACTACCCATCATCCCGTTAGGTACATGAGTGAGATTACCATTACTGCCTCGAGATACATTGGAAGCCAGTGAACGACTACTTTGTCTCATTATGAACAATTAATGAGTTAATTTGTTTTGTGCACAGAAAACAATCAATCCAATAAACGAGAGAGAAACGAAAATTTTTCCAAAATAATTAGTGGTCAATCGATGGTCAAGAATATGAGTTAAAGCAAATGACAAGGTAAGAAAATTATGATTATCCAATTTATCACAAAGAGAAACTTAATTTGCACAATTATCCGAAAAATTGTAAATCACTTTTCACTTTTTAACACAATGGTAGCAATTAGTTGATTGTCCGATCAAGAATCACATTGATTTTTAACGTTAACATATTAAAACGATGATTTGGCTTCACGATGTCCAGCGAGTGTTCACAAAAAAGGAGCTAAGGTTCAAAATCGAAACTTTTTTTCACTTTTTTCTATTTTTTTTTCTCTTACTCTCTGTTTATCGCTTGTTGTCCGTTCAAACAAAAGTGAATAAGTTGAGAGAAAAAAAATTGTTCTAATCAATTGTTACCTGGAGAACAAGGTTTTCTCAGGTTGTAATATGATTTTTAAGAAGAGAAAGAGAAAGTGGGAGTTGAATTCATGATGACGAAGGGTGAGATTTCCTTCCTATTTCCTTGGATGAAAATGGTTGATATTTTGTTCGTGAGCTTGAAAAGTTTTCAGTGTTTCTTCAAGCTGAAAACTCGAACCGGAAAAAAAAGGACTTGCTCTCACAACGAAATTTGTGCATATACGAATTACAATTAACTCTAATTGTTATTATTCTTGTCGTTCTTGTACCTTGTCATGTTATTCAGATTCTTGGAAATTTTTATCTCTCTTGATTCTTATGAAAACATGAGATGATCTTGAGATTTTCGTTGAGGCTGAACAATCTTTGTAAACTCTCAGTTCGATTCTTTTGTTCAGAACTCTCTCTCTCTCTCTCTCTCTCTCTCTCTCTCTTGCCTATTATTTCACCTTAATTCTGATGCATTCTGAGATTTTAAGATTATTGTTGTTCTTGGTGTTCCTTTTCTTGTCTCTCAATCTTGTCTTTGTTTTCATGGATTCAGTGGATTCCCTGAACCATGATAATCATTTGAATCTATTTTCTAGTGAGATGATTAACTAATTCATATAACAAATTGTTAACTTATCATTGTGTTGGATCAGTGGTTAACTTTTAATGGATTAGTGGTAATTTACTTTGATTGTAACTAATTTCTAATAAAAGATTATCAAGATAATCAAAAAAAAAAGAAAGTAAAGGAAGAAACAATTAACTAACCATGAACATTTCTTCACTATTCTTTAGCAATTATTTGCTGGTTAATTGTTAACAATTAACTGTACCATTGCGAATTCAAATTATCTTGTTAACAAAGTCAATTGATTGTTACCAATTCGCTAATATTAATAATTGGGTGTCAAAATTTGTCTCCCAGTGAATTTAATTTAAATTTAGTTTCAATGTTAACAATTACACTTCGTTGTTCGAGTTTTTTATTTGTAACAATTAGGATTGTTGCGATTTAAATTGTTGCTGCTTCAGGTTACATGAGTTTCCAATTTGAAATTGATTTTCATAACATTATAATTACAATTTAGGATCAACGGATAAATATAATCAAGATTTTACATTAATAGTTGATTAGATTATAATCTTAATCAATACAGAATCAATATTATAATTGTTATGAGCTTCTGATGACAATAAGTAGTTGATTAAACTTACGAAGACTGATTTTGTTTGAATTATGTTTTTTGTGTCCATTCAAAGATATGACAATAAAATTAACCGGCAATTAGTTGATAGTAATTACAATTAAATACAGTATCATGTTTTTTTCATATGATACATGATTAGTTAACAATTTACACAGAAAATGAAATGTATTAGAATAGTTTGACATGGAAATCCTTTTGTTTTTCGTAATCAGATTAAATTGTCTCGTTGTTTTTTTTTGTTCTCGTTCGCTGATTGCAATTGAAAAAGTTAATTGTTTTGAAGTTTCTGGTGATTAACACGTCAAAATAAGTTAGTTTTTTTACATAGGAAAGAAAATACATGTAATCGAACTACATAAGAAACAAATGGTAGACTGTAAAGGTGAATCATTAATTAGAAAAGATTAAATCACAATTAATAGTAATTTTATCTTATTCTAAAAATGAGATTAACAATTAACTAAACAATTGAAAAGGAAGACATTTTGAAATCAGAGAAATAAACACAGAAAAAAATATAAATATGATTAGCGAGATGAAGGTTAGGTTGAGATTAATCTCGTTGATCATAATTAGCTATTAAACGAAAAATAAACTTTGTAATAATCATTTTGAAACAATTAACTCAAAAATGCAATGGTCAATATAATTGAACATTTTTAGATAATAATCAAGTAATTGCTTGAAAATGGATGACAAAAATTGATTATTATTTAAAAATGACATTATCTTGATAATATCATGCAAACACAGGGTGAGAGTTAATTGTTTTTACAAAAATTCAATCTACTGATTGATTGTTAGAAGTTTTAGCAAAAAAATGTTTGAATTTGTCCTTTGCTTTCTTAATTGTTAAGGTGAAGTTTCTTGACCGTATTGACCTTGTTGGTGGAAATGATGAAAAGATGATAAAGTAAGAAGATTGTTCGTTAATTGCTTGGCTTTTGATTGAAGAATTGATTATGATTCCTTAGATTTTCGCATCTTTTGAAACCAATTTCTAATCGATTCCAATCGAAATGGTTGTTCGAAGTGATTAGGTACAATTCCGTTGACACGGGACTCAAAGAAATAGAAAAGTGGAAACCATATTCGAGTTCGTTTACGATCTCGCTGGTAGAGAGCTCGATTATTGGCAAGAGTGTGGTAATAGAGGAAAAGTCTTGTTGAAATGTAGAAAGCGATGAAAACGTCGATGGAATAATGTTCATGGGCTGCGAGTATGAAGAAAACACCAAACAGATTCAGAACCCAGGATAATGTGTGAATGTAGTACATTCGAGGAGGAGTATCTGTTTGAAGAGTGGAAAAAATTAAATAGAACAAAATTATTAGTAATCAATCAACATCTGGTTAATTATCTTAGTAATTTACTTTGGATTGAGAATATGATAACTAATCATATTGTTTGATGATGGAAAAATTATTAATCATCAATCGAGCAATTTATTGAAAAAGCTTAGGCACAAGGTAACTGCTGTTTCTGTTGTTTAATTGTTGTTGAGAAATTATCTGATTTAGATTAAATCACCAAGAGCTTTTGTTGGTTTTTTTTTCAATGACAAAATTTATACTTCATTAGTTATTTGTGAAGTGATTGTTATTTCAACCATAATGTAAATTAAATAAATAATCAATGGTAACCTTATGATTACCTGTATTGATTAACTGGTTGTTCTAGATGATAAGTGCTGATGATTTAAATTGTTGTTGGTCTTTTTGTTTTTGTGTTAGTCTACAATGAGGTAGACGCAATTAAACAAAATGTTTACCTTTCAACGGAAAACACAATTAACCCATAAATGAGATCAACTTGTAACAATTTATTAACATAATTGCTGTAATTTTATGAGAAATAATTGTCATTCAGAAATTTAAATTGTGATTAAAATAAAAAACCGGAAAGTAAATTTTTTCACGTCCATAAAAAGCACATTTTAAATTAATACCAACAATCAATTGACATTTGCTAAACCATTTTGAGTTTTAACCTAAGCCTTATAATTTGCAATTAAGTCAACTTAATCATCTCTCGTTATTGGGTAAATGATAAAATTATCAAATTGCTCTATTGTCAATGATTAGAGAGAAAAACTATTTCCAAAATTGAATGTAAAAATAAAACTCCATAGGATAAGATCCAATTTGATGGAAAATCAATTAAATCGGATACATGGATAGTTGATTTTGATTGATTGGCGATTACGTACATTCAGTGATGAAAAAATTGAGCAATGTCAAGGTAACTGTGTGTCCACTGAACATATAATCACCACAAGTTCGGACGCCCTTGATGGACATTCCTCCACCGGCCCATATTAAGTATGCTTGATGTAACCTCTCAATCCAACTTCCGTAGGGCTGTAATGGTTATTAGAAAGAAAGAAAAAAAATTAGAATTGCGAATCAGTTAATTTTCCCTGGTGATCAATCAGAATTTGTTTCATGAAAGTCAAATGATTTGATTGAGCTAATTAAAAGGTGACATGGTTGGTTGGAATGGTTAACCATTACTTACACGAGCAGTACATTTAAGATGTCGACCAGGGACAGAAAGTGAGGTTATAAGCATGGTCACACATCGAAGTAGAAATACTGATCCAAAAAGTGAGAACATCCGTCGCAATAGAATAAACCTATTCAAGTTTCAAAAGATCGAATAAAGAATTAGAATAGAAATTAAAGGAAATAAAAGTTAAGTAAATGATAGTAATTGAAGGAAGGTGGTGAAAGTGAAATTCAAAACAATAAGATTAGGAAATAAATTCGGTGAGACAATTAAATCTCTAAATTGAATTGGTAAATTGATCATTCACTTTGTTTACTTATTGTTGAATTAGAAAGTTGAAAATAAAAGATATTCAGAGATTGACTCTAAACTGTGCCAAAGATAAAAATATAATCTCAATTCCAATTTAATCGGTAAAACAAACTAAAGAGTCAAAATATTTAGAATTGCTATTATTTTCTAAAAAAGAAATAAAATAAACAGAATAAAACAAAGAGAGAACGAGAAAGAGAAAGCAAAAATAAAAAAAAGAGAAAACTCTAAATTCTCTTAATGGAACAAAAAAAAACTTGATTGACTTGAAGGAGAAATTTTTACACCTTGGAATTGAGAACCGAAGTTTCTTTTGTTCATTATCGTTGAATGTTTTTCTTTCTTGATAATAGAAATCATGAAAGATTACCTGTGTTTGTGGAAGATTAGAATTGAGGACCAGATGAGAAACAAAGCAACACCACATAATTCACACATTTGGAAAGCCCATGGGATTAAAGGTACGTTATCGAGAAAAATATCGGGCAAAGGTGGATAAGTTTGCATATCGGGAACTCTATCATGAACGATAACCATGACAAAAGCTGTTATCCATGTGACCAGAAAAAAGTAGACCATTGCTACAAGAGCTTTCCAAGCTTCGGGTTTGGCTGTTTTATGGATTGACGAACCACCAGACCGAGATTCACTTCGTAAAGTTGTTGATTTATGATTAGTTGTTGATGTTGTTGTTGTTGAGGTGGTAGTGGTATTGGTTTTACTGTTACCTTCTTCATCTGATGATGAATAACATGTATCTTCAGATGAATCAGCTGAGTTTGACGATAAGGCATCAGAAACATCACTTCCTTTGAGATTATGTGAATTGAGAGGTTCATGATTGTTATTATTACCATGATGATGATGATGGTGGTGATGGTGATGATAATGATACGTTACTAATGAGAAAGCCATTGGCTCAAGGTTACAATTGTTTTCCAAAGATTATAATTAACAAAATTTAACTTATCCCCTTTTTTCTTGATGGAACATAAATCAAATAAATTAAATTAAACATAACAAACGAATTGGATTAACAACAACGATCAAGTTAAATTGAAAAAAAGAAAATAAAAAAAAATTCTGTTTACAGATATTTCTAAGTATCGATATTTCAACTTTCTACTGGATCCAAAAAGATAAATTCGATGTCGATTGTGTATCTCGATAGTATCGAAATTAATATTTTCTTATTTTCTAGAAAAAATAATTTCTTTTTTTTTTAGATTTTTAATTGTTTATTTCAATAACTTGTGATAATTTTAATTTACAGTTAAAGGATAAAAATCCTTGAAAATCACTTTTTAGAACTTGGAAAGAGATTAAGAGAGAGAAAGAAAAAAATAGTTACATGTTTTCTTTGTTAATTTCTTTCAACTTGATCAACGTAAGTTAATTAAAGATGAGTTTAAATGCTTAACGATGATTAACGAAACAATTAATGAAGGAAAATGTTTCTTTAAATAAGATGATTAATTTTGATTGTGATGGATGATAAGAAATTGGTTAATTCGATTGTTAGTATCGATTACTTCGACAAAGTTCGCGGCCAAAGGAACCATATGAAACTGTGTTTCGATTGTGTGAAGTTTTGCCCCAGGCACCAAAGGGAATTACAATTGTCGAAGCGTTATCATCGCAAGCATAGTGAAGAGCTTGTTCTGCGATAAAATTAGCAGCCTCGGATGGGGTACTACATCGAGAGGCAGCATCGACGATCTCCTGGTCATTCATTACGAAACTGACACCATCAGTGGCCATAACTAGGAAAGAATCCTTTCCATGTTTAATCTAGAATGAAAAATGGAAAATTAAAATTAATTTTTAACGAAAAAAAAGAATAGAAAATCACAAATTAACTGTTAACTAATTTACCTCAAGAGATCGTGTATAAGGTAAAGCAATTACTCCATAAGGTTTAAGATCTAAATCACCAATACTTCGGGTCATTGCAAGGCGACCATTAACTAATCCAGTTCCATGACTGTTTGCAATTATTGATCCTCCTGATTTCATTATCCGTTCCTGATTAATAGAGAAAAAAAAATTAGTAATTATTTGATTATTTGATTATAAGTTAACGGAGGGACAGTTTTTTCCCTTTTTTTCTATGACAATCAAATGGAAAAATTAACTCAGTTATCAATTGATTGTTAACTTGATGACGATGAAAGATTTTCATTGATTGTAATTGAAAGTAACAAAGTGGAAATATCTCAAATCCTAAATTGGAAACAATCAACATAATTATATAATTCTCAGCATATCAACACACTAATTGAATGGAAAAATTATTAACCAAGTACATTAATGTACAAACGTAATACGTTGGGTGTTTGCCAAGAGATTGATTATAATCAAATATTCATCAATATGAAAATCACTTAATCATTGATTAAAGATAATCAAGAGAGAGATTGAATAAAAAAATTGTTCTTCTTTCAACTCAGATTAATTCACCTTTTCTGACTTGAGAGATGGACTATGGTCAATGGTCAATTTACGAGCATCGCCATTACGACAGAGTAAAGCTCGACTATCGCCAACATTGGCAATCGTTAATTCAACGGAATTTTTGAGAAGACAAACAGTGGCCGTTGTTCCGGAAAACATGGATTCCTTTTCTTTAACCTTAAGCGCTATATGTCGGGCGAGTGCGTTGTTAACTTCGATAAAAGCGTTTTGCAAAACCGCCTCAAGATCAGTTTCTCCTCGTTGTAACCAATAGGTGATATATTGTTCCATTTTTTGGTAACAAAAATCGGCAGCAAGTGACCCTCCATGTCCGTCAAATATGGCCAAATAAAGAAGATCAGGTCTCAACTCTTTAATTCTGAAAAAGAACAAGAAAACGAAAAAGAGAATAGAAAAACAATCAGAAACAAAGAGAAAAGAACAAAAAAAAAAGAAATGTTTACATATGATTATATAGAAGAATGAGATTCTTTTTGGTTCATGTTTACCTAAAAGCGAAACGATTATTTCTAAATTGTAATCAACGATAATGTACAACAATTAAGAAGTGATTTAGATAATGGAAAATTGAGAGAATCGATAAACTAACCTGATACGATCTTCATTAGTTGATCGTCTCCCAATAACAGAAGCGGATCCCGCCATGTCTGTTGTTATCTTTGGAATTGGTTTACCATAATTAATTGATTCTTGCAGGAGAATATTAAAATCAATTCGATTATCCCATGAACCCCAATCATGTCGAGACCGGGATGGAACTGAAACTAAAGGTGGTAATTCACATGAAGGTAAAGATGATGATGATGAAGATGATGAAGATGAAGATGAAGGTAAAGTATCAATTATTGTTGATGAAGGATTAACAACCCTTAATAAAGAGTTAAGATGAAAACGAGAAAAACCTTTGGATACCATTTAGATGATTAACTTAATTAACACTAAATTAACATTGAAGGTAAACAACATGATTTAAAAAGAGAAACAAAAACAAAAATTAAAAATCCATTGAAAGTAATAAGTTAACCAGATTTCATCATTTCTATTTGGTCAAAATCTTGTTTACTGGTTCACTTGAGATAAACGATCATTTTAATCGTTTTCTTTAAGCAATTTAAATTTCACTTAATTATTCGCAATTAACAAGAGAAAACACTGATTGTTGCAATTAATTGAAAAAAAGAATGACACTTTTCACTTGGTTTCCTTGAGAATCTTTTTCAATGGGGTTTTCCTTCACCTTCTAACTTAGTAAACAACAACATTGAATTTTGTTTCTCTCTCTCTCTCTCTCTTTCTATCTTCTGGTGATGACGCCAATGATGATGACAACTGATGATGAGTTGATTTAAGTACCGCCTAATTGTTACGTGATAACAATTTAATTATCCGATTGAAATGATGATTAAAGAATAAGAAATAAATTCTTCATATCTCCGACCTGTTCCATGACCGTTACTTTTTGTTGGCTTGATTGTTTAAATTACACTTTGGTTAACAATAATTATGATGATTCAACAATCGGTAAATTGTTGATAATTATCCCAATTGGAAACTGGATGGTTGGTGTTGATATGAAATTAATTAATTCTTGTGGTTTACTTGGAGATTTTACTTTTATTGTTGTTGTTGTTGTTGATGATTCTAATTGCAGGAAAAGTTCACTCGGACAAGGTAACAATTGAATTATGATTAAATTGTCTGACTTTTTCCATTCATTATTAAATTGTAAACAATTAGTATATTCGCCATACACTTTAATTAGTTGCTTCTTTTAGAGATGATTGGTTATATTCATCATGATTATCTCGCCATTGGATCTAAGGGAAAAGAGGGAAAAAATGAAAAGATTTTGATCTAAATCATGATAATCATCATGGAAATTGATTATCTCTCAGATAATTAGACAACAATCAGGATAATCATCAATCGTCATCACAATAACAGAAAATTATACTCTTACAATCGGTAATTGATCTAATTTATCTTCATTAATTAACTTTTTCTATCTAACAATTAACATCTACAATCGTTACAATCAGAACACAAATTAAGGTTAATCACTTAGAATTCAGACCTTTTGATTTGATTAACCTTTTAATTGAAACTAATTGTTTCATGTTAATTGTCAATAAGAAAGTCACTTCTAGTTGAAGCCAAGTTAATCAACCTATTGATTGATATAAATTATAATTATTAATCTAATTTACTTCATCTCCTGATTGTTTGATTTTTTATACTTTTGTTTACAAAGTCACAATTTACCTTGAATTAATGATAATGATTAAACATTATGATCTTGTTATTGTAATGATGAAAAATTAAACCATCCAGTGTAAACATCTGATTAATTGTTAGTTAATCACTGGAATAAATCACTTTGGAGCACAACAATTAAAATCAAGGGAAAAGGGAAAAATCAACTTAATCACTAGATTGAAAAATTGGGTTCTAAATTATTATTGGAAATCCTTAATTTTCCAGTGAGAGAAAATCATTTCAATTAGAATGGGAAGTTGATCATCTTAATTGTATCCGTTATTCAATCTTAATTATAGTTATACCACCGCTTTCATTGACCAATTTAATCACAATTTAGTTGATGTATTTTTTGAATTGTTATTGATGTTAAACTTTTCCAAATCTATTTCCTTTGGTGTAAAAAAACTCCAATAAATCAATTGTGATTTCCAATTAAATTTTCAACTCGAATAGAAGAAAAATCTGCAACAATTTATATACAAATTCTGTTAATTGTTGATTAATCAAGTCCAAGTAAACAAAATTTTCGACACTCAAGATGAAATTGAGAATCTTTTGAAATGTATATTCACTTTCCAGAAATATCTTCCATGGATACTAAACAATCCGTTGGTTAATTAGTACAATGTATCAACTAATTTGCTGAGTTAATCACAATCAACAAGATGATATACAAGTCGCCAGACAATTAACACCAGTTGATTAATTAAATCAAACCTTTAAGGTTAATGAAAAAAAGGTAAACAAAAAAAAGGTGAACCTATTAACCAACAACATTTGAGAAAATGAAAAAACCAATTAACTAATCACAGTTAATTAATTTCGTGTCAACTGATTGGAGTCCAATCCATCGGAGGTTCACTATTTAAAAATAGAGAAAATCTTAATTAGAATAAAAAACAATCACAATTAACAAAAAAATTAACAAACCAATTTACCAATTACGCTCCAAAATCAGGTAACCAAAAAAAAGCTAATTCACTTTCTTTTTCTGTGTCTACATTTTGTTCTCTTTCTTTTTTCTGTGTCGACGAAAAAGAAGCAAAAATGATCATATGTTTTTTTCCCTTTCGGCAAAATTGTGATTTGTTTAAGAGTTAAAGTTAAAGAACTGAATTTTTGAAAGACTGAATTTCTAGAAGACTGAATTTATAGAAGACTGTATTCCAAAGCGGTTGAATAAAAATGTGACCGCTGAGGGCAACACTCGAGGTTGCCCAGTCACATTGACGACCGTAAGGGTCTTACGAATCTATGTTTTTGTATTTTTTTCTTGTCTTTTATTTTTGTTTCAATCTTTTCTAATTTTTACCATTTAAATTCGCTACTTTGACTTTCGCGCTAGTGACCTTAACTTATTGATTTTTCGCTCTTTTAATTTCGCTATTTTGAGCCTTTACCAGATCAAATTGATCTTTAACGGAGCTGATGGTATGCTACGTAAAGTGATCTTACATCAAGGTGACTTTTTTAAAACGATTGACCTTAGATTAAAATTTATGACCTACGGTACTCGACCTGGTGGGAAAAAGGTTGAAAAAAGTGGTGCTTACCTTTTCCTACCTGACTCAGCTGAAGCTCAAGACATGGCTTATTCAAAACCTTCCATACGTATAACTGATGGTCCTTTGGTCAGTCGGATGGAGATTATAATTGACAATTCATTAAAATTACAACATACAATCACCTTAACCAGAGGAAAACCTTATTTTGAGATTGAAAATGAATTTCATATGGTCAAGGCAGGAGGTTCTTTTGACAATAAGGAGCTTTTATTAAGATTTTTTTCTGACATTCAAAGTGATAATACATTTTACACTGATTTAAATGGTTTCCAGGTAAATTACTTGACGAAAAACTATTGTTTTACTATTCTAATTAATCTTTTATTAACTTGTTCATTTAGATGGTTAAACGTAAATGGTTTGAAAAACTTCCCGTTCAAGGAAATGTTTATCCAATGGCTAGTCTAATGTACATAGAAGATTCTTGGACTCGATTGAATGTCCTTTCTGCTCAACCCTTAGGAGTGACCAGTCAACATGCAGGTTTAATTGATGTCTTTCTGGATCGTCGGTTGGTTCAAGATGATAATCGAGGTGTTGGTCAAGGTATAACTGACCATCGACGGACTCGTGAACGTTTTAGAGTTTCAATTGAAAATCGTGGTCTCAATCCCCTTAAGCCAACGTCTCATGTCCATCAAGAGTTGACCAAATTACTCAATGAACCTTTTCTTATGCAAAGTGGATCTTCCAGTAATCAAGGATCGTTACAATTTATGTCATCACCTTTACCCTGTGATGTTCATCTTCTCAATTTCCGAAGTGATTTAAACACTCAAAATGACTTTTATCTTTTTCTCCATCGTTTTGGTTCTACCTGTGAATCTACCTGTCCATCATCTCATCCATTTACTTTGCTCCCTCATCTTTCAAGGAATATTTTTAATTCAATTCAACCAACAATGTCCACAATGAGTCTCTCATTAAATCAAGTATTACAATCAAATTTAAACATTTCCAGTTATCCAATACAATTGGAACAAATGGATTTTGCTGTTTGCAATTTTCTTCGTTTCTCTTGGAATTTCGTCTAATCGCGTCGTAAAGGAACGTTCTCGTAATCAATCCGCCGGTCGCACTGATTATTTTATAAGGAAATTCTCGGCTTTCTTTTTTGTCTGTTTTTTCGCCATGAGCAGCTACTTCGATTTTTTGTTTTTCCAATTCCTCATGGGGAATGTTTTGCCAGGAACAGAGAAACACTTAGTTTTAAAAACGGATCTAACTTAAATAGTATATGAATCGGGACTGTTACTAACCAAGCGATAGCATCCTCCGATTCGGAAATTATACTAAAGGGTGTTGCGTTTAAAAAGTATAACTTATCTTACTTTAGATTGTGATGAAAATGATAAGAATGAAGATAAAAAGATAAAGATGATGAAGATGATGAAGAAGATAAAGAAGAAACAAAACAAACATAAACAAAATCAACGTGTAAGTTTTTTTCTGGTGAAAATGAATCAAAAAATAGCTTTTAGGACCAAAGTAGTGACCACTTTTTTTATGGTTTACCGAAAATTTTCAACGGACTATGAACGTGTCCAGGAAGTGAATAAAGAGTTGAGAGAAAGTGGCCTTAGGACGATGAATAGTTCAGGGATGTTGAGATTGGTCAAGAAATTTAAAGAAACTGGCTCAGTATCAAATAAACAGTCAAAGAGAAAGAGAAAATCACATAATGAAGATCGAGTGATGGTGATGGTAACTGAAGACCCAACAATCTCATTGAGAAAAGCGGCGGCGGTGGTTGAATCGGCTCCAACATCCGTTTATCGTATTTTCAAAAAAAATGGACTTTTCGCTTACAAACCAATCGAAGGGCAAAAACTGACACAAGTCCATAAAGATTCCAGGTTTAGTTTTTGTGTCAGAATCGACCAATTGATTCGCTTGGAACAATTGGACGTGAAGAGCATTTGGTTTTCGGACGAGAAGATTTTTACTTTAACAGGTCGAATAAATCGACAGAATAATCGTTCTTGGCTAACAGAAAGATCTCATAACCCAAACATTAACCAGCTTGTTGCTCATTCACCTCAGTGCCATGTACGGCTGCGCTGAGTCACTATGGACTAATTGGTCCTTATTTTTTTTCTTCGAATGTAAATCAAATAACTTATAGGGAATGTATTGACCGTTTCTTCATCCCCGAGCTCAACAAATACCCTGACCAAAGGCCTTTGGCCTGGTTTCAGCAAGACGGCGCGACTCCTCACTGTACCGCTGAGACAATTAATTTATTGACAAAACATTTCGGCTCAAAGCTTATCAGCCGGCGGAGTGAGTTTGAATGGCCTCCATCATCATGTGATCTCAACCCTTTGGACTTCTTTCTCTGGGGTTACATTGACGAGCAAGTTCGGCGATGTCAGCCGAAGACTTTGACTCAATTAAAGTCTTTAATTGTTGATAAATTTAAATTGGTTACAAAAGAAATGCTAAAAAACACAATTAATAATTTTGTAAAGCGAATTAATAAGTGTCGAGAAGCCAAAGGTGATCATTTTGTTCATAATTTATAAAATGAAAACAATTAATCGCAAATTGAGTTTGTTTATGTTTTGTTTCTTCTTCATCATCTTCATCATCTTTATCTTTTTATCTTCATTCTTATCATTTTCATCACAATCTAAAGTAAGATAAGTTATACTTTTTAAACGCAACACCCTTTAGTATCTGAGCGTTTTGCCGGCTGTTTTTCCATCTGAGGTGTTGCACTGGAAAAAAATGAATAAATTCAACTGTAATGTATGTAATTTAATGCATTCTTTCACTAACCTATTCTCAAGCTGAAACACTCGGATTGTAAAGAAGGTATTCGAAAAGTGAATCTTGTATTCGAAAATAGTTCAGTAATCTTAGATTTGAGGTCTTGAGCAGTTGCACCCACGGAATGATTCGAGTCCGAAAACAGTTTCAACTGGATCATCTGAACCATTCTTATCGAGTGAGTCGGTGTCTCTAATCTTGATTTTCTTGACACCAATGGTTCGTCAGTTTGTGAAATTGGCATACCCGATTCCGTGGATGTTGAGTCGACAATGGTTTCTCCTTGTGATCTACGAGATGCATCACTCAATGATAATGCGGAAAATTCATCGCAAAGACTGATTCCTGATTTGACGCAGAATCTGTGACACAAGCAACACAGGGTCTTACTGATCTTGGTCCAGCTGGTTTTGTTTATTTTCGCCCTTAGGACGACCGGCCACGCTTTTGAGCCTCAACATTGATGCGTTCCTGAAATGAAAAATATTAACCGTGAAGAAAACCAACCAAAGTATTAACTAAAACAACTTACCAAGATATCGTTTTTTGAACACCAGAACGAATGAAGTAGCTGATGAGCCGGCGATGGAAGATAATAAATAGATTAGCTGGAATGAAATTTTGGGGTAGTTGCCGGCGAAAGATTTTAGCTTACATGAAGTTGTTTGTTTTTATGTTGTTGATCAATTGTGTCCAATTTGGCGTCATTCACTTGAATTGGTTTGTCACAAACTTGGAGCAGTAACTGATGAGAGCGAGAGAACAATGAATAACTTCAAATTTTGGTGAGAAGATTTGTCAACAGTGGAGCTGTAGAAGAAAAAACAAATGCACTTGTTGTAGTCTTAAGATAGAGTGGGGTCAATATTGTTGGTTGGATTAATTTTTCAATATCGTCCAATCAACTTGTCACTTCATGTGTAAAAGTTTTGGTCCAAGTCTTGAAGAACTAGCATCGCGCCTCTGTGGTGCAACTTTTCTGTGCTGTGTGTAAGTTCAAATACTATTAAAATTACTCCAATGTAAATGAACGGAAATAAATTGAGCAGTTTAAATTGAAATAATTGATCACAAATCCACAGTCAATTGTTGTCTGGCACAAATGATGGAAAATTAAATCATCGTCAATGGAAAACAAGATTAAGATATTATGATGATAATTATCATAATAACTAGCTAATTATTACAATAAATAGTAGAAATTTATACAAGTCTGTGATATATTAAAAAAAGTTAACTCATTTTTTGTTTTAATAAAATCATTTTAAATTATATCAATTATTTACCTGATTCAGATTTTAGTAATTATCTTCTAATTATCTTAACCAACATCAACAGAGACAATTAACTAATACGATTAACCAACAACAAATCCCAACATCTTAGAGACATTGACTCTGAACGGGATATTTTTGGTTGTTTTCGAATTGATTTATTAACCGCTAAATATGATGATTTAGAAATAATTAGTAAATTTTATCAGGATGAAAATAAGTAAAGGGTGTTCAAAATAAAAACTTAAAATTATCTCAAGTTAGATAATGAAGATGACAAAGAAAACACTGATAAGCGAGATGAAGATGTAGCGATGATGAGTTTAGTGGGTAAATTTGAAAAAACTGGAAACGTGGTCAACATCAAATCAAAGAGAAAGAAAAAATCATACAAAGAAACTGAGGCCATGGAAATTGTCACCCAAGATCCATCAATATCTTTACCGAAAACTGCAGCAATAGTTGGTTATAGACCTTCGTCTATTTGGTACATTTTTCGTAAAAATAATTTATATTCCTTGAAGACGAGGTTTCAAATGATGAGCCGAGAAAAGATCTGTACATAAAGATGATTAAATTGGATCATAACTCGTTATCATCAGAGGAAAAGTCAAAAGGGACAATAACCAAGTTAAAATATATGCAAGGGAGCAATTGAGTTCAACATCAACTCTCGGATTCCGTATTGAAGGATTTAAGGTGAGCAACTAAAAAAGAAAAAAATAACTTTGTTTTTGAATAATAATTTTATCTCTCTCTCTCTCTCATCTTAAATTGAGCAGACAGAATCAAGACAAGTTACTAACAACGATTTATTCTCAGCGAGAACTTGTGATGAGGTGAAAACCGTTTTCAGGAATTTCTTCCTACTCGGCGAAACCAGTTAGATGCTCTTATTAGTCGTCTTCAATCTATGCAAAAGGAATTACAAAAATCAGTCTTTTTCTCGACCCATGAGATGATCGGTAGCTCTTTACTTATGGTCTATGATAAATCCAATGTTGATGTTTGGATGATCGATTTTGCTAAAACAAGCCCTCTACCGAAAGGTGTTACCATTGATCATGTTTCGCCTTGGATATTGAGAAATCATGAAGATTGTTATCTAACTGAATTTCAGAATTTAATCGATATTTTGAAAGATAATGTGATTAATATGATCTGTTTTTTTCATTTCCTCGAGGTGATTTCGTTCTTCTTTTCGCACAGTTTTTTTGGTTGATGTATTTGTCATAATCGTCGAAGTTTCAGCGATAAAAATTATATTAATTCATTATTAAATTTGTTGATTGTCATACGATGTATTTAATTGTGTGCCAATCAGTGTCGAATCCATAGCAAATATAGTGTTGATTTTTCCGTAATATTTTTTCTGTTATTGTCTCTCATCCAAAGAGTAAGAAGCAAGAGAGAGCAAGCTATCCGTGCTGAGAGCAACTGAGCCTGACACCAGAGGGCGTTTTTACCATTTCTTTTCTTTTTCCCTCTTTTAGTTTACTTTTTTCCGCTGAAAAAAGTAAAAAGAAAGGGAAAAGAAAGAGGAAAAGAAAGAGAAATTGAGAAAAAGAAAGTGAAAAGAAAGGGCCCTTAGTCTACAAAAAAGAAAGAGAAAAAGAAAGAGAAATGGTAAAAAGCGCCCTCTGGTGGCATCCGGGCTCAGTTTGCTCTCAGCACGGATAGCTTGCAGTCTCTTTCACTATACTCTTTGCTCTCATCTCTTCCAATCACATAGTTGACCCATGTTCTTGTTAAGAAAAGAGGAATTAGTCCAATCAATCTGAATCAGTTTGATTGTCCAATTGGACTAATTATTCAGCCGGCAATTGATCAACAATCAAGTTTGATTTCAAATCAGTTTGATTCGAGGTTCATAACTTAATTATTTGGCAATCAACCTGCTGCTCAAATTGATTACCTCATCAGACTCAATATAAGTGAGGAAAACAAACAAATTACTGGATGCTGATGGTCACATTTGCTTCAACGGAACTTATTATCAAATCTTTGACAACTTGGAACTCAACCTGTATCATTGTTTAGAAAATCATGGCCATTGCTTAGATGCGTCTCGATGTATTTACTGCTATAAAAGACACACAGGAGTCTGTTCAGCTAAATTTGATGATGAATTACTAAAGTGTTACCATTGCTCAGGGAAACATTAGTCCCACTCGAACGAATGTCTTTTCATTTGATCAACAAATCATCAACAATTAGAGTTACAATTATTATTGATTGAATATAATGATTGAATTATATTGTATTGATCATCATTGATTTGATTAGATAATCAAATTGAATTATTGATTAAAAACAAAAATTTAATTGTTGAATCAATCAAAATTAACTAGAGTTGGCAAGCTTTCAATTGTTAGTAATTAAAATCAAAACTTGCAATTAGTTGACAATCTCAAGATAATTTTGCAAAGTTCTCGTGACGGTGAAAATGATAATTTAAGCTAATCAATCAAGTCCAATAGTTGCAATGATGATACAGAATTACAATTAAGGGAATTCTCAATTTCCTTAACCGTTTTTCATGTTAAATTGTTGATGATAATTCATCGAGAAAAATAAACAAAGAAACTCATCAAAATTGATATTAACTGAATTCATGGTAGTGTAATGGCAGTGTTCAAGAAAGCTACCATTGAGCTGCCATCGTTCATGACCTCATGAGCAATGGTAGTGTAATGTAATGAGAAATTAGAATAGAGAATTGTTGTTGAAGTTGATTGAACGATCGAAGTTATTTCTTTTTGTTTTGTTCCCGCTCTTGTTCTTTGGTTACTTTCCTCTGGACTGAACATTGTTGGGTCAAATTTTCTTGAAATTTGGTGATTGTTCTAAATCCCTTTCGGCAGCAGAGACAAACCATTAAGAAATTATTACACAAAATATGTAATGCGAATTCTTCTTCGGGAGAAGCCGTAAAGGTTTGCTAGCAAACACAACCGTTATAAGTGCATTTTTCGACTACTTCTGCTTCACTGGCCAAATCCTCTATTCTAGCAGTTGAGACAGCAGCAAGTTTGCGTACCTCTACCAGCTGAAAGGCGATGCCTTTCGTAAACCAAATAGTAAAATAATCGTCGTCTTTCCTGTGCAGAAAAAAATGAATTAATTCAAATGCAAAATAAGGAGAGAATTAAATAAACTTACATTGCAACTTCGAAACAATCACCTTCACGACTTTTTCGATATGTATCAACTATGTTGAAGATGGAGATTAAATTTGGTAAAGTTTTCTTTTGATCTGAGTGATCACCGTATTACTGTTTGGCCAACTATTTTACCATCATAAGCAGCATCCATGATAACCCGCTCAAGCCAAGTTTTTAATCTCTGTTCAAATTCACCATCAGAAATAAACTTAAGTGTAACATGATTTGTTTTTTTCTTTTTTGAGCTTGATTTTTTAAAAGCTTCCTTGAAATCACGATGTTCCATCGACAATCGGGTACGATACGCACAAATCAATGAATATGCTCTGGCAGAGGCTTTCATGGTGAAGGTCGCACCACAAGGTGTACAATAAAATGTACATCCATAGGACTTCAACACATGCCGAAGAATAGTGGATCTATCACCAGGATTTTTTTATTGCTTTTTCTCTGTGATTTTCCCTGTGTCTCAGTTGTATCACGAAGAAAATATTTTCAACTTTATGATGAAGTAACATTATTAGTAAGGACTTATCATTCGGCAAGCAATTGATCAACAATCAAGTTTGATTTCAAATCAGTTTGATTCGAGGTTCATTAAACTTAATTGTCTGGTAATCAAAAGCTGGCCCTGCCCTTTGGTTGAGTCCCAAACTGATGAAGCAATTGAAGGTTTCATTAAACGAGGGCGAAAAATTTTTCTAATTGTTCCAATTTCATTTCCAGCTCCTAATGATCATACTGCTTTCATCAAAGGAATGGCCGATTTGGTTAAATCACATTTGGTCTCAGGTCAAATGTGAGTCATGTTGGTTCACTTTGTACTAATCCTTCCTGTTCATCAACTAAATCATGGATTGGTTCACTTTCTTAATTGTAATTCATTGATCAACAATCTCAACATCTTTGGTATCCAATTTAAAAGGCATTTCGTAATTTCCATGGACAATAGGTTATAGGTTGACTTTGAGTTTTAGTTTTAGGTTGAAGCTTTTCAGATAAGAAACTGCTTGGTAGAGGATCAAATAGCATTTCGTTTTCATCTGAGCCATTAGATAGATAATCTTTTAATCATTAAAAAATCAATAATTAATCATCAACCAAACAGAGACAATATGGAAATAGACTTTGTTTCATAACTATGATTTAACTAAAAATCCGTTTGGGTGGTAATCTCAACTGGTTAATAACCAGTAATTATTTATTTGTGAATTGTTCCGAGTAAATGCTGGTTGTTTTAAGTTCTCTATTTGTTTAAGACAAAATTTTCTCTTTCAATTGTTTATTCGAATTCAGTGTTGATATCAGAAATATCATTCTTCAATCAGAAAAATGGGTGATTGGGGCTCACGGAGTAAAACTCGGTCAATCGATATAACCAAATTACTCGAATCTTTTAAGAAGATTGAAATCTTCAAACTTTTTTCTATGGGAAACACACGTATGATAATCTGATTTCCATTTTCAACTTTTCTCTGATGTCGAAAATCCTTCTAGTGAAAGCTCTTCTTGTAACATGTAAAGATGTTTTTGGTACCGAAATCTCTTTTACCTTTAACGATATTCCAAAATTTGACGATAAAAAAATCGAGGATTATTGTTGGATCGATGGTAGTTACACAACTTTACCCAGTTCTCATTCTTCACTTTCACCCTACGTCGGGGTCACGTCCAGTACTAAAACGGATGATGGATCAAAATTTTATCACCCTTACTACCAATGGGTTTACTTTGCTATACTCATCCAAGTAAGATTATTCTACTTATCCTGAATTCATGGATTCTAATTTCATGAATATTTCTCTTTTTCTTTCCTTAGGCTATCATGTTTTTCAGTCTTAAATGGGTCTGGGATCGTCTTTTGGACCAACGAGTCATTGCTCTAGTTGGTAAATTGAAAAGTGATAAAAAAATATTTACGAATACGAAAGAGTTAATCAAATAAATCTCGTTCAATCGGTGGCCGATCTTTTATTTTCCAATGTCACCTTTTATTACAATGTTATTTTCATGAAAATACTTTGTCTTGTCCATCTTGTTTTCCAAATTTGGGCAACTGACCCATTCCTAAATGGCAAGCAAGATTTGAATATTGAATGATGAACATAATGGGTATAACAATTAAATCAAATTGTTAAGGTATGATCGGTAAAGAGTGGAACTAAACCTATCAACTTTTTCGATTTGCGATATTTTCGAAATATTTTCGACAGTATTCGATGCAAATTATGAATCTGATAAATATTTGCATGAAATTACCTCGAACAAATTGAACTTTTTTCTTTGGACAACAGGAGGATGAACGAAGGCTTCGTTTCAAGACGGATTTTCATATCCATCACCCACAAAAAGTCTTTACGAAAATATCTGATTTAGTGCAAGAATTTTAACAAAATACGACTTTTTTAATCAAAAACAAATAAAGCCAATTGATAAAGAAATTTTGAGGAAAAAGCTTTAAGACAGTAGATCCGATCGAGTTTAAGATATTGAAAATTGAGTTGATTTAAATATAAAAAATAACACGGTAACACATAACAAGATGTTTCGTGTATGGCCATGATTGTTGATTGTCGATACAACGAATGATTAATAGTTGTCATCCTCATCACTCTCATTGTTTGAGAGACTTTTTCTTCCACATTTTCGGATTCACCATCTCAGCTCTATATCCGATGGAGTGATCTGAATGACAGGGTGATACTGAAATCATAGAAACGCAACTTTCGGACTGAGGGTCCACTTCCACCTTCTCTGATTGTTCCAAATTGATTAGGTCGGGCGATTTCTTTCCAGCTCCTCTTCAGCTTTCTGCGAATTTCCTGAATTCAATTTGCTTCCACTTCTCGACTCTGCTGGTGATGTTGACGTTGTTGTTGATGTCGTCGCTTTTGCTGTTTTTGTTGTTGGCTCATTGTTCAAATTTTAACACGAATAGAAGAATTAAAATTAATTAAAATTAACAGCGTAACGCACTGGACTTAAAAACCATATGCTGAAAGATGATGGTGACAAAAGTAAAAATTGGGGTTTGCTTGTCAAATGGTCACGTGATTAAATCCGAATGACAGTCGTGTTTTGTTTCTAAATGAGCCATTATTGTCATCTCACAATGATCTCTCCCATCGATTGATAATTCTGATGACATGGGAAGAGAGAGAGAGAGCAAAGTTCAATCCATTTTCTGGCATAAATTGTTTTTTTTCAACTGTTCTGTTAATACTGTTAGTACTTTGCTACCTCATTTTTCAGGGAGTTTTTGATTCGATTCTCTGGCCAATACACGATAAATATTTAATTGTTGAAAAATATCCAAAATTATGGTTCAGATTTTATTGTGTTTATTTCAAACAAATTCAAACATTTTAACAAGTTTTTCGAAATGAAAAAAAAGTTTCATTTTACTTCTACGTTGATTTTGATTGATCATTATTCATGTTAAACTGATCAATTGGTTGAAGTATCCTAATAAAAAGGTACATTAATATTGCATTGAAGAAGATAATCAATCCAATCAATTTATATTTAATCAACCAATTAGTGGCTGCGGTCAAATGGACCATCGGTCCAGTCGGCTGGTTCATTCTCGCCTCTCGAGCCTCATGGGCCAAAGTGGCAACCTTTTCCCTCTCCCATCCAGGAATCAATGGAACCTGAAACAATAAGAAAACAAAATTACGACAATTCAATTATTAATAGAAAATGATTGAACTAATTATTCTCACCTCATTTAAATCATTTTGTGGAAGTGAGTGTTTCTTTTTCCCAGAGAGATTCCTTAAAATTGATTCTTCCTTGGCGGTGGTTGTATCTTCCACCCCAAGAACTTTGCTTATCTCAGGTAAAGTTTGTCGCCTCTCGTAATTAATTGGAGCGTCAATCAAAGCATCTAAACAATTAAGATGATTATGGTTACAATTTAAATCGACCTGAGGTTTCAAATCTCATTGAATTTCAACTCACTTGCTGTACTTTGATTAGGCACTTTACTATTATTGAAGGTTGAAGGTGATCTTTTAAGTGGTTGATTATCCGTTGATTGTTTACCTTGATTGTTGAACTCTCTCATCGGTGTTATGGATCGTCCTAATTTATTTAATTCACCAGTTGATAAATGTGTAAATTGTTGACTTAATGGACGTCGATTAGGTTCAGACTGTGGTGCATAATAGTGATTAAAATGATCAACAAAGGAACCTAATGAAGAAAAATTAAATTGTAAACAATCATTAAATTGTAAGTCTATAATTAGTGATCGTTTATAAAAATGTTAATCAAACTGTTGCAAATCTAAATCATCAAAATCTAATCACTCTCTCTCTCTCTTTTACTTTAAAATGGTAACAATTAATAGTCAAACTTGTGTTCATAGTTTTTGTTATGTTACATGTTAATTTAGGTAAGGATGAAGATGAACAATTAGTTGATTAGTGGAATTGATTAGTTATTATTAATTTCCTACCTGCTTCAACTGTATCCTTATTGATGAAAATTTTTCTCATCAATGGCGGTGGGTCTTTTGAGGGTGGGGCTGGTGAAGATGCTCGAGATGATCGATTTGATCGAATTGCTTGTAAATCAATTTTCAAAGTATTTCCGCTAAATGATTGATTTACATTCTCAATTAAATTGTTTATCGATGGTGTTTGTGGTGAAATTGTAATACTTGGGGCAGTCATAGTTGTCGCAACAGGTAAAGGTGATCGTGATCGTGATCGTGTTGATTGCTGACTTTTTTGATCTGAATTTTTAGATTGATGTTTATTCATAAATGTTGTATTCCGTTGGATGAATGATCCAGCTCGTTTTAAAAATGAAGATGATGAAGATGATGATGGGGGTTGTTGTGATTGGGGCTGTGGACTTGGTGATCGTCGTGATTGATTAATAAAGGATGTTGATGGAGATGGTGATGATAAATTGAGATTAGATGAGCTTCGTGATGGGTCAATCTTGATTATCGGTGGGACATTTGATTTTGTTTGCATTTGATTGCTTGAAATTGGCCTGAACATTGACTCTGGACGGGATATTGTTGGTGGTTTAATTGTTGTCGTAGTCGCTATTGGTTTTTGGACCTGGACTGGGGTTGGTTTTGGTGAATACAAGTTTGGTGATAATCTTGCAGTCAAATTATTGGAGGAAATTGATGATTGATTAAATTGTTGGTTTGATTGTTGATTCATTAAAAGATGTGGCTGATTAGCTTGGGGATAAATTAAATTGTTGGACGATCCTTGCATTGAATTAAATGACTGGTTAAATTGTGGTTGATTTAATTGTTGTTGTTGTTGGGGTTGATTGGATTGTTGATTTATCGAAAAATTTTGATCAATTTGAGATGTTGATCTTTGAGGTCGCCTAGGGGAAGAATTGATTACTTGTTGACCTGCCATTCGATTCTTATTAGTTTGAATTCGATACGAAGGTGATGTGACACTCGACGGAACTTGAATCGGTGACTGAGTCCGTGGGGTAACGGGCTTTCGTCGAGGTGGAACTGCCGGTTGATTAAATTGCTTAGAATTTGCTAAATTAATTGGTGATGCCAACATTTTAGATCGCAACATAGATGACTGAACAAAAAGGTTTGATGGTTGATCTTCAATCGAAGGTCGATTAATGTAATTACTATTCGGTGACTTAATTTGATTGTTTCCATTAATTGGTGTTGATATTTGTCTATCAATAATCTTCGGTGGTCCAACAATATAATTAATTTCATTTCCACTTTGATTTGATCTGTTGACCACTGGACTAAAAGACGATCCCGAAGATGTTGGTATTTGCTGTTGATTAATCATATTAGTTAATTGTCGCTGTTGCTGTTGTTGATTAACATAATTAGGAGATAATCTTTGAGGTTTACTTGTTAATAAATTGACTGGCTGATTGTTTGAAGTTAATTGTGATTGAAATTGTTGTGTTTCCATATCGTTAAAATTGAATACGTTTCCACGATTAGTATCGATTTGATTTCGATAATTGTTATCATCAGAAATTGATTTAATTGTTTGCTCTTCAACTGTAAATGGACTTGGTGATCTTGATCTAGATCTTGATTGAGTTAATGGAATCAAATTTTGGTTGATTGTTTGATTTAATTGTTTACTGTGGGTTGGTGAGTATCTCAATTGCTTTATATCTGGTTGATTTAAAGTTTCAGTTTCTTTTTTAATTGTTAATAGTTGTTGATTAATTTTCTGATTATTCAATTGTTCTGGTGTTAAATTAATCATCTCATCATTTTCTAATCCAATTAATTGTTGCCGTTGATCAGAAAGATCCATTTCTTGTCTTTCCATTAACGATCGTTGTCTGTCCATCTCCTCTCTTGCTCTAAGTATATCTTCCTCCATTAATCTTGACCATTGGTCAGTCTCAGCTTGTGGTGATCTAGAATAATAATCCAGCTCATCATCATCTTCCCAATCTTCATCTTCCCTATCAATTAGCTCTTCATCATCCCGATAATCTAATTTTTCCCCATCAACATTTGAATCAAATTCAAACACAGTTTCCAATTCATCTGATTCATTATCATCCGGTGGCTCATCAATCAATTCATCATCCATAAAAGGTATACCATCATCTTCATCAATTAAAACTGGTCGATTAACAATCAATTTACCTTGATTATTTTCTGATCCAATTGCTAAATCATCGTCTTTACCTTCCTCCGATGGATTAGTTAACATTAATCTTGGTTTACTAATAACTGATTCGCGATCGGAATTGTTAACTTTTCCCTTATTACTATTTACTGATTTTGTCGTTTTAATTGTAGGTAATACTAAGGTTGTTGATTTTAATTGTTCATCTTTCAGTTGTGGTGAGGTTGAATCACTTGATTTTAACCATTTAGGATCAGCTGACAAGGGTCGATTTGAATGTTGGTGTTGATGATCAATTTCCTCCTCTTCCTCTGCCTCCTCTTCCGGTGGACAACTTGACCCGTCTCGAACTGAGGTCGCCCGTGAATGTGACCTAGATGTCGGCCTGGTCGATGAACCAGTTCTAATATCACGAATCATTTCTAATTGAGCTTCTAATTGTTGGATATGTTGTTGAACTCGAGCTTGTTGGGCATGTAATTGCTCTTGAATCTTTTCCCTTGATGATGAGCGTCTTTTAACTGGTTCCAATGAGGATAAACTACCACTTAATTGTTGAGATTTTGATCTTGATCGAGTTCGTGTTCGTCCATTTCGTTTACTACTCGATTCACTTGATCCCAAATCTCGTGAAATTAACAATTGTTGAGTTAGAAAATCTTGTTGCTTTGATAATCTTTCAATCTGTGATTGTTGGGATATAATATGTTGAATTAATCCTTCAGTTGAAACCGAAATTGGTTTCAATTGATTATCTGATTTTTTCTCCTGTTTAACTAATTGTTGTTCTAGAAGTGAATTTCTTGGTGATTGTTGTTGTTGTGCTAAATGGGGAACCGATGATGCTATCGATAAATAGTCAATTTGATTAATTGTTGGTTTTTCATTTGGACCCAAATTGGAACAATTAATTGATTTACTTTGATTATCGTTCGCTGGATTATCAAGTGATCTTTGTTTACGAAATGATCGTTGTCGTCTTGGAGCGGAATATATTGGCTCTGGACTTAAGGCCAAAGGAGGTCGATCATAATTTATTGGTTGATTAACCTCTCGAGTAGTTAATTGTTGGGGTTGATTGTTGTTTCCATCTTTATTTAACTGGATTGGCATTGATGGGACGAGATATGTTATATCCGATGATAAATGTCTTCTCAATGGTTGTTTTAAATATCCAATATAATGATTGAAGGCAAGTGCATCTTAATTGTAACAATTAATTTCCAAATTTGATTAACATCAGAAAATTAAGAAATTTCAGTTTTTGGCTTCGTTTCATTAGTAAATCAATAAGTTAATTGTTGTTATTCATCTTCTACTATGAACACATTAAGACGTTAGTCTCGTTATTGTTTAACTATTACAATCTATTAATTGTTTTCTTTGTATCTCTCATGCAATTGGATTTAAATTGTTTAATTGTTTTCAAACAATTTTGAACAATTAATTTGCTACCTGTAGAAATCATTTGATTGTAAATATTTACTATAATTAAAAATTAACTTGATGGTGACCTTAATTTTCTTGATTGTTGTCGTTGTTTTCAATTTTTGCCAAGAAATTTAAACCAAGTAATCAAATCAGAAGGAGATGAAAACAATAATCACTTACTAAAATTAGATTGCAACAATTTAGATTTGTATAAATTGGCAAATGGGTGAAAAGAGTTAAACAATTAATTGCTGATTGCGTCAATTGTTTCGCTGACAATTAACAAGCGGCAATAATTTAGTAATGCAGACAAATATTAAAATCGTCAAGATAGAAAATCAAATTATCCTTAATTGTGATGAAAATTTTTCTCTGCAATATCTAATTATTGTACTAATTTACTTGCAATCTTCAAGGTGTTAATTGGATGCAATTAAAGTGATAAAATAGTTGAGTTGATTAACTAATTGTTAACTTACCTCGATCATATTTTTGTTGGCCCACTGAATTTAAATTGTGACCCGATGAACTTAAACCTTTCCGGTGTTTTCGTCTTGGTACTTCCGGGGTTAAAGTTGATTGTCCACTTCTTGGAAACATTTTTTTTTTCATCAACCAACCAATACAATCAATTAATTAATCACAATTAACACAACAGCAAATTAAAAAGTTGACTTTTTTACAACAAAAACAAAAATAACAACAACAATGTTAATATTTAAATGAAAAGGTGACAATTAACACCTCTAATCATGGAGTAAATTGATTGTAACAATCAACGTGATGTTGTTTTTTTCTCAATGATTTTAATGATTGTGATTAGTTAATTGTGGTAATCAATTGATCAACGGGACATTAACTACAAGAGGGAGAGACGCGAAAAGGAAAGTCTCTTATTAAAGGTGACACTTTTTTACCAAAGGGTAACCAGAAAGATGAAGATGAAGATGATGAGGGCTGGGATGAGGATGATAACGAAAGAGAAAGAGAAAGAGTAATTCTGATTAAGATGATAAGGAAGATAAAGAAAATTCTTATTCGTTAATTATAAATAGTTTTTTGGCAACAGAATATAAAAGGAACCATTTGCTTCCTCCTTAGTATTAATATTTATCCGATCTCTTTGTATTCTGGTAACCATTTAACTTCATCATCTTCTTATCATCTTCTTTATCATCTTGAGTCTTTCTCTCTCTCTCTCTCTTTCTTAATTCCTCACCTAAATATTGTTAAACCATGAATTATCATGTTGTCATGAAAATTTCAAAGTTTCTCATATTTAGTTCAGATTGTTACTTGAAATTGATAATTTTTTCATGTCACCAGAATAATTAAGTTATCAAAATATTTTTTTGCTCCAAAATTTTGTAATCTTATTATTGTGCAATTAATTGAATTAATTGTAACACACTTAGTACCAAACTACTCTCATTGTCACAGACAATTTAATTTCAGGGTTGATCATCATTCAGATAAAGATTGGATTAGTTTACCATTTGATTCATTCACTAAATTCACTGAATTAAAATCGATTCATTTTCCAATAGTAAAACTTTCAAACTTTGGGAATAATTTTCGATATTTTTGTCAACTGAGTAATTAGAATTGATTTATCATCTCCATAAGTATTTTAGCGTTAATCGGTTAACAATTAAATACGTTGCATTAATATTTTATTAGGTAAATTTAATTAACAGTTAGTTCATTGTAAAAAAAATAAATTGTTGCTATTGAATTAGTTGAAAGACTATGATGATCAAGGTAATAATTTAAGTGACGATTAAGTTGATTAAATTAATGTTTTCATCGTAAAAATTGAAACATTTGAATAAAAAGTTCAGTTCGGTTCATTATTGTGAGTAAATTTATCTGTTGATTGTTTCAATTGGTTAATTATTAGTCGATTGTAACAATTAAACCGAAGGAGGATTGGAAGAAAATCGGTAAATTAATTGATTTAAGTAAAGTTGACCCTCACAATTTAATCTAATTAAAACTAGTTCTAAATAATTTAATTCTAATCTGATAACTTCCATGGGTGAAACAATCAGTTGATTTGTTTACTAAAAATTTAAATTGTTCACTTGATGGACTGAGTCATGTGACCGATCAGCTGATTTCAAGTCACTCGTTTTTTTTTGTTGATCAATTTTATTTTCAAATTAATTCTTACCAATTAGTTAATTGTTTTTCTATTTAATTTAATTTAGTCCTTTTTTAATTACTTTAAATTGTCCTCTAGAATTAATCAGTCATCTTGTGTATCATTATGGAGATAAAATCTATTTGTTGCTTGATTCTCTTCACTCTTATCCAGGTAAGAATACAAAATTTTCTCATGTGTTAAAAACACTATTTGAATTGTTTTTTGTCTCTATCAGTTTCTTATGGTTATAATTGATTAATTTTCTTAATTACTGTTCAATTTACAGGCTCAAGAGATTTCCCATCAAACTAATTTCGATAAAGTATTAACCATTAAACTGTACCATTCGATTGATTCATGTAAGTGAATATATGTTTTTCTTTGATTGTTTTCATTTATATAAAATTGTATTGATTTCTATCAATTAATTGTTGTAATTTGTTTTCTTCCCTGTTCTTAGATGACAATTATAAATTAAGAGGAACCATAACAATACCATCTTCCAGGGAGAAGGACATTATCATTAAACAAGAACAACCTTTAACCGAAAGTGAAATAGCTTCACTTGAGGTAGGAATCGATTAGATTTCTTTTAATTGTGATACTCAGAGTCTTCTTTTTTTTAATCATTAATCGCAGAAATCTTCACGTAATAATGGATTATATTATTTAAAAGCTATCGCTTACAAGAGTAACAATGAAGAGCAAACCAAAATGGCCACTTCATTCATGGAAACAGTGAGTTTGACCATCAGAACAATTGATCAACTGAACTTACCTTTCTAATTGAAATCTTTTTCATTTTCTATTCTCTCATGGATATTAATCTACAGTGTTCATTAATTCAGTCCAGTTTATCGGATATTCTCATGATTTCATTGGATTATTCAGGAAATCTAATTGGTATTAGTTCAACTTCAACCAATCCAACCTGTGGGCAACCATCAACCTCTCCTCTTACATTAGATACTTTCAATACTACGGTTTCACTGGTTACTACAAATTTAGGACCATTGTATGTAATTGAATCAAATTAATTGGACAACAATCAACTAATTATATTCCTTTACAGACCCGATACAATGTCTTACATTAAAAGGATGGAACAGGAAAAGAATGAGAAAATTAGAGGAGACAAATCAGATAATAGATCTTTCTTTGCAAAATATGTAAGAAATCAAGAGACACACACACAATTAGATTTCGATTGTTAATTAATTTTATTCTTTTTCTTTAATTACTAGTGGATGTACATTGTACCTGTGGTCATTTTCGTTCTCATCTCAAACTTGGCGAATCCTGAGGAACAAGGAGCAGCTCGATAAATCGCCAGAGAGAGAGAGATAATCGAGAAAATCTAAACGATTTTCCATCTTTTTTTTTGCAGAAATTTTTTCATTCATATTATACAATTTACTTAATTTCAATTAATTTCTCATTTTCTTTTGATAAAAATTGAAATTGAAATCAATTGATTCATCTTTTATTGTCGATGTTTGTCTCTTTGTTCCCGTGTTGATCCAAAGAAGTTTAAATTATCGGGTTTAATTGTGCATCTTTCCATCGTTAACATGACAATAAATTATCGGATATAATTTAATTGTATTTCGCTTAGAAAGTAAACTAAATCATCTGTTAATTATCTGTTGGAACTCTAAACACATAACAGAAAAAGGAACCACCGCTCCAAAGAAGGAAACAATTAACGTTCGATCGATATTAAATGAACTCCATGCACTGGGAATAATTGTCGGTGTTTGTATCAGCTGATTAACTAGAATCGATTTGTCAACCGCATAAGTGCGAGATTTAAACTCGTTCACAGGTCGAGTATCAGTTAACAATTGAATCATTTTACCAACAAGTGACATCTCCTTGATGGTAAATCTATCAACCTGATAAGTTATATAAATGGTAATGATTAGTAAATTAAGATAAGAGCCCCAACGGAAAAACACTTTAGACCAATCAAGTGAAGGAATATCTTTGGTGTTTCGAACAATTTGTGAAGTTGTTTCGAAAAAAATTTGCGAATACCAGAAAAACGGAAGTGAACTCAAAGCCTCATTCAATTCGTCCTTTAAATTGTACACTTTGTGGTACATTAAACTGATATAACGGATTCTCTTTGGATCGGAGGCCGTTTCTTGGCAAAACGAGTAAAGTGATTGATAACATTCAGAAGCGAGATGAAAGGTGAACAAATAAAACGATTTGGAAACAATTAAACAACCGATTGTCGCATAACAATAAGTCCAAAAATCGGTAAAAGCGGCAACGGGCAGAGGAAGATTAACATCGAAATCGGTTAAAATGGAAGTGTACAAATCAATCAATTCCTCGTTCGGTCCCCAAATGAACCAAATTACAAGACGAAGAAAATCAAACAACATTGTCGATAATGTTAATAGAAGACAAATGATTGACCACAATCGAAACTTATTCTCACCGAAAGGAACCATGTTCGTCATGATGACCAAAGCTGAATGGATTCGTTTGGCTCGATGGATCAAAATGAATCGAATCGCAAATGCGTAAATTGCTTGAAATGTCCAGAGAACCGAATTAATTGGATCATCGGAATAAGCAAACAAAACGATTGACCAGAAAAATTGATACAATTGGGAAACAATTGACGAAAAGACCAACAGATAATTTAACAATCGCCAACAACCACTGACCGGAAACATGTTGAGTCCAAAAAGCATCAACATTATCTTGACATATAATAAATTGTCCGAATGGTAATTGTTTCTCATTGGCCATGTTTCCGTCGTCAATCGAGTTGATTTGTTAAATTGCTTCGTTTTCACAACAATTAACCTTGGAAATCGTTTATCTTTCAAATAGACATAATTTTTTTTACTAAACATAATCAAAGGGAAAACTTTGTAAACAATTAATTCATTTAATCAATGGTTGTTCAAGTTTACATTAGCATCAATTTAATCAGCATGGTAGTTAGTTAAACATTGAGACTTCCTTGGTTAATTAACCAATAACTTCAATATGAAAATCAATTAATTTGAAAACAATCACCTTTACCTTTGTGTTAATCAGTTACAGCTTTTAACCATCTGATTAATTAAGTAACAATTAACGTGAAGAGATAAATAAAAGCCTGTCAATCAATTAATAAATCATCAACTCAATCATAAGTTACTCATTCAATGAGGATCATTTAATTGTTACGATTAACCGTTCATTGTCAGTTTATTCATAATTTATTTATTTCATTCCCATTGTAGTTGATTAATTCATATGAGTCCAATTATTTGACCGATTTTTAAAATTGATTGAATCTATTAAATGATATTAAAAATAAGTGAGAAAAAAATTAAGGAAAATAATTAATTTAAAGATTTAAAATCAATAATGATCACAAATAAACGATTAACTAATAAATTAACTGATTGTTATTGATTAATGAGAAAATAATTATATTGATCGAAAGCAATTTGAATAAGTTATTTGTTAATTACTATTATTTCATATACAAAAGGTTTGGATTAAAGTCACAAGAGTAACAATTAAAAAAATCACGACAATTTATGTATAAATCATGAGATATTTACAATACACATTTTCAATGATCGATTTCACTTTGGTTAACAAAATCAATATTAATTGTAAATTGTTATCTATAAATTAATAGAATAATTTTTGGTGCAAATAATATTTTACATTAATTAGATTAATTAAGAGGATCGCCAATGATGATTGATGAAAAATGAGTGAGAGAGAGAAAGGAGTTATAATATAAAAAGAGATGAGAATGACAATTAAAAAGAAGTAGTTAAAGGCAATTAAAGGGAACAATTAAGATCTAAATTGAGAATTAAAAAACTGAATCTACAATCAGGTAGAGAGAGAGAGAGGAAGATTAACTCAGATTGTCAGACTAGAATAATTTACTGATGATTATCATCAATAAAAGAATCACAATCAAATTTGATCGGCTTAATTAAACCATCGCAATTACATTATAATTTAGTAGGTAAAATTGAACTGAGATGACCAGAGATTTTCAATTATTATTAACAAATGAGGAAGATCAGATGAAGATAAGTGTTTCTAGATGAACAGTAATTAACCATCATGGTGTGATTGTGCCTCAAGTGTTGGTAGCAATTAGATTAGTTGATTGTTGAGACACCGAACAATTTAAAAGTGCCGCTGATAAATCTAAGTGAAAAAAAGAGACACAAAAGAAAGAAAAGAAAGAGAAAAAAAAGGTGAGACGAGTCATCATAATAAATTGAACTTCTAACAAATTGTAACCAATCAGAAAAGATAATCAACAATGATCAACAATTAATCTTCTCAATAATCATTATTAAATTGTTGGAAATCTCCAGGTAAAGTTTTAAGACAAATATACAATGTTAAAGACCAAAGATTATTAGGACCAAAAGTTTCGTACGAATTTACAATTTGTCTCAATTGATTGAAATTTGATTGCTCGTTAATCATAATAACTAACATACCGTAGAGATAATTGATCACCAATACAATTAAAAGCCGATTCCAGTTTGTACCAAATTTGATGACAACTAAGATCCACTCGAAGGTCACAAACATAAGTTTCTGCGGAGACACGGAAAGAGATGCTAATTAGATAATCTCATCATAAACTAATCATAATCATTAAATTGTATCAGAATAATAATAAACATTAATAAAAGTAAACAAATTAACTAAATGATTAATATAAAATCACCTTGAATAAGAGATAAACATTAAGGATAAATGGTCGCTTTTGGTGTCAATTAAGTGTCAAAAATTCATTAAAACTCAATCAACTTGAATTAAATTGATACACGAGATTAGATAAGCTAATTAGTTAATAAGAAAATTAAATTTTCTAAATAAGAGGATTAATAATAATGATAGAAACTACTAAATCTCTCTCATTGAATTTAAGTTGATTGAATTGGATTCAATGGTTGAGATAAATTTATGTCTTTGAACCTTTTGATTGTTTTTTTTTCTGTGCAACGGCGACAATTGGATTAATTTCATTTTAAATTGTGAAAGGTTAAATTGTATGTCAACAATTAGACTCTTATCATCTCATTTTTTGATGAAAAATACAAAAAGAAAGAGAGAAGAGAGAGAGAGAGAACAAAACGAAAGAAGAAAAAACATTGAAAGTGAATTAATTTCTTCTCTAAAAATTAAGAGAAATTGTTTTGATCACCAACAACAATCAATCAAATAATTTAAATTTTTGTGATAATTTGATATGATTTTAAGGTTCATATATGGGGTATGTGTATATGATTAGTGATTTAGGATTATCACAAAAGGATCGTCCAATTTATTCGTACGGGATGAGAGAAAGAGAGAGAGAGAAAGAGAGGATGAGGAGAGAGAGAAAGAGGGAGAGAGGGAGTAAGGGTAAGAAATATTAAGGGGCTGGTGTGTTTTTGGTTGTGATTCCAATTTTTTACAAAAAAATTTTTTCGTTCAAAATCGATTTAGAAATATAATCGATCATCGAAGATGAGAAAGAGACTTGCTTATTATTACTCTTTAAAACATTGGTATTTTTTTTTTTTATATGTAGAGTTCATACCAGTAAAGGTTAAAGATGGGTGGTGGTTGTGTGTGTTTTTTTGTAGGTGTGTAGTATGTATGTAGGTATGTGTGTATGTATGTGTGTGTATGTGTTTAGTGGGTGTCGGTCACGTCCAAAACGATGGTAAATTAAATCACGACCAGAGCAAATGGCACCTCTTTCATTTCTTTTTATACATTTTTAGACCAGTGTCTTAATTCACATTCAAAAAACAAAAATTCTGGACCAGAAAAAGGAATCTTCTCTTTCTCTTTTTTACTTTTTTGTTATTTCTTTAAAAAAAAAGTCACTGCTTATATTTATAAGATTCACTACTCTGTTCTTGGGGTGCACTCCATTGTTGCTGAGGTGCTGGCGGTTGCTTTGGTTGTCCCGCTGATGTTGGTGGCTGCGATTGTGGTGGTTGGCCTTGTTGGGCAGATTGTTTCATTTGCTCAGCCATTTGCTCAATCATCTCGGCTTCCTTTACCATACCATACATACGATAATACTGAATCCACTGAGCAGTATAATCTGGTTGAGGTTGTTCACTACCATTTTGGGTGCCAGCGGTTGTCTGAAAACGCAAACAAATTACAATTTACCAATAATTAGTTTCATTTGTCCCTATCAATTACAAGTCCTTGAGACAAATAGAGAAAAAATTTGAAAATAAGGACAAAAAGTAACTTCAAGGAGTTACTCTGGCAACAGAATATACACTTAAATCTCATGGAAAAAAGAGTAATAAGCTCTAGCATGTGCCAAAAGAGTGAAAAAGAGGGAGAAAGAGAGAGAGAGAAAGAGAGGTGGAGATCAACCAAAGAGGGTAGACATGATAGTAAAACTTGTTAATTTAATTAATCCAATTCTTTTAGTAACACTTACTGGTACTGTTGAGGCCATTTGCTGAGCTTGAGTTTGCGCATAGTAAGCAGCCCACGCCGCAGAGTTTGGATGTTGGCTTGAAGCTGAAAGAAAGGAAAATAAAAAATAAGAAAAGGAAATGAGTAAAAATCTAATTAACATGTGTTTCTTGTTAGGTAATAATCATCAATATCAATAAGATAAATTAACATTATCTACAAGATAGAGATGAAAAAGATTTACTTAAACAAGATATTTTAATCTAGCACAGATTGACACCTATTCCACGACGAATAAAAATGGAATAAGCTCTAAAGAAATGCTGAAATTTTTCCTTCTAATTTGCAGACAAATTTCAAACTTACAATCGGTGGAATTTTGAGATGGATCTTGGTAATAGTAATTGGGCCAATATTGTTGCTGTTGAGCGGGTTGGCTTGGTTGTTGTGGATGATGCTGAGGTGTTTGTTGATGAGTAGGGTTATAGTGCCTGTTACTGTTTACAAAGAGATCAAAAAGAAGCGAGAGAAAAAAAAATATTAATAATCAAAGATAAATTGTTTTGTTTGCATCGATTGGAAGAGATGATTCTGTCTTGTAGAAATAAAGCTTGTTACTGTACAGAAACCCTTTAATGACGATCGGATTAATAATCGACATTATACACAAAGTACAGTCTTTTCTCTTTCCACTGTTTTCTAATCGATGATTTAAATAAATTAAAATCAAAGATAATTTAACGTGGAGGATGAAATGATTATGATAGAGGAAGACAGAGAGATAGAGTAGATTGAGAAAAAAATGAGAAGATGGAAAAATAAAAAGGTGAACTGGATAAATAAAAATAAGATTTGTGCCAGTACCTGTACATTTGAGATTGGTTATAGTGTTGATATTGGTTGTTTCTAGTATCATCACCACTTTGCCTTCTGAAAATACAATTCAACAAGCAATGAATGATTTTTGTATTTTTTAAGGATAAAATTAATGATATGAAGAGAGATTTTGTTTTTGAATGATAAATAATAGAAATGATAACATACCCATAGCCTCCTCTACCTCCTCCTCCACCAGGACCTCCATCATTGTGACGAGTATCTTTTATTTTTTCATTAATTAATTGTTGGGCAATACCAATACGATCAGGTGGACCTCTTATAATAATAACTCCTTTGGAATTTTTATCTGTTTCAATATGACAACCTGATTGTTGTTTAATTGACCTAATGGTTTCACCACCTCTACCAATGATAACTCCAACCCGATTAACTGGTACATTCATGACGACCTCTTCTCCTTCAAATCGCCTCCTATCACCCCCACCCACTCTTCCACCACCTCGACCTCCTCTTTCTCCACCACGATCCCGGTCTCTATTATCACGATTCATATCGCGATCATAACCATGATGTTCACGCACATGGCCCTCGGAATGCTGTTGCTGTTGTTGCGCCTAAATTGTTAGATAGAAAAAATAAATAAATAATATACGAAGATAGCAAAAAAATGAAACAATTAGCAAGCATGATTATCACCTCTCAAAAACAACGTGGTTAAAGACAAAGTGAAAAAAGGACAACATACCTGAATGTTACGAGAATTTTCAATAATTTCTTGAATCATTTTTTCAGCTCGATTTACATTCTCTAAATCTCCAGAGATTTTACAGATCTTACAACCATTATCATCTACCCGATTTGAATCAAATTGAACTTTAGTATTGGTAGTTGATTGAATAGATTTTATACTTTCACCGCGTTTACCAATAACTAAACCTATGAATTGAGGAGGAACAGGAACTTCTCTGTGAATATGTCTAGAGGTACCATATTCATTAGTAAGAGGTGGAGGTCTTGAGTCTAATTGCTGTCCCCCTAAACCCAAGCCACCTTTACTAATACCACCTCCTCCACCACCGCCATCATTACCACCTCCCATATTTTGTCCAAATTGTTGTTGAGGTGAGTGTAAAGAAGATTGTGAATTAGACATTGAATGTGATACCGGAGGTTGATGTTGATATTGTTGCTGTGGTGAATGTTGGGACTGTTGTTGCCCTTGTCCCTGTTGTTGTTGACCCTGCAACTTGTTAGCAGCCAATTGAGCACCAAAAGGGTCACTTAATTGAGGTCTTTTAGCATCGGTAGCACCACCATCATCTTCAGCCGATCTTTTACCGGAAATATTACCTGAGAGTTTAGTGGCAACCGCTTTAGCTCTTTCAACAGCTTTTTGAAAAGCATCTTCCACAGGTGTGGATGACATGGTTCTTCTTATTTAAAAACAGAGAGAAAGAAACAGAAAAAAAAAGACTGGAAGAAACAATGATAAGAGATAGAGAGAAGGAAAATAATTCTAAATTTAGAAACAAAAGTACTTTACTAATTAATGATGAGATATTTATATAAACATGAAAAAAAATGATCCAATTTAATTTAATACCACAAAAAACAGACAAGAAAAAAAATTCAACCCCATCAACAAAAATGGCGACTTGATGTTCATCATATACAAGTAACTTTCACGAATCCTCCAGATGTCACTAGTTATTGGAACCGAAAATTTGAGCGGCACATTTGTAAGTCGAACCGCTTTTATCAGGAGCATTTAATTTGGAAATTTATTCGATTCAAATTAAGAGAAATTAACAACTAATTAGATTTATAGAATCTCCATCATCTGAATTGTTTTTAATTCCAAACCGATTGAATGAACATGGAATTTATGTTACAATAGAAAAGAATAAAAAATTTCGATGTTCGATACTATCGATGTCATGTGTTTTCTTCTTTAATTTAAATTAGTGTTTCTCTTTTTTTTGTTGTTTCTTTAATCTTTAATCCAATTGACTGATTAATGTTTTTTTCTTTGTTTTCTTTGTGTTGTTTTTTGATTTTCTAAATGCTGATTGTTGTTAATTGATGGTTTTACTTCCCTTCTCTGGTTTAGGTTATGTGAAATGTCTTCGTCCAAGTTATTTAATCAATTGGTCGCTGGTGGAGTTCAACAGGAAAAGAATAAAATTATTTATGCTTTGAAAGATTTTGGTGTTTATTTTCGTCGGACATTTTTGGCCGGTTTTGGTTCGTTAATTTGTGTCTATGGCGGTGGTTTTATCTATACTCTTGACTCATTACCAGCAGCAAGTAAACAGATTGAACCGATTCAGTTTCTATTGAACTACCGGTATCCATTTTCTATTTCTTTGGTTCTATTTGGAATGGTCGCTTATTCAACGAATAAATTTTTTCTCTGGAGAACAATTTCTATGATTGAATTAAGAGAGGGAGGTAAAGAGGTGGCATTTAAAGCTCTTAGTCGTGTACCACTTTCAAGAACTGAATACTCTTTCCGAGTTCCATTAAGTCATGTCTCTTGTGTACAAAGTCGTCGAGACACTAAATCACCTTACGTTTTGTTCAAGATAAAAGGTAAACTTGGTAATTATTATATTGATAAAGATGGATATTTTCCCGATCCATCTTTATTTGATTATAGTATTGGAGTTGCGAGAAAATTTTAACCTCATTTAAGAAAGAAAAAAGGAGACATTTTTTTTTCGAGAACAAAAAATTGGATGTAATTTATAGTGACATATTAACAATAACAATAATTATAATAATAGTAATAGTAATAATCTTTTCTCCTCATTTCTTAATTCATCTTTCGTCGTCCAAATATTTACATCAATCTCAGAAATCGGTTGACAGTATGAGAAAGATATTGAAAGAAGAAAAAAGAAATAAGGAGTCAGTAAAAGAGAGAAAGAAAGAAAAGAGAGAGAGGTAGAGATGATTTGTTTTTTGTTATCTTCCAAATTTGTAGGTGGAAATCATTGATTTAAAATCATCCATGGTGAGAAGATGTTAAGATTATCTTGAAAATCCAAATGAAACAGTTAAATCGCATTGGAGATGAAGATGAAGATGCTTTTTATGAGAAGAGAAAGAGAGAGAGAGAGAGAAAGATGAAGATACAGTTCAATGGTTGATAATGAAGAGAAATGAAGATGATGAACAAGGTGAGATGCGTTCGATTGCCACTTTAATCTTTGAAGAAGAAAATAAGAGAAGAAGAAGGTTCAAGATCACGAGAGAAGAGGAAGAAGAAGAAGAAGAAGAAGAAAAGAAAATGATGATGTATTAATAGAAGAGAAAACAACAAAAAAAGAATAAGGAGGTAGAATATATGGCGAGCCTGATCAACTCTTGGAATCTTTTTTTTCTCTTTGTGAATTTTCGTGTATGCATGTTAATTTAATTGCTTCCAATGTGTATGAGAGATAGAGAGAGAAAGAGAGGTTGTAAATTGTTGATAGATTGCTGATGATTAACTTGGCGTGGTATCAACAACAACATTATCATCATTACCAGTTGAACGGACTTCTTCAATTATGTTTTCAATTTCTTTGAAAATTTGTACTCTAAGATCACTGTGTACTTTGTTTCTCCTTAAAAGTTTGTCCAAATCAGAAAAGAGGTGTTGGTGATTTTTACCCTGACGATTTTTCTCTGGCGATGATAAATTGGGCGAGGGATGATTATGATTATTATTATTGTTATTATTGTTATTATGGTGATTGGCTGTTGCTACTGTTGTCGTTGAAGTCGTACACGCGGACAAGGTTGATGATGAAGATGATGGGGTAGCAACAGTGGATAATAAATTGGGATGATGATACATGTAGCTGAACACAGAAGGATCCGGAGTCCAATTGGTGGAAACAGGAAAATGATGATAAGAATGATGAAGAGAATGAGAAGAAGCAGAAGTTGGAGGAGGAGGAGGAGGAGGAGGTGGTGGTGGTGGTGGTGGCGGCAAATGATAAGGTGGAGGATAAGGTGATGTTAAAAAAGCAGCAGAGGGAGGAGAAGGTTTCAGAGTGGCCATGTCTTCAGTTTTTATCTTCTTCAAGGGCTCCAGTAACAGGTCATCATTTGAATTACTTGTCTGCTGATAAAATGAGAATAAAGAGAAAAAAAGTTAATAATAATGCAAGTTAATGATAATTTGATGTAATATTTATTGATTAAATCGTTATCAGCGTACGAAAACAGCCAACAATCAAAGAAAAAAAGACAGACAGAAAGATATTGAGACAGAAAATATATCAAAGTAATTAGCTAACGACGAATTGATTAGAATTAGAAAAAAAATCGATCCCAAACAAGGATAATAAACAGTCATAATGAATGATAACTGATTAATTTACTATTACTATTATTAAGGCCAAGGATATATTATTTTTCATCAACAACAACAACTTTAATCATTATCGTTAAAATTATATCATGATTAATATGCAATTCAAAAAGTTGATAACAAGTTTTTTTTAAAAAAAATTGTAACAACAATTACAATTTATAATTGTAAGATTTAATGATAATAATTTGATTAATAATTGAATATGATTTTTTTTTTCAATGAGTATCAATGATATTAAATATACTACTTGTAAAATATAAGTATCATCATTAAGGTAAATGCAAGGTAAGTAGAAATCAAAATGAAAGGGAAAAGGAAAGAGAATCAAGATGAAGATGAATACACAATGAAGACAAAGTAGAGTGCAAAAATGATGATGAGAGAGAGAGAGAGCCAGCCATCAAGTATCGTGTTTCAATCAACAAGAATTAGAGAAACATGCCAAAAATTTCCAAGAGGGCCAAAGAAGAGCAACACACCCTAACTCACGAAGTGCTTCTTTACATCATCATCAACATGTAATACTCACAGTGAGTTATTTTCTTAAGAAAAGAAAAGGAGAGTCGTCATGATCTCTCTCTCTCTCTCTCTTCATATATTATTTTTGCAACGTCATACAAACACACCACAACCACACAGCCCAAAATAAAAGCAGCAATGCAGACAAAGAGTTAGGTTAGCAAGCTATCAGGGGGAAGGGTGTAAAAAGACAGATATAAATATCATAAGCAATAATAGAGAGCTACAAAGTAACCACCCTGTGCACCATGAAAAAAGACAAAATAACAGGGGGAGAAGTGAAAAAAAAATCATACATCATCAAGAGTGATACTAATTGACAAATTTGAATAATAATATCAGTGTTATTATATGGAAAAGAAAACATCAAAAAATATATTAAAGTTACTAATAACTATAGTAATATAGTCAAGGATTTATCGATCTGAATTTCAATCAATATCATCATGAAGACTCAGTAGATTATATCATGTATATAAATAAAAGAGCAAGAAAAGAGAGAGAGACATCATCAACTCAATTGGCTATATCACTTTACCCACATCTTGGAAATATTATCATGAGAGTTAATTTAAAAATTTAATCATTTTTAAATTCTAGTAAAAAAAAACACAGGATGAAATTAAACATACAGAGAGATGGAGATGAGTATTGACAAGCAAATATTATTAATAGTTTTTTTTTTCATTCTGATGAGAGAAGGAAAGAAAAAAAGATTTACAAGTAACAACTAGTATTACAATTAAGTTTACAATTAATACACCTAATGCTGGGAATAGTGATGATTACCTTAGGCCTTAATTGTGATGTGTGTGTGTGTGTAACGAGTGAGCCGTAAAGTAATTAGACTAAGTTTGATTAGGTAAAAGCAACACCATGAAAAAAACGAATAGACTATTACATCTGTCAACAACATGGAGGTATAACGAGCATTTTGAACACACACAACAATCTAAATCATCAACAATTAATGCTAATAATACCAATAACATTAAGAAAAAATCATCTAATCTACACCTATTCCAACATTCATTAAGGAGTATATATATATATATACAGACTTTATCAGTTCATTGATAAGAAGATTCATGATCAGGATAAAATTTAGTTGATTTTCAGTACAATCATAAATTTATATATAGTTTGTTAACCATTGGTTAATGATAATTGTCATTGTGATTATGCAAATACGTAAAGTAATATAAATTATCAAGTGTATACATGTATATGATTTAGTTAATGGTTGAAATAGGGAATAGTAATTATTACATTTATTATTATATTATGTATCATTATTATCAACAGACCATTTCTAACATGCTAAGTGTGATCAGCATTTTCAAGATCATAACTAATAACAAATACCGACAACAACAGTCACATGGTTTATTCGTGATAATATTATCATCTTGCTATTATATTGAAGAGAAAGAGAAAGATTGAGGAAAACAAAACGACTGAGAGAGAGGGAGAGGGAGAGAAAGAGGGAGTAGGTAACCTGAGCTTTTGTTGGTAATCAATGATGATATAAACAACTTGTATACTGATAGCATGGGGTTTATAACAACAAGAAAAAGATGATAATAACAATCACCATGTAAATAATAATCTTGATAATACAAATAATAGTAATAATAATGATAATTTAATTATCAGTCTACCTTAATTGTATGCCAATGTGTGCAAGGGAAAACATTGACATTGTATGTCTACAGTTGCTGATTTATGTTTCTCTTGTTTTTCAATAAAAGTACATTCATAAATTAATCAACAAATGATGATGAGTCAATGATTACTATCGGAGGAAAAAAAGAGTTGAAAGTTATTAATAATTGCAATATATTAGAATGATAAATAATATTGCCATTTGAAGGCTTAACGGTTTGGAAAATTAAATATTGGCAAAACAAAGAGAGAGAGAGAGAGAGAGAGAGAGAGAGAGAGAGAGAGAGAGAGAGAGAAATAAAGAAACAAAGTTAATCAGTTTCTGATTCTCAGGTGATTTTAGCCTTTTGTTATTTCCATTCTTTCACAATCAATTTTTGGATCGAGTCTTTATTTTACACTTCGATTAACAAAATTGATCTTTTCTCTTCAAAAACTATCTATCTATCTTTTCATCTTTTGATTGACAAAAATAAAGAATCAAGTCTGATTTTTAACGATTGTTATTCACAATTGAATGAAGGAATTGAATGAGAAACAAAAAGAGGAACAACAAAAGTGAAAGACAAAAATTTCTACAGTTGTTTGGTTGATCGTGAATGTAGAATGTATGTTGAATGAATGAGTACAAGATGATGAGAAAAGATGGATTAGAATGGATGTGTGTGAGAGAGAGAGGGAGGGAGGAGAGAGAGAGAGAGAGGAAAGTTGTGAGCTTAAAATATAACGGGATAATATAATGACCTTGAAATTGCTACAATGTATGAAGAAAATAAATAAGTGTATGCACAACAAGTTACTTAAGGCTGGCGGTGGCGGTGGTGTGTGTGTGTCACTTATTTCGTTAATGTAATGATTTCTTTTTTCGTCATACTCATCATTCTCTCTCATTTTTCCCCTTATTTATGAGACTCAAATTCATTATCTTCATCATGAAAAACAACAAAAGAAGACAAAAAATAAGTAATAGAGCGAGAGAGAGAGAGAGAAAGTAAATGATGAATTTTAGAGGTGATTTTAAAGGTAATGATGAAAATGAAACTAACCTGTTTATCGTAATCATCTTTTTTCTCAGTCTGCATTTTATTGGACTGATTGAGTTTCCTTTTATTGGCAGCGGACGAGTTAATGTTACTATTGCATAAGCCAAAACCAGAATTTTTGTTATGGTTGTTGACAGTTGGATCAAAACGTGCTTTGAATGATTCTAATTCCGCTTCAAGTTGATCAACATTAATTGCACACTGATAATCTTTTGATTCATCATCTAAATGAATGTAAGACCTCCAATTATAAGAATCAAAGCCCCAATGGCAGGTATGATTTTCTGTAGATGCATGAATATGGGTAACAAATCTTTTAGGTGTTAACCATAAGCCACAAGATGAACATCTAATACACCGCGAGGTAGGCTCAGTATATAATTCTGTATACAGGATACCTGAACATTGGCCAAAACATTTATGAGAAACAGGTAAACCGGTACCAAGTTTCTCGGTTTTAAGTGTTAACAAACTATCACCCCCACCAATGGGTAAACCTTTCAAATCAAATAAAAGGTCATCATAATCCATGCCCATCATGGGCGGTGGACCAGGAAAAGGTGTCAAGTTCACTGGTGATCCGGTTAACATTAACATTTTAATACGATTAGCGTAAAATAGTAAAGCAGCACAAAGTCTTTCCGCATCCGTTTTGGTTATAAGACCACAGCTTGGAGCAGTAATAGGTATGATCTCTGTCTTTTTAAGAACCTCTAACTGCTCAGGTGTACATCGGGAGCAAAATATTTTTAACTCATCACAGACCGAGTTGACTTGATCGTAACTAAAACCCTTTAGAACAGTATTTAAAATTTGAGGTAAACAAAGACGCTCCTCACCACCAACAATAAAACACGAAATTTCAAAATCCTCTAATTTTGTCTCTGATCTTTGGCAACTATCTGGATCGGCTGGTACTATAATGGGCTGTGGAATCCTTGAATTTGGTGGTACAACTTCATTTGATAAAATGGTGGTGTTAGTTGTTGGTGTAGATGTTGGTGATAATGTACCTGGTGAAGAAGAAGATGAACCTGATGTTTTCGTGACTGGTGTTGTTACTTTAGTTGTTGGTGTTGTTGTTAATGACGATGATGTTGATGATGATGATGATGATGATGATTCGCTATAAGATCCACCTTTAACTCCTTTTTCTTTTTCACCAATGATTTTATTACCATTATCCGAAATTGTATCATCACTATTTGGTGATAGAATACCGGGAGGATGTAAATCATTTTTAGAAACTAAATTAGATGATAATGATGATGATGATGACGACGACACTGACAATTCCAATGAGGTATTCTTGGTATGATTACTGTGATTTGAACTATTATTTTGATGATTATTATTATTACTAAGGTTAATATTATTATTGGCTTTGTTGGCGGTGGTAGTTTTGGTGGTGGTGTTATTATAAATAACCTTACTATGATAATTATTGTTAGTTAAATTAATACTATGCGCTCTTATATTATGACTTGAGGAGGTTGAATATGGTGATGCAACAATAGATGAACTATTGTTGGAATATTTTTCGGCTGGATATTTAATTTTATCATGATCGTGATGATCATCATTTATCCAGATAGGATGGTAAAAATTGGGTCCATTTAAACTGTCAGGAGCACATTGTCGATAGCTTTTAAGAACTTTATTCAAACGAAGCTTTGATGCAGAGTTGGGTGAGAGATTATTTTGATTTGGGCGCGATGATTTGGGATCCATAAGATGATGATAATGATGATGAAGGTGAGGTAGAGTGAGTGATGTTGAAAATGTAGAGGTTTAATGATTTGTATGTGTGTGTGTGTTGTATGTGTTGATTAATATCTTTTTTTTCAACAGCAAGTTGTGTTTTTTTTTCTTGGGTTACCTTAAGTGTTGCCCCTGGTTGGTGTGAGTTTGTGATTTCAAGTTACTATTGTTTAAAAAGTAACCTATTTATTTGTTTCCAAACCATGGATGATGAAAAAGTTGATGGTGATGATGATGGTGAAGTAGTTGATGAAAAAAATTGTGAAATTGATGGAGATGAGGTAGATGATTTAGTGGTTGTGGTGCTGGTTGTTGTTGTTGTTGTTGCTGTTGTTGATGATAATAACAATAATAATAAGAGTAATGATGGGCCCACAACTCTCATTCCGTTGACCTGCTTCAATGGAACGTTAATCACTTGGTCAGAATTAAAAGAGGAAAAGAATTAAACTGAAAAGTAGAAAACATCATAATCCAGATTTAGTAGTGAATTGTTGGTGTTGTTGTTGTTTTCTGTTCACTTCAATGTGCTACAATGTTACTGAGTAATGGGTTGGTGATGATGATGAGGTTTTTGTTGAAGTTGTCGATGAATTTGATAAAGTTGCTATTTCTGTTGATGTTCATCTTCACTTTCCTGAAAAGAGAGAAACAAGAAAAAATAAATACACATAAGAGAAAAATTAAAAAACATTTTTCTCTGAATGAAGAGAAAGAGAGAAGAGAGAATAAAGAAACAAATTACAAGAATAGAGAATGGGGAGAAAGAGAAAAAATAAAGACAGAATGGAAAAAGAGTAGAAGACAGATAGAGAGAGAGAGAGAAGAGAGAGAGAGAGTAGTAATAGTCTTATAGAGATAGAATAGAGAAAAAGTGAGTAAATGAAAGAGAGAGAAGTAAAAACCTTAATCACTTTTTTTTCACATCAATGGTAATACAAACAAATTCGAACACAGGTAAATCCTCTGGATAATCCAGTGAGAAAAAAGAAAACACAGTTAAATAAACAAGAACAATTAAAATAACAACATAGTCAAGACAATTAAAAAAAAATACTTGTGTTCATCCAACGCTTGTGAGTCTGATAAAAATAATAACTACAGACAGACAGGAGAGTAAGGGAGAAAGAGATAAGATGATGATGATGATGAAGGGAGAGAAGAATAAGATGATAGAAAGAGAAAGAGAATAAGAAAGAGAAGAAGGAGAAGGAGAAGGAGAAAAAGAGAGAGAAAAAAACATAAACAAGTAAAGAAGGGAAAAAGAGAGACAGAGAAGAAGAAGAAGAGAAAAGAGAGAGAGAGAAGAGAGAAAATGAGAGAGAAGAGAAAGAGCCAGACTTAGGGACAGGCGGAGCGTCTAAAAGATGATGATGATGATCTGAAGATACGAGAAGACTGAAAGGTAGACAGAAAATTAGAAGATAGTAAATGAGATGAGTAAGAGAGAAGAGAAAGAGAAGATAAAATGTGAGAGAAGAAAAAATCTTCTCACTTCTTCTTGTCTTCGATTTTGTAACCATGACAACGGAGATCAAACCGCCATTTTCTCTTGGGTTTGAATTCTCTTCATTTAAGTTAACGACTTTTTCTCCATTGCAACAGTGAACAGTTAAATCTTTTGACAATTTGTTTTCTCTTCACTTTGACAATTAGTTGATTCAGTTTTGTTTTTTTTTCTTTTTCGTAATTATTTTATCACCAATTGATTCTCAAGTGATCATTGATTCACATTATTATCGAAAGGTAATACTTTGGGTAAGTGTTTTCATTTTGTTTTCTATTCTCCATTTTTTACCTTTCATTCTATTCTATTTTTTTTGTTTCTTTTCGATTTTATATTTTTGTTGCTCTATCATGATGACTCTTTCAATTTGAATTCCTCTGTTAATTTGAAACTTGATTAAACAAGTTTCTCCTCTCTTTCATCTGTCTATGTGAAAGATTTTAATTCTCTTTGAGTTTATTTTATTCTTTTTCGTTAATCATCAGAAACTCTTTCCTTATCCTATCTTTATCCCATTTTGCCTTGACTTTCTTTCTTTCCCTCTTCAAACTTGTGATCATTTTAATTTAATTCACTTTATTTACTATTTTAGTGTCTCATTTGATTTATTCATTGGTATTTACTTTGTTTCTCTTCAGGTAATTCGCATGTTATTCTAATTTACACGTTTCCAGTTTCAGGTTAATTGTTGTTCAATATCCTTCATAGAATTGATATCATTTTCTGCTGACTTATCAGCTTTTTCTCTTCTTCCCCTAAAGATTATTGTCTATTGAACTTTGATTCTGATTGTTCAATTTGATGACAATATTTCATGTTGATTACATGTAAACATTTGAAAGAGATTTTACTCCATTGATTTGCCTCTTATCTTCCTTTAGATTTTATTAGTAATTTTTTCCTCTTTCACTCCTTGTGTCTGTCCCTCTCTCTCAATTAAGATAACTAATTTAATCTTTTTCTGGTTACCTTGATGGTTTCTGGTTTTTTCTCCCTCTTTTCCTTTTCTCTGTCTCTTTAATCATCAACTTCATTTTCTCCAGACTTGATTGCACTTGGTTGGAAAGTACAAATATACTACTTATATTTATAAAACTTAAACAAAGTTATATCAAGAACTAAAACCATGGCTGTTACACGAAACCAAAGTAAAGGTGATTCAGTTACTTCTACTCCGATGAAAAGTCCTTCACCCTCATCAAGCTATTCAGGACGAAAATCAGTTCGATCTCGAATCGATCCAACCACAAATTTAACCTTTGGATCGATTGTCACAATCGGCATAGTTGCCTCCATAATCTTACAAGTTTCTCTTGCTTACCTGGTGATGAACGATAAGATCAAACTTAATGGAAAAACAACCGTCCAATCGCTTATGACTTTGGGTAATCGGCTTGAATACATCCTGCGATTTCAAGCAATTCATGTTGTCTGGTTGGTCATTACGACAGCTTTGGTTGTCTTTAGTCGACTTTCAACCGGTGCTGTTAATCCACTTGAGGGATTTGAGAACTTGGTCATTTCAGCGAAACAAGTTCATACCAATTCGATGGAACAATTTTTACTCATCTTTGTCAATCAGCTTATTCTTGCCACCAATTTAGCTCCAGACATTTTCATCCGAGTAATTCCACTTCTCAATATTCTCTTTGCCATTTCTCGAGTTCTTTTCTGGCTTGGTTATCCTAAATATCGAACTTGTGGCTTCTTCAGCGGAATGACTCCAATCACATTAACGACCATTTATAATGCTTACGCTCTCATTAACTTTCTCTTCTAATTCTCTTTTTTAACTATAATCATTTTATATTTAATCTATTTTTCTAAACCATCAATCCAACAATATATCCTCCTAATTAACTCGCCAATAATATGATATCCTTTGTTAGGAGTCTTCAAAGACAACAACAATTAACACTTTTTTCAACTATCTGCTTCTAATTGCATGTCTCTTTCTCTACTGTATCCACTTAATAAGATTTTCTTTACTTTAAATTAACTTTAAATGAGTAGCTTACCAACAATGATTATCATTGTTGATCAACCACTCAATTAAATTTGATTATTGACTCAATTGTGAATCAATTTTTATGTTTTAATTGTGGATTTAAGTTGGCTCCAACTCATCATCAAATTTATCCAGTGACTTAATTTTGTATCCCGAGTGAAAATCTATGGAGAGCCAGATAATAATGGAGGAAAATGACGAAAATAATGAAACATTGAGTGAACAATTTGCCGATGGAGAAGCTTCAATTGAATCCAACCAACGACCATCATCGATTCCTGATTGGCAAGAATTATGTCAAGCAATTGAATCTGTTTTGACTATTACACCAGTCGAGGATCCGGAAGCTGAAAGATTGGAAAGAATCTTGGATACCGTTAATGATTATATTAACTCCGAGTTTGTGGACATGGAAATTCCCGAAGTTGATAAAATAAAAAAGAAAATTGCTCAATTTTCAAATTCAATCTCATCAATACTCACCAAGATCAGAAAATATTCCCCAGTACCTTTAACTACAGCCGAAGCATCATCATTATCATCATTAGACTAATTCTAATTGATTGAAAACTGTCAAGGTTACAACAAACGATTCTATTGAAAAGTTGTATCAACAAAATTATGTTTGTCTTACCATAACACTAATTCACTGATGAAAATAAAATGATTAATCTAAACATCGATTAACCCTTTTGAGATGATACTTTCGCGTTAATTATATTGATTCAATAAGTTTTAATCTCACATCAATTCCAAGAAATTAATTCTTACACTTTTATTAAAAGCGTTTCTTACCGGGAATATAATCAAACCCTAAGAGGTTTCATTCCGGGCATTTAATTATATTGGTTTTCTGAGGTTTAACGATATAATTAATGTATGTAACTAACGATTGTAATTGAACAATTAAGACAATTTAAAATGGAGAATCAGCAAAAGCTTCTGCTGGAGAGAAATTGAGACGATCTTGATATTTGTCGATCATAGTTGATTTGACTACCGTTTCTAAATTAAGTTGTGGAGCTTCAATTTTACGTCTTTCTGCCAACCATCCCCTACACGCGGTGGAAACAGCACCATAATCGGCACAACATTTTCTCATATCTTCCAGGAAATCGAAACATCTTGCCTCCGATTCGGGATCTTTAGCAAAAGCCTCCATACAGCGAGTTAATCGACCAGAAACTCGTCCACATCCATCAGAGAATTTTCTGGTCTCCGCTTTAAGAGGCATTATGATGATAATTGGTTAAACTGGAGAATAGAATACACAAAAAATAAAAAGAATTTCGACCAAATTAATTAATTGTTACAATTAAATAAAGAGAAAAAAAATAAACATTCAAAATCTAAAGACAAGGTTAGAGAAAAAAAGAAAACATTGAAACGATTATCGATTAAGAGAATTTCTCTTTTCGATATATCGAAAGTAACTCGAGATTTGTTTCAAGTTAAAACTTTGAACATTTTATTTTCGATGATATTATGAAATATCATCGAAACAATTATGATTAGTTGATATATGATAGTTCAATGAAACCGGAAGGGTTGGTGGTCTTTGAAAGGGAAACAGGAAGTGGAATTGATGAGAGTTTAAATGATTTGATTAGAAGGTGCAAAGTAAAAGATGGAAACGGAAATGACCAAAATGAATCGTGTCTCATGAAATGATTGGCAATAATTTTCCCCAAACAATACCTTGGGTGTCAGAATGTTGACCGGCGTTAACAAGACCAACATCGAGTTGCGATGAGAGAAAACTGGTTTGCTCTTTTCGCTCGATTCTGTGACAAATTCATTCACTCGATCGGAATGGAACCCGACAAGAAATTCTGTTCAACGAAACTCTTGAACAGCCTGAGGCATTTAACTTCCCACCAGAGTCTCACTGACCACTGGCTGGACAACATTCTCAACGACATATGTTCAACAATCGACGTTCGAGTCTTTAAATCAACAATATTGAGTTATAACCTCGTCAAGATGTTGACAATTCGTTGATATTAAATAATAGATTCACCTGTCAGTTTAATCAACGAAATTTAAACTGAATTAATTTGTTATTTCAGGATTGATTTAACTACGTATTTATCTGTTATTGAATTAGATTTCTACGTGACGACTTTAGTTGAAAACAAAAGTGTAAATCTGATTAACAGTTTTACGTTTTTATTAATAGTAAATTGGATCAATATTTTGTTTAATCATTACAATTAAAGTAAAATTGAAATTCAACTGATTTAGACAAAGACAAAAGGTCATCCAGTACTTAAGAAACCATCCTTTGGTTGACCATTAAGCCAATTAGTGAATTGATCCTAAAAACCCAATTACAAAGGTGATAATTTGATTGTCCACATTGAATCAATTTCAAATTTATATTGGACTTGATTAAGAAATCAATTAATAAACAAGGGGCAAACATAATCAAAAATTGATTGATTGATTGAAAGGAGAAACTTAGATATTAAGAATTAGTTTCTATTCTAATTGTTCTAAAGGTTTGATACAATTAACTAATCATTCACATAAGAATTGAAAATAAAAAAGGAAAGGGAAATCATCAATGTAACTAATGTTGCAACTATGGAGAGAGAGAGATGGAAAAATGAAAGATTTTAATTGTGGCAATGAAAATTAAATAGGAACAATTAACTAACCAAAAAGGGACCACCACTTCCCAACCTCCTTGATCCACATTCATGACAATATTTAGCTGATTGTGTTGAGTATTTGGTTCCACATTGGTGACAGAAACGAGGAAGAATCAATTCCGACGAGGAATCAATTGATTCATGGGATGGACGAGATGAGCCCGATTCTGAGCTACCTGAGGTGCTATTACGATTATTTTCATCGACAGCACCGTTACCATTGTTTAAGATTAATCGGTCAAACAATTTAAGTCTTTCATCAGCAAACGAACCACCAGAATCTCCTTTTCCTTTCATCCTAATTAAATCCTGAGATTCCATTGATAACTGACCATTTTCCCCTCTCATGGGAGATAAACCTCTGGTTCGTACACCGGGAACGGTTTTCGGTATCATTGGGCCAGTAAAGTTTTCCGGTTTTCTCAATATTTCCGCTGGATTTTCAGTGTTGGCCAGAAATTTGGTCGTTATCGAATCGAGAGACGATCGAACATGATTTGGAAATTTCTCCTTAAACTTCATCACCGGCGTTTTCGGATGTTGTTTACTCTGACCATCTTCCGCTTTCCACCGGGTCTTCACTCTACTTGGTGTATTATTACTGTTCGAATAATTGTGATTAACATGATTAGAATTAGAATTAATTCCATTGGCTCCACCACCGTTCACTAAACTACTGTTACTCTGATTATCTTTACGAGGAGGTGATCGATACCTTGACCCACCGGCGATCGTTTTTTTCTTGACTCGCGGAGAAAACAATTTACCATTACTATTAATCTCGCCGGTGGTTGATGATGATGATGATGGAGATGATCCGACCCCTTGGATGATTAAATCTCCACCATTTGAATCACTCTCAATATCCGTTTTACTCAATCCTTCTGGATGATATTTTCGAATCCCTTTAACCTTATTAACTGTTCCCTTGGAACCATTTTGATGATTTAAATTGTTAACCTTTGGTGATCTTATGCTTCGAGATTTTTGTTCCTTACACCATGGAATATGCCGATCACCGGCCGCTTTACTAAATCGTCGGGAACAACATGGACACTCCACATAGCCTGGGGGAATTTTCTTCTTTCCATCTTCTTCTAATGGTTCGGGTTCCATTTTAACTCCTCTCGCTTCACGAATTGTCCTGATAAACTGTTCATGTTGATCTCGCCAATTCGATGATCTAGAAGTTGACTTATCGTCTATACCTGGGTCACTTTCAATCATCTTCTTTGAACCATTTCCTTTTCCTCCTTTCGATTTAGATGGACTTGAATTTTTAATCGAACTCGATAAACTTGGAACAAGTAGATCACCTTTTTCGTCGACCGGAGCTCGTTGTTTGGAAGAATCGAAAATATTTCTTTTCCTACGTTTCTGCTTCTCACATATTTCAACGTGTTTCACCTAATTAATAACAATTAAGAATCACAATCAACTCAATTGTAACAATTAAAACATCAAACGATCAAAGATCAACTACAAAACAACAAGGTAACGGTAAATTTGATTCTCTTTTTCCATTGGTTTGATTGATCAATTTCTCTCATTAAAACCAATCAACCTTTGAAATGAACTTAATTATCAATCAAAAAATCTGACAATTAACTAATTACAAGCATATAAAATCTATATTTCTACTTACCAATCTATCGGGTAAAAATTTCCTACTGCAAATGGAGCAAGCAACTAGTTCACTTGGTATAACCTCGGAAGGTGAATTATTATTTTCTAATTGTTCTTTGAAAATTGAAACAGTTAAATCGCCATTTAATTGGATGGAAGATGATTGATTGATTGTTATTGTGAGATAAAAAAGAAAACAATTAATTGATTAGCTGTCGATTAATAATACAAAATGTATCATCCAAATTTCATTGATAAAAAGTGGAAACAATTTTCTTACCTGATGATTGCATTGACACAAGGAAAAAAGTGAAACCCCAATTATTTTAGATAATTATGATTCCAATCCAAACAATTAAATCATAATTAACAACATGGCCATCTAATAAATCACACAATTAACTAGGCTATTGGAAAGGCTCGTATTCACTTGATGAAATTGCGTCGATTTTGTTAACAAGTTTACTTGATGTTATCTCCATGGTGAAGATCAATTTACTAATCAAAACAAACGAAACCCAAACAATTACCAGTTTTTCGTGACCAGAAAACCAGAAAACCCAAAAAAAGGTCCATAGGTTCATCTATGTTGATATTTAATTGTGAAAGGAAAAAGGTTAATTTGGTTATTAATATCGTTGAATAATTAAGAGACATTGATTGTTGTAAAAAGAGAGAGAGAGAGAGAAATGATTTCTCTCCATTAGTTTAATTGTGAGATTTAATTATAAAGAGATGATTCTATTAATTATATAAATGATTTAAAGAAAATTAAAGCTGCTTTTGTTTAAATGGAACCAAATTGATTAAGATATAAATTATTACAATTAAGATTTTTTTTTTCGTTGTCAACCTTTCGATGTGTCATATAACAATTAATGTATTCAAATTTAGTGAATTGGATTTTTTTGCTTCTTCTGTCAGTTTGATCAAAATGGATTATTGATTTAGTTAATTGCTACCATTTTGACCAATTACAATTAAGATGATTAAATTATAATAAAATAAATACAATTGTTGATAATTTTGATTGAAGATCTGTTGGAAATAATAAAGGGGAGGAAAATGCAAATTATGTTAACTTAATTGTTGTAATTAGTCAACTCGTATCGATGATAAGATTAATCAAATCTATTGATTGTTTGTTTTCCTGTAAATTGCTATAATGTTTAAATGCTAACAAATTGTAAATTGAAAACTTTGGTGAAATATAATTAGAAAAAGGTGAAAATAACTCAAGGACTTAAAGGTTAATTAGTTGATTGTAAAAATTCCAAATCAACTAAATCACAAGTGTAATTAAAATTGATTGAAAATACAATCGGTGAGAGGGAAAATAAAAGCTTAAAATAGATAGATAGTTAATTGAGATGATGATCAAAAATGAATGATAATGATGATTAATTAATTAGTTAAAATGCTTAATCAAAATTAAAAGCCAGGGAATTAGAGAAACGGAAAGTTAATCAATGTGAAACAAAACTAATCATGTTAATATTGACTATTTTTTTCACCTTCTACTTTTGTGACTAAGATGATTGAGAAAATTGTCTTAAAATAATCAACAATCATAGGAATTAAAATTAGTAAAAAATCAATTTAAAAACAATTAATCTTCAGCTATCTGTTAGCAGTTTCGTCAGAGTGATTAGCAATGTTGGATGATTGATGATGATTAAGATGATGATGAGAATCGGAAGATCCATTAACCCGTAGCGAGGCCATACTGTTGTTAGTTGAATAGTGTAATCGCCCAGCCGAGGATAATAGTTTGGCCGGAGTAGCGTAATCGCTGTGTGTCGATCGCAGGGTGTTGGATAAACTCGTTGCATCGGGAAATTTGGACAAAAATTGTCGCAATCGTTTCAAAGTGGCTTCCAGGCGTTTGTTTTGCTCTTCAAGAAGGATACGTTTCACTTCAAGTTCGTCTTCTTTAGATCGTAAGGCTTTCTTTTCAGCGGATAGAATTTCCTCCCTGGATGAGATTAAAGATGCATATGGATCCACTTCCGCTTTAACTGTAAGTATATCACCTCCTCCCCTGGTCAGTGAGCCAATGGTTGAATAATGGTGAGAATCACTTTGGACATTAGTTGAGCTCTTTCCGTTAACTTGTTGGCTCTTTTTGATCTTTAATCGTTCATATTCAGCCTGTAATTGCCTGAAAATAGTGAAAAATCAACCAAATTAATAATTAGTCAAAGAAAATATTGAAATTCAAAATGGAAACAAACAAGTCCAATGATTAACTTTATTTCTAATCAAATGTATTGATTTAATATTGGATTGAAATGATGTTAATAGCAATTGAAAATGAGACTGAGTAGATGAAAAAATCGATGATTAAAACAGCTATTGTTATCAATTTAATCAACTGATTAACCTGATCAACCTAAAGTGAAAATTGGTAGCAACTATTACTAACCTATTTTCTTGTTCTAATCCATTAATAATGGATTCTAGTTCATTACGTTGATCTGGGGCAATTGTGGTAATCAATCGATCACGAGGAATGGTGAGTGAACTGATATCATACTCTGGATGATATTGAGCATTAGATTGACGGTCATCATCACTATTGAGCAAAAAAAAGAGTTAGAAACGAAACATAATTAGAATAACAATTAACTCAAAATGATATAAGAAAATATTGATATTAACTCACAGTTCTTCGTAATTGTCAAAGTTGCGATCTTGTCCATCGTCCAGTTCCACTTCCGCTAATCGACTAGCATATATTTCAAGTTTTGAATGCATATCAAGAGAGTCCGGATGTTGGAGTGTATGTGTCGGAGAGTTGAGGTGACCTTCATTTGTGTTTACATCGGCATCACTTTCAACCGTTTGAACGGGAAGATAACCAAATTTTGGATGCCGTTTAAAGTATCGTTTGGATTTAAATTTGTTCCGTATGATTCGAGTAAAATCTTTTATATCTTGACCTGAGGAAGTGGTCAGACAATATTCTTGCATTGGATGGATGTTTTTATGATTTTTCAAAGTTCGACCAGAAAAGAAACAAATTTGACACATATCAAAGTTAAAACAAAGTAAACACTTATATCTGAATCCAATGATTGGAAATTGTTTACAAACGTTACACTTTGATTGGTGTTTAGCCTTTTCAGCGGCTGCTAAACGATGAAGAACAGGAAGCCAAACGGTTGATTGAGGTTCTCGTTGTAACCAGGCAAGAAAATCGATCAATTCAATTTCAGATTTACGTGCGGCAAGGTCAAAACACGATCGGACACTTGGTTCAACATTGTTTCCACCAAAAGCAATCTCTCCCAAGAGACGAGGCACTTGAATAAAATCGTGTAACAATATTCCCAAAGCTCGTTCATCAACTAGTCCGTTATCAGCGACTACATTGAACATATCTGTCAATCGAGAAAATTATATTCCAAATTAATAAACTAGGAAACAAAATGGATAGAAAATAACAGTTCTCACATCGATATTTTTCCTCTAAAGTTCCTTTGCATAAAGTAACCAGGCCAATTTTCAAAGAGAGAGCTCGAATAAAACCAGTTCGATTAGCACTGAAATCAAATTGGAAAAAGAATAGAAAAAATTCATCACTTATTATTCAATTAAATTAGTATAACAAACTACTTACGTATCGTACAAATTAAGTAACCAATTAAGACATAAATCGATTGATAAAGGTACATTAATTACAATCGCTTGATCACCTGAAGCCGTTGCTGTGTAAATTGTTTGAAGGACTGTTATTATTTCCGGTACATTGAGGTGTTTCTCATTTTGTCCCGCTAATCCACAATTGTAGAAGATTTCGATTAATCCATCAAATTTAACCAAATCAAGGCATAAGTGACGTTGGACTGATCTTAATTTCATCGCAGTTCGATAAGCTGAATATCTAACTTCGTTAAACTCATTTAGGGTGTTAATGAGTTCAGTCATTTTAGGATGATCCCAATGGGTTGTCTCAGTTTCATGACTATAATAAGAAAGACGAAAAAGTCAATAACAATTGGATGAAATTTTGATAATTAATCAGATTGACTTGGGTAAAATGCTCACTTTATATAATATGGAACCTTATTGAAAGCGACTGCTCTTTCCCATGGATTTTCAACTGCGTCATTTAGGAAACGCTGTTGAGCTGTATTGTGATCGATTACTGCTTGTTCCAAGTTTTTCCTTCTCTCTTCGATAGAGACTTGAATTAACTTCCAACGAGTATTTAGTTCCTCCAAACAATTAAGAACTCCATCAGAAAGTAACACTTGAGATCCACTGATTCGGGTTGCTGATCCATTCATTTGATCAACAAACCTTTGAAGTGGATAAATATTATCTCTGAATGTTTGAAGCTCGTTCAGAACTTCAGGAAGTTGATCAACAGCAATCTCAGAGATCGGTATCCATTTATTTCTGGTCATATCGGCTATGCAAAGTTTAGATGATAATTCATCCATTTGGAATTGTAATTTAACCATTTTCTGGAAAAAAGTTTTAGAAAACAAGTAAAAAAGAGTCAAATTAGTAACAATTAACAATTTCAATGATAATAAATGAGCAATGACAACTAGAAACTTACTCTCATTATATCATCTAATCGTCTTTTCCTATGGTCAATTACTTTTAATAATTCTGACCATTTTTCGGATAATCTTTCAACTTCCCATTGGATACTTTGAGTTATCTTGTTAATTTCACCTTTATCACGATTTCTGGACCCACTAATCTCATCGTAACCTGGAAAATTAAACAGAAAAACAAATTAGACAATTGCAAGATTAATCAATAATTTTTAAGTTGAAAATTCACCATCAACAATTTATAATAAAGAAAAACTTTTTAAGATCAGGAAAAAAAATTCTGACATTTCTATCAATCAATAGATAAACATTCAAATACACCAAAGGACATTTTCATTTGCCACGGAATTTGTATTGATATTTATTACCATTATCATTATGATCTTAATATAAAAAATACACAATAGAGATGGTGATGAAAGAGAAATCCATAAGTAGAAAAAATAAATTGTTATGGAATGACCATAGAAACCAAATCATATTATTCAAGTTGATCATCGTAATCATCATGAAAAAAAATATGATTAACCGTATAGGTTAAGATTTGCTGGTCATCATCATCATCATCTTGATGACAAGATCATTTTTTTCATCAAATGTTTGACCAAATATAAGTTATTGCTTTTGGGAAGATTATATATATTGTTGAAGGAGTTTTTGATTAGGTAAATAATATCATGAAAAATATGAATATAAAGATATTTATTTACCTTGAGAATCACCTTTTGAAAGGTGTGATCGACCGGACATTAGAGTTGTCTCAATGATTGGCCTCTCTTCATCCAGTGAAAGACTCAGGTTGGTCAGATCATCTTGTTGCTTGGTCAGTGAGGAAACATCACCAATAATATCACCCAATGAGCTGTAATCACTTCGCTTTTTAATTACCCATTCATTTAATTCACGCAATGAAAGTAGCAGTTGATTCAATTCATCGCCAGAATTTGCCTCGAGGCGAATTTGTAAAGCAAGCATTTTCTCCTTCAAACTATTCCAACGATAACTTGATATATCTAATTAATCACAATACAAAGAAATACAATTAAATCAAATAATCAAACAGAAAAACAATAAAAAAAAAACCTTTCCAAAAGTTCAGCAAAACGAATAACTTTCAAAATAAACATGAATTACAATTCATCTAATCAATTTTCGTAGAAAACAATTAAATACTTACTTTTATTCATTGTTTCTAATTCTGCACTCTGATCATCTTCCAAAACATCATGGTCCTTGTTATTATCGTTACTAGAGATGGAATTTAAATCCTCATGAATTGCAATTTGTTTCTAATGGAAAATTAAATTGTAAACTTTAATGTTAGATGAAATGTTAACACAATAAGTAAACAAATGATTAACTCTTTCTAATCTGATGATTAATGTATTGTTAACATAATTATATGAAAACATAAATGATTAATTAATTGTTAGCTTTAAATTGTAGACAACTTAAGATAACATTGAAATGGTAAAAAATTAGAGACTCGTAGTGATGGGAAAAGAGTTGATGGAGATGAAAGATGAATGAGAAAGAGGAAAAAGAAAAGGTTTTCAGATCTCTGAACATATTATGTAATCGACATCGAGCAAACTCGTGTAATAGAATAAGATATTAAAAAAAAACGTCGAAAAGAATCATTTGACATAAGAAGACAATCGAAGGCAATTAGTTAATCAACAGATACGACAAAATTGGAAGAATACTAAACAATTGATAATTTAAATCATTAGCAATTGGTTGGATTATGAGAGTGTTACTATTTCTTTGGTTTGATTGGAGTTAATTTGTATCGATATCGATGCCAAGGAAAAAGACGAAAAGTTCAAAGAGGACGAAAAAGTCATCATCTTCATCGTCATCATCACCATCATCTAGTTCATCGTTGTCTTCATTGTCATCTTTATCTCCGTTAGATCTTGAAACTTTAAAATCTGGTCCGATTTCAATTGAGCATTTAGATGATGAAGCTAATAAAAGTAAGTCATTTTTCTGATATTATATGAGACAATTTAATCATTTCGAATTAATTAAAAGGTAAACGAAATGTTGAAGAAAAGGATGACCTGGAGGGCGGTGGTATTTCAGAAATTTTTCACAATGTTGCGAGGTCGATTACACCTTTGTTATCACCGATATTAAGAAAAGTGTCATCATCTCGATCAAAATCTCGGTCAAGATCTCGGTCAAGATCTCAGTCAAATTCATCTTCAGATCAACGGGTATCCGATGAAGATAAGAAAAAAGTAACAATTTTGGTACCAAGTGATGGAAAAACGATAGACACTTCATCTGGTGTTAATTCAAGAGATCTTTTTAAACCATCTAGAAGCAAAACAAGCTCGAATTCTGATTCTAAATTAGATTTGAATAATTTTCAAGAGAAACACTCGAGTAGCAGACAAAGTCTACGGAGCAGTAAACGAGGTCGAAGTACTCAGAGTAGAGGTAGAAAATCAACAAACAGTCAAAGGGGAAGTAAAAGAAAACCTCAATCACGCGCTCGGCTTAGCTCGAGATCTTCAGCAAGATCTAGAACACGATCGAAAAGAGGATCTGGTGGTTTATCATCAATGCAAAGTCGAAGTAGAAGCAGAAGTCGAAGTCGAAGCAAAAATCAAAGTCGAAGTCGAAGCAAAAATCCAAGTCAAAGTCAAAGTCGAAGTCGAAGTTCAAGTCACAGTCGAAGTAGAAGTCGAAGCCGAAGCCGAAGTCTAAGTTCAAGTCAATCTTCACTTGATTCAACGACAAGTGTCCCTTATAAAAGTCATAGTAAATTTCGGAAATCGCGAAATCGATCAAGAAGAAGCAAGAGAATTTAAAAATCCAAATTTAAATTAAAGAATCTGAACCAATCGAAACGCGAATTAAATCACCATAATTAACTTTTCTATCAATTTTACCCCTTTAATTATTCAATTTGAGAATCACTTGATTGAAAAAAAGGGAAAATATTAATACAATCAAGTGTACAAAGCAAGAGATTATATAATAAATCAACTTTTTTCCACTTGATTAACAAAATCAGATGATTAAGATAATAAAAAAATATCGAAATCAAGATTAAATTTTCCAAGGTAATTGATAATTTAACTAATGGGTTTTCTGTTTGATCAAACAAATGGAAGATCATTACTAATGTAATTGTAAATGACAAAAGTGTGAAAAAGGTTTGATTGTTAATAATGAAAGTTATCATCAATGATTTACTGATTGTATTTAGTGTAACATAAAAATGACTGGCTAATACCTTTTTTTATCATCCATTGATAGTATATCATAAACTGAATTAAAGGTCATTTAGTGAGCAGGAAAACTGAATGGACAGTTGATATTCAATGTTATCAGTGAAGAAACAAAATCAGATTAACTCTAATAGTCTAATAAAAATGTATTAAAGTGATGATGAAAATAACGACATCTCATTATTAAAGATACAACTGACACATTATATTACTAAAAGCTGATACAAATAAACCAATTGTGTGAATAAAATATTTAAATTGTTAAGAATCAGAAAGATGGATGCAAAAAATTAAGTTAATTGAATTCACTCAAGAAGTTGCAAAGAGGAGACAAAATTTACAAGCAATCAAATTGGAATCAGATTGAACAATAATGATTAAACTAAAATAATCAAATTGTATTCATTTGATCAAATAAGCTGAAAGTCATCAACCTAAATTATCAAAGATTTTACTCTCTGAATCTAAATCATGAACCATTTATGAACCAAGTAGGATATGAATTGATGATGAAGATAATCATCAAAAATCCCGCATCAATAACAAAAGGAATGACAAACCATTATCTCTCTAATGAAAGTCAATGTATTCAGATTATCAAGTGAACACAATAGGATTAAGATATGAGGATGAAAAGTGAAGATCGTTAGATTAAATCCTCTGATCATGCTTCTTATGGTGAATATTAGATAATATAAATATATCATTTCCATGAAATAATACAACACAATTTTTATGGAGAAATTATAACGATTAGAGCGAGAGAGTTAAATTTTAATCTTACCTCAATTTGATTGACAATATTTTTCAATTGTTCTAATACTCTCTCATCAGAACAATCTTTAAATGTAATTGCGATATAATCAACTTGAGAATTAAGCCAATTGTACCATTCAGTTGAACTTGGATCAGCGTTTAATCTCATCTTTTTATGGAGTAATTCACGTTTGCCCTTAAGGCAATCCATCTTTTCTTTCAAGAAACTTGGAGGTTTGTGTCCGAATTTATTTGCATCGTTTTCAATTTCTTGTAACATAACAATTAATTTCTCGTAATTGGTTTCATGTACCTGAAAATAAATAAAAATAAATTATTTAGTATGAGAAGATACAATATACAGATTCCAATGTTTTCGATTACAATTGATTATTGGTTCATTTAGATGGACAATTTTTCTTTTCATGAGAGTGTTTATCTATCAACTATGTAAATAAATGATAACAATTAAGAAAATTGTTCTGGTTATACATACACTTGCATCTTCGATAGGTTTAGTTTCTTCCTCTAAATGAGTAGATGTCCAATCAATTTCATCGTCCAACATTCGTGAGACCACTTTGAAACTGGTCAAGTATTTGTCAATAGAAATACGAGCTTCAGGTAAACCAATGATTAACTGGGAACAAAATTAAAACAAAAGAGTTAAATTAATTGTTAATTATATTGGCAATTAGAACATTATTTGATTGAAAACCTACTTTGAAAAAATCTTTTTCCATGGTATCAACATCTTTTTCAATGATCATTGTTGGAGCTAATTGAATGGTCATCATGTTTAACCATTGAGTTTGTAATTCTTGTTCAAGAAACTACAGAGAGAAAATGAATTAATGAATTGAAGAAATTTTTTCTTAATTAGATGATTAAAGGAAATTTAGTTACCTTGACTTCGTTTTGTAAGATATTCGCCATCTCGAAGCTTTCAATTTTACCCTCTAATTTGGCTAAAGTTTTGTTAACCTTTCCAATCCAAGTTTCCAGTTGATTCCAATATCCAAGAACGTCCATATTTTTGTCCTCGTTGTGAAGTCGCTCTTTACGCCAGGCCAAATCACGAACTACTGATTTCCACTTTTCATCAATCAAAGTAATACGATCAACAAGCTTCTCCCCACCATCGGGTAGATCGGCCATAATTTTTTTAGTCATTACTTTGAAAGTGCCAAAAACGGGTACATGCTCGTTGAAAGCGGTTCTCAAAGGTTCGTCCTCTTTTTTAGCTACTTCGATGTTCAACTCACCAGTTGGCAATCGACTAGCGGCTAATGTTTTCTCGGCCATATCAAGGAATGATTTAATTTGATTGAAAGTTGTATCGTTCTGAATTCGTGTCTCTTTAGCAAACCACCAACGTCGATGACGTTTCATAAATGATTCTCGAAGTGCTTGCCAATGGGTCCAAATGGATTCTATCAGTGGTATATATTCAGATCCTTGGGGATGAATAGTGTTGATCATCATTTTCTCAGCAACCATTTTATGAATCTTAGGCTTATGGGATTCCATAGTGTTTTGTATCTTCTTTAAGGCACCTAATTGTTGCTTTTGTTCAATAAAATCACCTTTGTTCAAAATCTCACATGTATTCAAATAAATTTGAATGTTTTGTAATTCGTAATCAATATCTTCCAATTCGGGAAGAGTAAAAAAATTGAGCAATTTAACTGTGTTACTTTCTGTTGTTCTTGTTGTTGATAATATTGGAAGACCTTCGGAAGCAGCGGTTGCAGTTATGGTTCTTGATAATGAACCTTTACGACTAGTAGTTGACTTTGGAGACGATTGATTGGAATCAATTCCTTCGGATAAATCGATTGACCGTTGAAGTCCAAGTTGTCGTTGTTTACTAAGTGATTTCAATGAGGATGATTGTTTTGTCGTTAATTGTGTCAAATCGGAACTATTACTTCTAGTAGTAAATTCGGAATTATATTTACGAGACATTTTCTCCTCCAAAAGTTCAAAATCGGAAACAATTGTCTCGATATTCAGTCTCAATTTATCATTATTGTCTTTATTTCCAATAATATGGAATAATAATTGCACTTTTTCATTTAATTGTCGAAGTTCATCTTTCTTTTGACCAAATTCTCTTTGATCAACACTCGATGGATCTTCTTGTTGATTTAACCAATTTTTCAGTTCGTATAATAAATTCATTACAGTTGAACTAATTTCCATTACTTTTTCAATCTCTTGTTTACGTTCACTTGCCATTTGAGATAAATTTTCGTAAATTTTTTCCAGCACATCAACTTCTCGAACCAAATCTTCCGGATCATCAGCAAAATCCACAGCAAGTGATGTTTGCTTTTTAACTTTATCAATTTCTTCACGTACATTATCAATCTCTTGAACTAATTTACGACACTCATTGAACTCTTCCTGGATTACAGTATATTCATAAGAATTAACCTTGAGATCAATAAGATTATCCATCAATTCATTTAACTTTTTCGATAAACTATTCAAACGAATCGCAAAATCAGTTGGATGCTGATACTTTTTAAACTTCATAACAAGATCTTGATATTGAGACTAAAAATAAGAAAAAAAGAATCAACAATTAAAAATAAACCAAATCATCAATCAATTAATCATCACTTACATTTAAGATTGCTAATTGTTCCTCAAGTCTGGATGCAGCTTCCAATCTTTCCTGAGAACGATAATTCTCAATACTTTCAGTCAATGTGTCCAGAATTTGTTTATTTGATTTAAACTCTAGATCCAATTTCTGTCAATTGTGAAAAATAAAAAGAAATGATAACATAATTAATGACAATAATCTGACAATAAAAGTAATTAGTAGAAGCAATTAATTACATCAACTTCATCCGGCATATCTTCCGCAAGAATATCTTCATCAAAACGCTGTTGAAGTAAACAATCAACATCTTGAATCCATTTTTGCACTTTTAAAATTTGAGAATCACATTGTTGTGCATAAGTGATTGAAGACTCTAAATCTTGTAATCGTTGATGAGCTTGATGTTGTAAACTTTTCCAACGTTGGTCAACCTTATTTATCTCAATTTCAACGGAATCAGAAAAGAAACTCATTGCAATCAATTCATTGGCCAATTTATGAATACGATCACTACGTTCAACAGGTCGATGTCGTAAATAAGTTTCTAAATCATCATGATTACCAGATATTTCTTCAGCATCGGCAGCCGTTTGTGGAGATCGCTTTAGTTTTCTGTCCAATTTATCCAACCAATCTTTTTCCATCATAATTAACCTGGTAAATTCACCAAATTTACTATGATTTTGTTTCAATGTTGTTAGATATTCTTCTATGGATTCAATCAATGTTTTCAGTGTTTCTTTGATTGTTTCTGTTTTACTTTTCATCTCTTCCAATGATTCGGTGGTGGGTTGATGACTAGGTGATAAATTGTTTAATAATTTTGACAATTTGTTTGCCTCATCGTTGGTTTTTCGTAATCTCTCTTGTAATGTTCGCCCAGATTTAAAGCTCTTCTGATAATCATCAACAACCGAATGTTTAACTTCATCAGTCTCAAAGCTTAACGATTCAATGTCTCGTTCAAGCTTTTCAAAAGATTGGCAAACATTTTTACTACGATTCAAAGCAGTTTCCAATTGTTGAATTTTATCTGATGCTTTCATCCTTAACATTGAACACTTTTCCTTTAGTTTATCCATCCGATCTTGTAAACACTTTGATCCACCTTGATTGTTATCACCATTGGAATCATCATTGTTATCATCATCGAATTCATCAAATTCAGCAATCAACTGTTCACTTTTTAATATAATTAGTGCACAATTGCTTTCTAATGTTATTTTAATATCGTCCAAAACTTTGTTACATTGTTCAACATCACTTTCCAGTGTTTGTATATCACCCAGGGCAGGACGAAGTTCATTGAGAAAATCAGTTAATTGTTCTACTTCTGATTCAAGAATTGATGTTTCATCGTCAAAAGTAGTCAGGCTTGTTTCCAATTTACGGTAATTAGCTATTCTATTGAGACACTCATTGTGGCAAAACTCCCAAATCTCTTGTGAAGAGTTACACTTATCTCTCATCTCTTTAACCAAAGTATTGTCATTTTGTCCTTGTTGTTGCTGCTTTGAAAGGTTGATAAAATTTTTCTCTTTACATGATGATGATAATGATGATGTTAATGATGATGACGATGATATTTCTGCGAGTAATGTTTTCAAATGTTTTCCCTCGTTGTCAATCTCATTGAGTAGTTGATTATACTCATCAAGTTGATTAGCATTTAATAACAAATCAAAGTAAACCTTTGGTTTCTTGGAGAATTTGGTTTCTTTCAATTTCACTAATCTTTCATATGAAGAGTCCACTTTTTGATTTAAATCACTTGGGCAACCATTTGATGTTGATGACTGTTGTTGTTGTTGTTGTTGTTGTGTGACTTGAATTTGTTTTTCGGTTGAACCATCGGTGAGTTTAGATTGAGTTAATGATTCACTAACTTTCTTAAGCAAATTACACAATTGTTCATTCACTTGCTCTCTCTCATTGAAGAAAGAGACAATTTTCTGATAAGATGGTTCTTTGATCGCTGTTCTTAATGTCCGCTTCAGATCTTCCAACTCTTTACGAAGCTTAGAGATTTTATCTTCTTGAGCTGATAGCACTTTTATCCTTAATTTACAGTTTTCATCAATTTTCTTCAGGATATCAGGTGATAAATCACTTAAACTACTTGTTGTTTTTTCGCGTAAAAATTTTTTCGCTGATTCAAGTACAAGAGACATTGCACCAGTTTCGACAACCATACGATTCAACTGAACTAATCCTTGGCGTCTTAATTGACGCTCACGAAGAGTACGATTAACTCGACACCATCTTTCATTAACTGTTTCCACAATTTGTTTAATAGATGAGCTCTCCTCATTTTCACCACATTTGGTTAATTCATCCACAAATTCATTTCCTTTGGTAACAAGTGAATCGAATTCTTGTCTTCTCATCTCTAGATCACTTTCAGTATCTTCCAAGAAAATTTGCTGCTCCTCTAAAGACATTGAATTCCATGAAGTTGTGCAATTTTCATTAGTAGCTTCTTCCACACCAATTACCTCTTCAACACCGGTTAACCAGGTTGTAAACACATCAAGAGCCTTTTGCCACTCCTGAATCAGCCAACTATCAAGCCGACGTTTCTTTGCGCTTGAACCAACCAGTTGGTTTGGAGTCGTAGGCGTAGCTACTTTTTGTTGCTGCTTCTGTTGTTGTTGTTGTTTGTTAATGTGGTGAGATGATTCCCCTTCAACCTGTTTCAGTATTTCATTACCTTCTGTCATGGACTCCTCCCCATTATTATCGGTGGACAGCTCATCAAGTGAGGCCTCATTAATTTTTGAAACAACATGGCTTAAGGTGTTCATCCTTTGAACCGTTGCCTCCCAAACCTCTTTTAGGGTCTCCATTTTTCTGGTAATAACCAAACCAGCAGCTGATTTCGAGCCAAGCTTATTTATTAGCTCGTATGATTCTTCACCTATTTTCAAATACAAAGACCGCTGGCGATCCATTTCAGCCTCCATTCTCTCAAGTCGTTTAACAAGTTCTCCCACAAACGAAGAGCCAATATGCATGTCAGCAGCCGCCTCTTCCATTTCCCTTAACCTTCGATCTAACTTAGCTCTCCATGAATTGAATTTATTTTCCTCGTCGGTGAAATTTTCCCATGAGTGAACAATATCTTCCAAATTTTCTTTACGTTCATGGATAAATTTACGAACCATATTCCATTTCTCAGCTAATGGGGCTAATTGATCTTGCAGTTCATCCGGTGGCTTATCCATTGTTGGACTGGATCCTTCACAATCATCATAAATCCAGACAAGGTCACGTAATGAGTCAACAATTTCTTCTTGTACGTTGAAATCCTGTTGGAAATTCTGTCAGCGATAATTTTCAAAAGAGAGAGAGAAAGAAAGAAAAATTGATAACAATGAAAGAGGAGGAACAAATAATTGCTAAAAGAAAGTAAATGATGACATCTCTAAAACTCTTACTTGATAATCTGTCAACTGTTTCTTTAACTCGACAAGATCAGATCCAAAATCGGTAAACTGACTTAATTTATCCTCAGCAGTGAAAAGCCAATTTCTTAGATGATTAATTTGCTTCTGTTGTAAAATCATCAATGTTTCATGAATATTTTTACGAAACTCTAGGGTTTTTAAACTTAATTGTTCCAATCGTTCATTTAACAGGTTCATCTGTAGTTCAAGTTCAGTTCTCTCTTCGGGTGGACATTCTTCTGAGTCAACAATAGCTTGACCCTCACCCAGTAACTTAGCAACTTCTATTTGAATATCTTTCAGTGAATTGATAAAATCTTCGTGCTCTTTAAATATCTTTCTAACTTCGGGTAAATTTTTCTCCATCAAATCAATGTCAATCAGATGCTCTTCCGCTTCAAGTATCCAAGTTAACGCTTCCTCCATTTCACCCTTATAGTAATCAAGCATCTCGGCTATGTCACCATCTTCCTCCTCGTCGTCCTCGTCATCGTCTTCATCATTTCCATTACCCTATAAGAAAAATCAAGTAAAGAGAAACAAAATAAAAATTAAATATAATAAACATCAATGGAATAAAACAAAACGCAAAGAAATAAATACATCAACAACAATCAGCCTGGATAGAATTGAGAAAAAAAGCCTTAAATTCATCAATGAAAAGTAATAACTCAACAAATCAGTAGATTCATTAACAATAAAACCAATTCATTGATTGATTGTCAAAAGCCGAACAGTGAAAGGATAGTAACCAGAAAGGAAAATTCAAAAGGCTCAATAATTTTCATCTATTCTTTCTCACCCTTTTCATCATGACAATAATATGGTTGTGTTTATATTAGTTTTGATTGTAAATCAACCATTTCATTCTCTGATATAAATACAACAAATACAATTAACACCAAGGTGAAGATAAAAGAGAGAAACGAAGATAAAACTTTTCTCAACCCAATAATCAGTAGACTCTTTCTCTCTATCTAATTTTTCCTTCAAAACTGAACAATAATAATTCACTCTTATGTCAAGTATTGACACACCGATATAATTAAGGAGAGAGAGAGAGAAAATAAAAGAAACCAATAAATAAAGAGAATGAAGAGAGAGAAAGAGAAAGAGAAAGAGAGAAAGAAAAGATAAAATCTCGCCCGTTCTCTAGCAAGAGAAACAAACAAATTATTATTACATTTGTATTTATCCTAAAGATGGAGAAAAGAAAAATGTTACTCCAAAGAAGAGAGGTGTAAAACGACAAGGATAAAATAGAGAGACAACTAGACAGAGAGTCAGAGAGAGAAGATGAAAAAAAAGCATCAACAAGAGAAAAATAATAATAAAAAAAGGCGAGATACAGAAAAGATTAACACTCACACACACACACAAGAGAATAGAAAAAAAAACTTACCTTAGATTGACTATTTTCTATTGTGAACGGATCTTCCTCCATCGTGTAACTATTTCAATTTAAACAAAATTCACGTGAAAACTATAAAAAAGAGACTTAAAAATTTTAATCAAACAGTTAAATCAGAATTAAATTAGATTAAAATGAAAAGAATTAAATTAAAAAAGACAAGACAATCAATGACAATCAACTTAACTTGTTGTTGGAAAAAGTTGAGGAAGAAAAGTCCCTAGGGGATGTTACCTAATTAAAATTTTCTCTTTTAGTTCTTTTTCTCGTCGTTAGATGTCACCTTTTTTCGCAAGAATTTTGGTCAATTTATTTTTCTCATTTTCTCCAATTTTTTGTAAACATTTTCTTCCTCACTTTTTATGTGTAACATTTTCTTTAACAATTAACTAATTGTGTTTTAATTTCTTTTTTCTGCTAATTGTGGTTTTATATGTTCTTGTTAACAACTGCTTCCATCTAATCATGGCAGCAAATTTCGATCCCTATGATAAAAACAGGTAGAGTAATTGATTGTTTCTATTTTTTTTCTTCTCTTAATTTAACATTGGTTTTGATTTTCTCTAATATTTTTATCCAATGGAATTTATTTTATTCTCTTTCTTTCATCTTTTTCATTATTTTTAGCCTTTAAAAAAAGATGAAAAAGGTCAGAATTATGTCATGATAGATTAATTTCATGTCAATTTATCTGTGAAAATTTGATTGTTCATATTTATGGTTTTCCTTTGATTTCTATTATTTCCATTGCTTATGTTATAGTCCAATGATAATCTAACATGTCCTGATTTTTTTTTCTTCTATTCTTTTCCATTGAACTGTTAATGGTTAACCAATGTTAATTTTCTTCTCTAATATTTGTTTTGTGCTTGTCTTGATTGTGTATCAAGTTCTCTTTCAAATTTGCTTGGCTTCTTTTTCTCAGGATTTTTTTTCCTCTTTCACTTGTAGCCTGTGGTTGATGTTGTTTTGGCCTTTTAATTGATATTCTCTTATTTCTTTTCTCTTCCACATTCATTATTGTTAACTCTTGGGCTTCTCGTCTTTCTTTTTCCCATCTTATTTTATCTTCTTCTTCCTACTTCTCCCTCTGGTTGGACAGTTGGTATTTTGGTTCCATGACAAGACAAGAGGCCATTGACTTATTGAATGCTGAAAATGAAGTGGGAGTGTTTTTGGTGCGAAACAGTAGCTCAATCCTTGGTGATCTTGTTCTCTGTGTTAGGTAACTATTTTTGCCATTTTCTCTTGTCTATGGTTTTAATTTTGACTGACATTCTATTGTTTTCTTTTCTCTCCTATCCTCTTTATCTAAATTACCATTAATTTTCACTTGTTCTCATTTTTCTTTCTTTCTTTTCCCACAGAGAAGATTTGAAAGTTAGCCATTACATCATTAATAAAGTTCAGCAATATGACCAGACTCGTTTTCGTATGGGCGATCAAATGTTTCCCGATATCCCTTCATTACTGAGCTTTTACAAAATTCATCTCCTGGATACAACTAAACTAAAAAGACCAGTGAGTGGCTAATTCCCTCTCTCACTTTCCAATACCGATGATTTAACCTTTACATATATTTACTCACTTTATCATCTTTCTAACCATTTGTTTGTGATACTGTTATTATTATGATATCACTCAAGCATTTTTCTCTCCCCGATTAATTGTTTGTTTGCTTTTTTCTTTATCTTTACTCTGTTTCTTATAAAAAGGCCACCAAAAGGTCTGAAAAAGTTCGTGCTAAATATGATTTCGTAGGAAGTGGAGATGATGAAGATCTTCCGTTCAGACGGAATGAAATTTTAACAATCGTCTCTAAAGATGAAGACCATTGGTGGACAGCGAGAAATAGGTTGGGCAAAACAGGTTGTATTCCTGTTAATTATGTTGAACCGGTAAGAAAAAAGAGAGAGATTAATTAATTATTGTAGCTAACAGAGGTTACTAATTAACTTTGAACTTTTCTTATTCTCCATCAAAAAAAAAATTAATATCTCATCTTCTGCATTTCTCTTCCTTTATTTTCTGTCTCAATTTGCCTCGGGAAAATTATGGAAAAATAAATCATCTCATCAATATCTTCCAGTATGATGATACCCAAAATGAAAATACAACTAGAACTTCCAGTCCGATTCCTAGTCAAACCAAACAAATACCCGCTAAACCGCAATATAATACACCTCAGATACAACGACAATTACCCGCCATGGCCAAAGTAACACAAGCAAGAGTACCTAATGCATATGATAAAACGGCTTTAAAATTAGAGGTAATTCAAAGTAAACAGAAATAGATTTTTTTTTACTTGTTATTGATTGAATATCTTTTTTTTTCATTCTATTTCTATCACAAAGGTTGGTGACATAATTAAAGTAATCAAAACAAAATTGGATGGACAATGGGAAGGAGAGTTGAATGGGAAAATTGGACATTTCCCATTTAATCATGTTGAATTTATCGATACCGAGAATCCTGAAGAAGAGGATACCAATTCATGACTTGTGTTCCAATAATTTAATCTAAAGGAAACAACAATAATTGTGTATAATTGAAAATCCCTTTCCATTCAACACCATCATCATCATCGCAACAGTAAAAAAAAACACAAATTACACAACAAAAATCATAGGAATATACAACACAATTCAACACAACACACACACACTCACAATAAGAAAACACTTAAATTATATACACATAAACAAACATAGAATGAGAAAAAACTTAACAAATTAACCCAATGAAAGTTAATTAATTGGGCAAACCTGTTTAAGCAATAAAGATACCCGGCTAATGATTAGCCATATAAAGAGACACCCGACTAACTGAACATCCGGAGCTGATGGTCTACTTCCTCCTAATTGATTTTATTTTTGATCAAGTCCTACCATTATACTCTCATTCTCAACACCAACACCACCACACCATCAACATGTATAATTAATTTATATTGAGAGAGAAAAATTGATGAGAAGGAAAAATAAATGGGAGCTAAATTGTTGGAAAAGAAAAGCCATGGAAGGAAGAGGAAGACAAATGCAAACTATTGACATTAAATTGTTTGAAAGTCGGAGAGAAATTGTCAACCAGAGTTGATCTTTCTTACCGATGGACCAGAAAACGATATCAAAGTGAGACCACAACCTAAAGGTTTAACTGGAAGATGAAGAAGACGATAAAAAATATCAATAATCAACGTGAGGCCAAATAATTTCCTCCCATTTAGATGATCATCAAGATTGTCACACTACAAATTAACACCAATTTCACATAAAAATACTAAATATATCAACGTTATAATCAAATCACAATCATCATCATCACACATCTCGATCATCCTCTTGTATAAAACAAAAAGTTAAACGGAAATTGAAAAGCAACAACAACAACAACAAACTTCATGTGATCAAATCCAGACAACAAAAAGTTGCACATGATTTTTTGTACCGTAACAATTAACTAAATTGCGCGAATGCGCTCCCATTATAAGCTAAATTTAATAATGATGACGACAATTAACAACGATACTATTGTGTTAACCATCAAAAAATTTTGTCACCAACAAAAGTGATTGGAAAGTTTTTATTAATCATTATTATTATTATTTACTTTGTTTCGTTTTCCTCACCATTACAGTAATTGAGTTAATCTTTTTAAAATTGTGATTAGATTTTTACATAGATTAGTAATCTAAGATTATTGATTGTGATTGTTTAAAAGATTATCATTATCATTTATTTTAAATTTCTTTTCGTCTCATTAAGATAAATATAATTATTACCAGAGATAAAAGTTTATCCCTTCATACAGAAAAGCTGATAAATATACAATGTATATGTACAAATCTGTTTGGTTTTCATTGATTAAAAGGATTAGTGAAGTTTTTTTTTTGAAAAAAAAGAGGATAAAATAGATTGTTGGATTTAAATAATATTCGATGGGGAATTGATGATAATCATATAAGAGTATTTATATATTTCATTAGATGTTGAATGAGAGACTTTTCGGAAATTCGTTGGGAAACTTCATCTTCGTTCACCGATAATGTTATTTTGGTTTGGAACATTTCCTTTGCTTGTTTAATCCTCACTAATCCAGTTGATTCCAAGATTTGACAGATACACAGAAAATCAGAATTTGATATTTGATTAGATGAAATTCCAGTTTTAGAACAGCATTTGATGAATAATTTATACAGGGTGGGAATGTTCATCTCTTTGTTTTGCCTTTCTTTACCATAGTAAAGAATACAGCATAAGATAATCTGTTGGTGAATTGTGAGTTCGGTAAAATTTTCCTCGGAGAATAATTTGTTTCCGAAAACGGAATTTAAAATGGCACTTATGTGTCGAGGTTCAACTAATGGTTTACCAGGATTAAGATCAAAGTTAAGTCGTTTCCGGGGTGATCTACGAGGTGACATTCGAGCCATTTTCCTTGGTGAACCCTGATTATCACCATCATCAGCGGTCAGTTTTAATCCAGTTAAGGGATTAGATAAACATTTCTCCCTCTCTGCCATTTCTATTGCTTGACGGACAATGTCCAGTGCTTTACGAGCATCACCGGTGTATGATGAAACCTTTCGTGCACAGAGTTGAAGGGCATTACTTGAGATTAGTTCAAAAGATGGATTTAGATATTGTAATCGAGATTGGATAATGTCGATAATCTGGTCTCTTGAATAAGGGCGGAATGAAATTTTCTTGACACTGTTTTGTTCAAAGATACAGGTCATTTTGTTAAGACTTGATGAGGTTATCGTATTAGCGATACCAATTAAAATTAATTTCGATTTTTTCACTTTAGGCCAATCTAATAGCGCGTCGACCAGATCCTTGTCTAATTTATCAATTTCGTCGATTGTTAAAATGACCATTTGTCTCGCTTTGGTGATAAATTTCTCAATTGATTCGATCAATTTATCTCGAAATCTATAATAGTTTAAGAATAGAAAATTGATTAGATTTGATTGTTGTTCGATTTAAGAGAATTGGAAAATGTTCTCCTTGTAAAATCTTTTCTTACCTGGTCTTGTCTTTTAATCCAAGATCATCAGCGATCTTTGAATAAATTGTTGTACCTCTTCTGAAATCCATTGAATTGTAAAAAAGCTTAGTGATCTTATAGCTTTGCTTTAATTTTGTGATGATTGACTGGACGGTCAGAGTTTTACCAGTTCCAGGAGGACCAGAGATGAAAATTGTTGATGATTCTTTAGTGTCGAGACATTTTTCTAGAAAATTGGATAAATCTGAGATCTCAGTATCTCGACCAATAATACCGTCAACAGCACCAATAGATAAAAGTCGTTTAGCCTCAACAATCGGGTTACATTTGACCGGTGAACATTCAGGGGAACTGGTGGCATAAGATAACATCTCCTCGGATTCAGATTGAGGGTCAGGTGTAGGCGGAGGTGTCATGGTGAGTCCATGGTCGATTTCTTCAAATTTACTCTCAGTAAACTGATTGTCATTATTTTCCTCGGTAACAGCAGCATCATTAAAACTGTCCATTAAATTACGGTGACATTTTCTAGGAGTTTTAATGGAAGTGGTTCTTGTCATCATGGTATTTGTCCTTGTTTTAACATTTCTCTCAATAACATTTTTACGATTTTTCACCGGTGATGCACATTCAACACGTTGCCGTTTCTGAGCCGATCTGGTGACTACCATTTTTATTTATCCAACAAGAGCACAAAAGGCAGATCACAGAAGAAGAAGAAGAAGAATAAACAGAGAACAGCACAAACACTCTGATAAATCTCAAAGACCAAAGATTCTTATCTGAGTGAAGGAAAGTAAAGGAAAAAAAAACAAAAACCACAAGAAGAACAAATGAAAAAAAAAAGTGAAGAGGTCACAAAGAGATTAGAAGTTGAAAAATAAAGCAAACCACAACCAAAAGAATATTAAAAAGATGTTCTCAAATCAAACAGTTAAAAGTGTAACACAATTAAAATAGAAAATAAAATAAAATCAATGATAATTAAAAAAAGAGAAAATTAAATAAACATCTCAAGTGAATGAGCGAGAAGTTAAAAGACAATTAAAAGACAAGGAAGACCTTTAAAGAGGCGCGAATAAAACTCGCGGTCAACAAACAATAACAATCTTTCATCTTCTTCCCTCCCTCGACTTTTTCGCTCCTTTTTGTCTTCCCCTTCGGAGAAGAAAATCATCCCGACAGATGGAGCCACTTTTCTTCTTTTTCCATTTTTTTTCATTTTCTTTTTTTCATTTGATTGCACAATTAACCTAATTTTCTGTTTAATTTTTGTTTATTCAATTGTCTTGAGTATAAAATGTTGTTGATTAATAGAAAATAAATTTAGTTAATTTTCACCTTACCCTTTGACCGTTTGTCTTTCATCAAAATGTTGGAGTTTTTCGTTTCTCTGTTAAATACCAAAGGTAACTTTTGTTTATTTTGTTGTTCTTATTGTTTGTTTGTTCATAAATGAATTGATTTAATTTTTCTTTTCTTTTTTTTTGCAATTTAGAAAAACTGGGAATTTCATGGTTTATTCTTTTTTGGTTAAGTGTTACGCTAATTGTTGGAGTTATTGGAATTTTCATGTTAACCTGTGAGAAAGTGTTACCAACTTGGTTGGTTGTCCTTTATAAATATGGGAAAACATTGGCAACTTTAAGTAATGGTGAACGTAATGCTTATTCAGCTGGGTGTATGAAATTTCTGATGATCAAGAAAAAGTAATAATTAATTGGATAGATTATCTCTTCACTGTTATATTATGACACTTGTTCTCTCTTTCTCTTTTGTAGATATTTCTCTCATTTCTATGCGATTGCTGGTATAATTAATTTGATTGTCATTTTGTCCGCTTACTTGTATAAGCTTAAGATAAGAGATTTTGTTTATCCAACATTGAAATTTATTTTCGGTGACATAAATTATGGTTTGTAACAATTACATTGATTTTCAATCGATTACTAAATCATTTTCTTTTTCTCTCTTTCAGTTGGACTTGAACCCTATTCTTTCTCAGTTATTTGTCTGATGCATATTACTCGAAGATATCTTGAATGTGTCTTCATTTCTGTATCATCTGATAATGAGATTAACATTATACATTATATGACTGGAATAGTTTTCTATTTAAGTATCGCCTTATTCAATGCGAATAATTTGTACGCGACAGTGCACTTTATAAAATGTAACTGAAGAAAAAACAATTTCGCCAATACCCTAACACCTAATTTCACACTTTCCTTTATATGATATACAAAATGTAAACTAATTTTTCGTTTTGCAAATTTGTTATTCACAGGGGAACGACTTTTGATTACATCAATTGGATTTATTATCTTTTTCATTGGCCAAACCATTCAACTCTGGGCTCATTATGAATTAGCCCGTTTACGACATGATCCCAATTCCATTAGAAGTTCTCGATGTAATAATATCATTCGTAAATTTATTCTTCTTGTTTATCCAACATTTAAATTAACCTCTAAGTCTGATGAAAATTTTTCCACAGTTCGATTTGTAAGACGAGGCACTTATTATTTTCCCGATGGCAGGTTATTTAAATATGTCTCATGTCCAAATTATGCCGCTGAAATAATTACTTACACTAGTTTATACCTTTTAACTGATTTCAATTACAATTGGTTGGCACTTTACATTTGGGTTATAGTGAATCAAATTATCTCAGCAATATTAACTCATCGATGGTATCAAGTTGCTTTCGCTGAACTTTATCCAGCTGATCGACGTGCAATTATACCTTTTTTATTGTGAATTTGACCTTTACTGTTACGGTCAGAACAAAATTGTGTAATATTTTTTACATTTTCACTTTGCAATTGTTGACAAAATTTAATTCCTCTTCTAAAATTGTTTTTATAATTAACAAAAATATTCTATTATGAAAGTGAACTTGAATTTCAAAATTTTAAACATTACAATTGATTGAAGATTCTCATTCATTTGACAAAAAAAATGAACAGAACATCAATTAAAGATTAACCTTTTAATCAACTGCAATAAAGATTCAAGGTAAAAGTTGAACTACAACAAACCGACAATAAATAAATAAATATATATGTGTAGTAAATTAATTTATATACCATGATGATTGCTTTTGGATGATTGGTTAAGATGATTAGAGTTAATTAACTTGAGGTTTTGGCGAAAGAGTTTGATGAGGGAACTTGCCTTCCATAGAGAAATACTGAAGCCATGACAATTAATGCACCGAGAATAAATTGTGAACTAGGATGAAAATCGAGGAAAAACATTGAGACAACACATGATAATACGATGGCCAAAGAGGTGGCAAAACCTTTCATAATATTATCAGAATATTTGACCACCACGGCACAGAGAAGTCCACCAAGAGCTTGACAAAAGATGACCGTCCAAACGAGAGGACTGTAACCATAAAAGAAACCTTTCTCAGAAATTGGTCCAAAATCGGTGAAAAGTATCCCAATTAAACCGAAAGGAATTGTAAGGGCACTTAATTGTACATTTCGAATCCAAAGAGATATTTCTCCTTTTAATATCTTCTCAAAATAAACACCAGCAAAACCTGAGAGACAACAGGCTGTAAGAATAGCCATGAATCCAATGAAAGGAGATTGATTAATGTGAGTTGATTTAACTATTTCCTCTGGTGTTTGTTGTTGTTGTTGTTGATGATGGTGAGATGATGATGATATTGATACTGTTTGTTGTAGTTGAACAAGAGCTACACCAATGAATAATAATACTAATGCAATCCATTGATGGGGGTAAAGTCGTTTACCCAACATGGCCACTGAGAAAAGGGCGGTGGTTAAAATTTTTAATTGATAAATTATTTGACAAGTAGCTGCATCCAAATGAGTTGCACCAAGATAGAGAAGATTATTTTGAACGTAATAGATGATGGAAGGAACTGCAACTTTTAATGTATCCAGGGGACGTTTAATTATTTGATTGTTGATTGTTTTAATGGCTCCTTTAGATGAACCTTCATTAGAATAGACCATTCCAATACAGGTAATCAATTTGACCAGTTCAGCTAAGATAACAGCCGTTGATGTGATAAATAATTCCTTCTGGGTTCGCGAGGCTCTCATCAATAAATTAAGGGTACAATTTTGTATTGTTAACGTAATTAAAGAACCATATTTAAGTACATCTCGATTACCAAACCAAGAATCTTTTCCTTCGTAGTGTAATATTTTCACATCGTTACTTTCAATCTTAGTACCAACATGGATTAATAAATGTTTATCACTTTTACTCTTTTCCATGGTATTTATTTTATAACAAGTGTACCACCACCAAATGATAATATTTACGATCAAAGGGATAATTTACCAGAGATGAAGAAAAGAATAGAAAATCTGGAATAAACAAAAAACCAAAAAAAGAACAAGAGAAAATGAATTAGAATTTGAGAATCATGGAAATGGTATCAGCACAAAAAGAATTAAATCAAATGATTAACCAAGATGTTAACGAAAAAAAGAGAAACATAGAGAAGGAAAAAGACTGAGATGAGAGAGATAAAATTAACTCGTGGCAAGAAATAAATTCATCCTTAATGATGAAAATAAAGACCAAATAAACAAAGTAAACAAACCCAATAGAAAAAAAAAGAATAGAAAAAAAAACCGAAATTCTGATTAAAAGGGATAAGTGACACAAGAGAACAGGATTAGAATAACAGTAGACCAAAGGTGAGAGATAATAAGAATTAAAAAGAAAAGAGATTAAATGAGAGAAAAAAAATACAATACCTGATGGAATTAATTGTATAGAAAAATGTAAATGGAGAAAACAACAAACGAGAATGAGAATGAGAAAAGAGAATCAAAAATTGTTGTTTCTCTTTCTCAATATTAAACATTGGCAATTCTTTAGATGAAGAAACAATTTAATGGTTAACATGATAAACTATTAGTGACTAATAAGATGTTCCAAGACCAATAATCAACTTTAATGATTATTTTAATTGATTCACATTTTTGTTCCGAGAAGAAGATGAAACAAGATGACAGGTAACAAGTGAAGATAAAGATGATTATCAAAGTGAGAATAAAGAAAGGGAGAAAAAGAGAGAAAGAGAAGAAAAGAAAAGTCTCTCTGACCGGGAATTCGTATCAACACAAAGCCTGAGTTTCTCTTCTTTCTTTCATATTCTCTTTTTCTCTTCTTTCTTTTTTTTCTCTCTCTTGTTTTCTTCTTCTCTCATTTTCTTTTTGTTGTTCTTTTATTTTTAAGTTTAGTTTCTTTTTTTATTCTTTCTTTATATCAAATTAACCAAATTTCTTTGTGATTATGTGATAATTAATGTTGGTAATTAAGGTAAGTCTGAATGGAGAAAGGTTTGGTTATCGGAGAAAGGGAACAACAGGAAGATGAACCAATGATGGAAAATGGTGATTCTATCAATACAATTGTTAACAATAGGAGAACCAGCAGCTGCTTGAATGGTGATAATGGTGATGGTAATCATGGAATTGGTGGTCAATTAATTGGTGTTTATGGTGGAATTGGAGTTGATGATGAGGATGAAGAGGAAGAGGAAGATGAGGAAGAGGAAGATTTAGATGAAGAGGTGGTAAGAAATAATTCTGTCACTTCTAATGGCGTTAATAATTCGGATGGTGGTGATAATGGTGCTGATAATGGAATCAATGGTTTCAAATTACCTTCCATTATTTGTAATAGTGTTTCTGGAATTTTGGTTACTAGTCCTTCTATTCAGACGATCACTTTATCCTCATCTTCTTCTTCATCTGTATCTTGTTCACCACCGACTATTTTATTACCTTTATCACCAGCATCTTCTTCACCACCACCTTCATCATCTTCTTCATCTTCATCGTCCATTCTTTCAAATCAATCTTCTTCACTGGTTTCTTCTTCTTCTTCACCTTCCCTTTTGGTACCACAAAATTGGAGGAAACGGGTTATATGTGAATTTAGTAAAATTCGAGCTAAAAAACGTTACCGTAGAAAAGATATAATTAAGGCATGTTATGCAAATAATCGATCTTATTTACGACAATTGTTAACCACTTCTGGTAAAGAATCAATTATGGTTAATGATGATAATGATGAAAAAAATGATAATCATCAGCATTCTGGTGAGGATAAAAGTGTTATCACCGTTAATTATAAATTTGGTGATTATTTACCCACCGATGTGCCCCATAAACGAGCTTATCTTAAATCTGATTCAGCCAAAGTTAATCAACGTTGTCTAATTAAAACATTCTACTCGGTTTCCGCTATTCCATCCATGGCTACTTGGGCTACTATTCAGCAAAATTTTCTGGTCGAAGATGAAACTGAACTTCACAATATTCCCTATATGGGTGATGAAGTAGTTGAAGGAGGATTCATTGAAGAATTATTGAAAAATTATGATGGTAAAGTTCATGGAACCAAGGATATCATGGAAGATGAAATTTTCATTGAAGCAGTTGAAGCTCTCGCTAAATCCGAGACTAAAAATCGTCGAAAACTTTCATCAACTGATAATGAGATTAAAACAGTTTCCACCATAACTGATGATTCCAATGTTTCATCAGGTGAGATTATTGAACAATTTTCTTCATCTTCTTCTTTTTCTAACTTATTCTTTTCTACTTCCTAATTTAGATATTGGAAAGATCGAAGATGAAGGTAAAAAAATTACGATCCCTTCGATTATATTCGAAGCCGTTTCTTCAGTTTATCCTGACAAAGGGAATCCAAAAGAATTGGAAGAGAGGTTTGTAATTCTTTTTTTCTATTCTTTTTCAAAAGCAGGTACTAATTTTGTTCTTCTCTCTCTTCTTATTCTCAGGTATGCAAACCTTATAGCGAAAAGAGATTGTTTCAATGTGGAAAATATTGAATCTACTCCAAACATCGATGGTCCTCATGCAACCTCATCTTCTCGAGAACAGACAATGCATTCATTTCATACTCTTTTCTGTAGACGTTGTTACAGATATGATTGTTTTCTTCACCGTAAGTGTACTTATAGTTAATCTTTACTCTTCAGAAAAGGCAAAGAATATTCTCTTCTATAGAAGAATAATATTTCTCCTTATAAATATCAAAGTATCAAGAGGATAAATTTCATGTTTCAATCTTCTATTTGAAAATAATCGTTTTCTCATCTCATCTCATCTCTCCTTCTCTCTTTTCATTGTTTTTTCTAAATCAGATCATTATTTGAAACCACAACCCAAACCTTCCGATATTAAACCTGCTGTTGATCCTTGTGGACCTGATTGTTATCTACATATGGATGGTGTTAGATTGAAAATTAAACAAGAAAAACAAGATGATGAAATACTCAACTATCAAGAAGTATCCAAAAAAGTGACACTCTATTGTAATGTCAGCAGTAATGATGCTAGCAGTGAAGACAGTAATGATAGTCTAAATCAATTATTGAGCAAACATAATCATCATAATCACCATCAACATGTTGTCAATTCCAAGCATCACCATAATCATAATAATCACCATTTAAGTAATCATATTCATAGTAATCGTAATGTAGGATCTTCAAATTATATTGGCCGATCTCCACATGATCATATGCAAGAATGGAGACAAATGAAGTCAAATAAAAGGAAATCATGTAGCACCAATAACGATAGTCACCATAATAATAATCATCATCATTATAACAATTTTATCAACTCAAATAGTAATAATATTACCAATGGAAATCCAACTAATCAACTTTATCTGACAAATCACGATGTCCATTTACCATTAACTTTACCACCCCCACCACCGCCACCGACAGTGAGCACTTTAATTTCTGGTGATGAAAATTCCAACAATTCACGTTCTGGAGCTAATCAGGAGAATATGATTAAACCGGTGAATTGATGAGCGAGATTAATAATTGTGACGAATGGACTGGAGCGGAGAAATCATTATTTCGAGTTTTATGGAAAACTTTCTATCGTAATTATTGTGCGGTAGCCGAGGCCATTTTCACGAAAACCTGTAAACAGGTTTACTTTTTTGCTCAACAAGAGCTTTCCCATGGTGGTTTAGAAGAGATCGATTTAACCTTCTCCCCACCTCGAAAAAAGAAAAAGAAAACACGATATTGGGCATTACAACATCGAAAGTTACACTTAAAGAAAGACGGAGAAACTTTAACTACCTCAACTGGTGTTTACAATTATATTCCTTGTGATCATCCAGGTTTACCTTGTGACGCTAATTGTATCTGTGTATCAACCAATAATTTCTGTGAAAAATATTGTTCTTGTAGTATTGAATGTCCTCACCGATTTCCTGGTTGTCGGTGTAAAGCTCAATGTTTTACAAAACAATGTCCTTGTTACCTTGCGGTTCGTGAATGTGATCCCGATCTTTGTCAAACTTGTGGTTCCCACGAAGAGGATGCCCGACAAATTACATGTCGAAATGTTTCAATACAAAGAGGTTTAAAGAAACACCTTCTTCTCGCACCTTCCGATGTTGTCGGATGGGGAATCTTTCTTAAAGATTATGTGGCCAAAAATGAATTTATCTCTGAATATTGTGGTGAAATTATCTCACAAGATGAAGCCGATCGACGGGGAAAAGTGTACGACAAGTACAAGTGTAGCTTCCTGTTTAACCTTAACAACGATTATGTTGTAGATGCAACTCGAAAGGGTAATAAGATACGATTCGCTAATCACTCAGTTAACCCTAATTGCTATGCCAAAGTCCTAATGGTTAATGGTGATCATCGAATTGGTATTTTCGCTCGACGGCCAATCCAACCTGGTGAAGAGCTTTTCTTTGATTATCGATATGGACTCACGGAACAACTTAAATTTGTTGGTATCGAACGAGAATCAACTGACTGTCCAAATTAAATTAATAACCAATTGCACCTCTTTTTACACCTTCTAATTGTTCAAAAAATTACCTATCAACCACCGCTTACTATAATTAATCAATTATCCCATTTAATAGCTTATATGATACACAAACATATACAATCTATTAATTACTTTTAATTTATCGAATCACAATCTAAAAGAAGAGAAGAAAAAAAGAGATTACAATCAATCTTTCTCTCTCTCTCTCTTTGACATCCACTCACCTCTACACTCACACATCTACACTGGTCAACTAATTGTTCCTTTAATTTATCAACTTTATCTATAATTTTCTCTCTCTACATATATAAATTGTAATCATCTTAAAACAATTTAAATCAATTGGATTTTACACCAAACCTACATCAACAGTTAACAGCATTTAACTGAGAGATTAATGTTAATTGGTTCCTCTTTTTTTTTGTCAATCAATTTCACTTTGGAATCACGAACACATCATATGTTGATTAATTGTCTCTCTCTCTTTTTCTATTCACAAGTTAATTTATTTCTTCAAATTATTGTGAAATCATGCTGATTATCAATTTCTTTTTGCATGTTTTTAATCATTTCAGCACCAACATCCAACTATCTCTCCAAAAATCAACACAAATGTTGATCACAATTATTGTTTCTTTTATACAAGCAATAAGCATGTAATCTAACATTAAATAAAAAAATAATATATAAATAGAATTAACAAGAATATAAACATTTTCCTTGACAATTAGTAAATCAATCATTTATCTGGATCACGGCTTCGTCCCATGGGCCATAAATGTTTTCCTTGTACGATTGAAGTGACCAGAAACCATAGGGAAGAATTAGATTAACCATAATCAACGAAATGACGTAGATAATTGTGAAAATGGGTGAGCATAAATTAACCATGAGAATCAACGAGATTGTGGTTAATAAACAAGTTAGAATGTAATTAACTTGAATTGAGATGTTTTTCCGCAATTTTGATCGGATTACAGTTGAAAGGACAAAAATATCGGTCGCAAAGGTGAGTAAGGCAAATGCTTGATAACTTGAGGTCAATCGAGAGGCAAGACAAACGCCAGCGAAAATGGCACTATTGATTGATAGAGACGGACTGACAATGGCCACTTTGACCCCGTAATCGAAAAAAATTAAATGAATAATCATCATTAATGTAACCATTGTGTAAATTGTATCGGTGCTAATTGTTTCCGTTAATGTTTTCAGGATTGGTGAGACTGTGAATCCACTGATGATGAAAATTATTCCTGTTTTAAGTTGACCGATCACTTTTTCATTGTTGTTTGGAGTAATTGTTAATTGGAGTAAAATTAGTAATTAATAATTGGTTGATATGAATTGTTTACAATTGTGTTGGTCAGAAATTAACACTTACCATCATCGCTTTCTGAAGACAATAAAAGTGTCAGGTAAAGAAGTAGAGTTATAATTGCAATGGAAATACAAATATAATTAGAAGATGATTGTTCACTTGATTGTAGAAGATTAAAAACTTGAAGGAAAATTATGATACAATTAATTTCTTGGGTTAAAAGACCAGAATAGATTAACGATTCTCTCAGTGAGTAATATCTCAAATTAACTGTAAAGCAAGAAAATCATTAAGAGAAATGATCAGTCACTTATTGTTAACAATTTAGAAAGAAGGTGACAAATACACAATTAGATTGTAACAATTAACTAACCATTTTTCCGTAAATCTTTAAGAAATGTCGGTGGGATGTAATTGTCTGGAAAATCTTGAGATTCATAAAGTACCTTTTTCCAATTTGATTTGCCTTTTTTACGAACTCCTATCAAAAGATGATTAAAATACAATAAGAGACAATTAATTGATAAAAATTAAAAAGCCAATCAACAATCAATTTGAAACAATTAAGCAAAAAGAATAAAAAATTAACATGTAAACAAATGAAGAGAAAATAAAAAAACTCTTACCTTTTGATGTTGACATATTGAAGATTCAATTGATTTACCATCAGAATTTATTTAATCATCGATTCAATAAACAGAATAATAAGTAGAATAAATCGAGAACAATTAAAATTAATAATCATAATTAGAGAATTAAAATCAGTTCACTTTTAGAAAAGATTTTGGAAAAAACCGGTAGAATCAGCTGATTTTTTCTCTTTCTTTTTCTTCTTTCTCTTGTTTTCCTTTTCTTTTAATGTTTAGATTTTTTTTTCTATTCACAACTGATCATTAATATTAATTGTTCTTTTGCTTTTCTTTTGTTCTAAATCAATTGAATGCTTTAATTTTGTTTGTGAATTTACCTTTTCTATGTGGACTTGATTGAGATTAATTCTAATTAATTTATATAAATCGTTTCTTTTGTTTATTCTTGTTTGTTAGTAGCTTTTGTTTGTACCTTTCACCAGGCCTGACTTTGGATGATGAAATACAAGCTACTCTATTTATGGTTTTTTCCTCTATCAGGTTAGTAATTTAATTGTGGTATTTTAACATTTCATTAATTTTCATTTTTCTATTTTGATAGATTTTTATAAGTGAAGTAATAGAAACAGATAAATTTCAAGCAAGATCTATTTTCGTCTGAGGTTTTGTCAACATGCCTTTCGATGTGAATCAATCCTGTGCCTCACTACGTGTTCCTGGTGATGGAATTTCATCTTCTTCGAGTGCAATTAATCTAGATCAAGGTGATTCTTTTCATGTTAAACAAGAACCTGAGTCTCCTGGTCAAGATTATGAGGAACATGGGGATTTCAATGAAGGTAATGGTGAAGAAGAGGCAGAGGAAGAGGAGGAAGAGGAAGAAGGCATCAATCAAGATTCAGATGATGGTGAAGATGAAGATGAAGAATCACCCGAAGATCAAGTTAAAAAGGGGCCTGTTCGACTTCGGATTGATATGTCATCTATCCCTTGTGTTTCTAATGAAGATCAAGTCTCTGAGCTTCAAGAACTTGGAGTTGTTGCCTATGAACAACAATCTTATGAAAAAGGAGTTTTAAAACAAGTCGATTCGGTTATGAATAGTCAGGTTATCGGTAAAAAGCCAAAAGAAACTGATACTCATAAGAAACGACTTGCCGACATTTTGTCATTCGATAAAAGGCCGACTGTTAAAATCGAAGAGGAAACACATGATGGATATGATCATCTACAACCATCGACTTCATCATCTCCCGATAAATTATCTTCATCAATCAATCTTCAGGAATCGGAAGCCATTACAACAAATTCCAATTTCAATAGAGCCACAAGCAGCTCAGAAGTTCTTCAGCGATTTCGTAATTTTCAATTATCACAGAATCGCCATTATGATAATGATGATGATGATGATGAGGAAATGGAGGATGAAGAAAGTGAAAGAATTGATTCCAAGAGTAGTAAAAGATTTCGACAAAAGGAAGACACAGATGATTATGTTCCTTCAGATGGAGAAGAAGATGATTATAATGAAGAAATTGGTGATATCGATGATCAAGAATATGGTGGGGACGCTGATGAGATACAATCGAAACGTAAAAAGGTGGGGAAAAAAGTATCGAAAAAAATTAAACTCGAAGCGGGTCCAGAAAAGGTAACCAAGAAAAAGATTCTAGATGATGGAGATGAAGTCGCTTACCAAAAAAGGATGAGGTAACTATTTAGAGACAACAATTAAAATCCATTTTACAATCTAAATGATAATTAAATCATTAATCTCTCTTTCTCTCCTCAAATCAGAGCCGTTAAACTAGAAATCCAAAGACAAGTTGATGCAAATGAAATCATCACTTATGAAAACTGTCACACCGTCGAAGGTGATTTCAAAGTACCTGAACATATATGGTCTAAATTGTACAAGTAAGTAATTGACAATCAATCTGATTTGTTTTAATAAATATTCATCCCACAATTTAATTGTCTCTAGTTATCAACAACGAGGTGTTCAATGGCTTTGGGAGTTACATCAACTTGGTTGTGGTGGGATTTTGGGTGACGAGATGGGCTTGGGAAAAACTATTCAAGTGATCGCTTTTCTTGCCGGTTTGGCCTCAAGTGAGATCTCAAATTTCCGTGACGAGTAAGTAATCAATTGTTACTCATGAAATCTCAATAATATTAATAATAATCCCTAATAATTATTGCAAATCTTTAGGAGGAAAACCTTAGGTCCAGTTATACTAGTCACTCCAGCGACAGTTATGAATCAATGGGTCTCTGAATTTCAGGCCTGGTGGCCTTTTCTTAGAGTCGCTATATTACATCACACTGGCTCATTCCATGGTAAAAAGGTGAAAATTAATTGGCTTCCAATAGTAAATCAATTGGCTAAATTGTTACATCTTTTTTTTTGCAGAAAAAATTGGTTGGAATAATTAATCGTTGCAATGGGATTTTAATCACATCCTATTGTAGTATTGTTACATTTCAAGATTTACTTTACGAATATGATTGGCATTATGTGATCCTCGATGAAGGTCATAAGATCAGAAATCCTGACGCTCAAACGACCCTCGCATGTAAAAGGGTAATTCAAATCAATCAATTTAATTTGTTTCTCTTCAGTGATTTAATTTTGTTTTCTTTTCCTTCCTTGAAATATAAATAATTTAGTTTCGAACTCCTCATCGTATTATCCTTTCTGGTTCACCGATACAAAATAATCTCAAAGAATTGTGGTCACTTTTTGATTTCATTTATCCGGGAAAACTGGGAACTCTTCCCGTTTTCATGGAAAAATTTTCCGTTCCGATTACTCAAGGAGGTTATGCAAACGCCTCACAAATTCAGGTCGAAATCGCTTATCGATGTGCAACCGTCCTTCGAGATGCAATTAAACCTTACCTCTTACGTCGGGTCAAAGATGAAGTTCAAATGGTACTTAATCTACCAACTAAGAACGAGCAAGTTTTATTTTGCCGTTTAACTGATGAACAGCGAGATGTTTATAAAACTTATTTAGAGTCGAATACAATTCGAGATATTTTCAAAGGAAAGATGCAAATTTTTGTTGGACTAATTAACTTGCGAAAAATTTGTAATCATCCCGATCTTTTTACCGATGGTCCAAAAGAGGAAACTGGTGAAGTTAAAGATACTTTCGGTTATTATAAGCGATCGGGTAAAATGAAAGTCGTTGATGTTTTACTTTCCCTTTGGCATAAACAAGGACATAAAGTGTTACTTTTCACTCAAGGAAAACAGGTAAATTGTTTTAATAACATAATCAACAATTAACTCACTGATTAATCCGATGGGTCAATTGTTTCTCCTTTTAAGATGTTAAATATTTTGGAAATGTTTTTACGATATCGAGAGTATACTTACCTTTTGATGGACGGAAGTACACCGATTGGAACTCGACAACAAACAGTTCGAGAATTTAATTCAGTAAGTAATTTGAGGTTCTAAAAAAAGAAGAGAAATTAATTTGATTGCTTTACTTGTTTAGAATCCAAATATTTTTGTATTCCTGTTAACTACCAAGGTTGGTGGCGTTGGATTAAATTTGATTGGTGCTAATCGTGTGCTAATTTATGATCCTGATTGGAATCCAACTACCGACATGCAAGCCCGAGAACGAGCCTGGAGAATCGGTCAAGATAAGCAAGTGACCATTTACAGGTAATTTTCGATTAGAGATTTTCCTTCTCTCTCATTTTAATCAATATATTGTCTTTCGATTAATTTTAGGCTTCTAACCGCTGGAACAGTTGAGGAAAAAATTTATCATCGACAAGTTTTCAAACAATATCTCACAAATCGAGTTCTAAAAGATCCAAAGCAGCAACGATTTTTCAAGACCAATGATCTTCACGAACTGTTTACTCTTGGAAATGATTCGGCAACAACTGAATCAAGCGCTCTTTTTGCAGGAACTGGATCAAAGGTCAAGATTAATAAATCGGCAAAAATGTTACCAAAAAGAGTAAAGATAAATCTTCTCGAACTATGTCATCTTCAACTGAGAAAATTACACTGCCACCAGAAAAGATCAAAGAATTGCAAGAAAAAGCGAAAAAATTGAGTAAAATGATAGCAGATAAATTCAATTCTAATTCAAATACTTCATCACCATTATCATCCTCATCTTCACATTGCACCAAAAAAAGTGATACTCAACCGATCTGTGATTCATCCTTCCATCATCATCATCATCAACAACAACAACAACAGCTCAATCACCAATGTACAAGAATTATCATAAACCAGAATCGAGTAAGAAATCAACCAAATCTAAGAAACATAAGGGAACCATTTTCGAGGGCAAACGAATTAAATATTTGGTCAAAAGTGATACTTACAATCAAGAATCTGCGAAACCCTCGACGTCCTCAACAATTACGTCGGAAGATAATATCGATAAACAGCAAGACGATTATGTGTTGAAAAAACTGTTCAAAAAGTCGACCATGCATTCGGCTTTACAACATGATGTTATCGAAGGTAAAACGAATACCGATTTTGTCTTGGTTGAAAGTGAGGCTGAAAAAGTTGCCAACGAAGCGATAAAAGCGCTCAGACGATCTCGACAAATGTGTTATGCTCCAGCGGCCGGAATACCAACATGGACTGGAAGTAGCACCACATTACCAAATAATAATGGAATCAATAAATTTGGAAAAGGTCGTCGAGATCGTCTACCAGGATCATCGGCATCAACAAGTGCTTCTGATGGTGGATCGTCAAGTGTAATGTCAAGCGCTGCCTTAATTGCGTCAATTAAAGCGAGAAATAAATTCGAAAGGCCTGAAAGAGTTGAAGGTGATGACGATAATGAAGATTTCGCTGGTGATCAACATGGATCAACATCTCAAGATGATTGTTCATCTGAACATAACGAACTTTTAAATGATATCAGAAATTTTATCGCTTTCCAAGCCTCGGTTGACGGAGAAGCGACAACGCAAGAGATTCTCGAACGATTTAAAGATCGGATTCCCGCTTCGTTGACACCAGTTTTCAAGTCACTTTTATGGAAAATTAGTGATTTCCATCGACGATCAGATAAAACTGGTGTTTGGAAAATCAAGGGCGAATTCCGTTGATCACAAATTTAAATCGTCTTTTAATTTTTTTCCAACGGTTATGATAAACTAAATTAATTTTATCGATAATATCATAATCGTTTCCATCGTTGCATCATTTTTCATCAAGTTAAATTCACTCTCAACTTTGTATTTAAATCTTTTTTTTTTGATAATCTGCCGATTTTTTGTATATTTTTGTTAAGAAATTAATTACAATTACAATTAAATAAATTTCTTATTGTTAAACTTTGAGAAAATTTGATTTACAATTAAGAATCTTTTCTTCTGAGTCTGTCAGGAAAATTTTTCTTTCTCTTTACACTTTTGATAATTTCTTTGTAAACTCTTGATTTCGTCTCATCTTCTCGTCTTAATTGTGCCAATTTCTTTTATTCATTTCTAATTAAACACTAATTGAATTTCTTTATTCTACATTGGTTAGTTTCTCTAATTAAAAGGTAAGTTTAATTTCTCCGTGAAAATAATTCCAAATGAATAACAACAATCTCATTGCTTTTGTTTACAAACTCTAACAACCTCATGTTCATATTTTTTTTCGTGTGATTAATTGATTGATTATCTCCATTTGATTAGTTTGATTTGTTGTCTTGTGATTAACTACTGGATTAACAATCAAAATGTCGGTGGATTTTGAAAGAAATCGGTATCCATATTGTATTGTTTGGACGCCAATACCAATAATAACGTAAGTGTTTTCTATAAGGTTACTTGGTTGTTTGTCTCTTTCATTGATTAATTGTTTCTAATTTTAATTGTCACTTAATTAGATGGTTTTTCCCTTTCATTGGCCACATGGGGATCGCCACAAGTCAAGGAATAATTAAAGATTTCTCGATGTCTTATACAATTTCGGTTAGTATGGAAAAGATGAATTTCTATTTCTATATGTTGTCGATCAGCTGATTTGCAAATTCTAAATAGAATAAGAAAATTTTCTTTCTCACAACTAATCACTTTGTCTTTGATTATGTTAATTTAATAGACGGACAAATTGGGCTTTGGTGATCCAACCAGATATCTACAATTAGATCCTCACCAAGTGAATGGTAATAAAGAGGCCTGGGACGAAGCGACAGATTATGCTTGTGAAATTTACTCTTCAAGAGTGGTAAGAATCATGAAGATTGCTAATTATTCATGTAATTAATTGACTTGTTTTCCTTTTTTTTAGCACAATTTATTCCTAGATAATTGTCATTCTCATGTGGCCCTTGCTTTATCCACCATGAAGTATAAAGGAAAAGATAATTGGAACATGGTGATTCTTGCTGGTTGGATTTTTCTCTTCGGAAAATATGTCGGAATTTCTGGTTTTCTGAAAACATGGATTCCATTTTTAACATTTATCTTTATCATTCTCGCCTTCATCTATTTGGTCCCATAAAATTTAAAATCAATCAAATCAGAACAATTAACTTGGTATTGGTTATTCACCCTTATTCACACAAAGATCCAAGCAACAAGGAAGATAATCAATCAATCATATTTACTCGTGAAAATCGTAATTCCATCCAATGATTCATCTTTAAACGCTTTTAATTTCACAAAACAATCAAATCAGAATACAAATTGTGTATATACAGAATTTACCTGACAATCTAAGAGAAAGAAAGAAAGAAAGAGAGAGAGAGAGAGAGACTCGAAAAGTGATTTCGATCTGATTACAATGAATCATCAAATTTTTCCATTAAATTAACTGATGAACACAAAGAGACTGAAATTATCCATGAAAAAGGAGCAACAATCAATTCACCCGTTTACCTAATTCAAGGTTATTATTACCGAGAAGAAGAAGAAAAAAAGTGTAATCAATTGAGTTAATTGTTAGAGTAAAGGTGTAAACCTTGATTTCACTTTTGGATTCGAGATGATTTGAAGTTTTCACTCAAATGAATGTGACATCAAAGATCCTCTGACAATCATCATAGTATCTATTTGCTATCAAGTATGTCAACAATTTAGCAACAAACTTAACACAGTCAACAATTAACAAGAACATCCAACTCTCTTTCCAACTTAATTAACCCAACAATCAATCGTAACTTATTAAAAATGTATCCATTGATTTGGTCCATTTGTTTAATCATTTTAGGATCAGTTGTTCATCAATCATCAGCTCTAATTGGTAACAACAACAATTGTGATGCAAATTGTGGGATTAAAAAGTATTGTTTATCAACTAATTACACAACCAATTGTTCACGAAACGATTGTATGGTCCAAGTAAAGATCAGTGTCATCGAACGGGAATATTTTGATGAGTATCTTAATTTCACCTTAATTGGTTATAATATCAAAGAAACGGAATCTCGGACAATTGGATTACAATTTAGAAAACCTAATTCCAATGTTGTCTATTCTTGTGTGAAACAAATCTCTGGACTAACTAGTGCCACTGTCACTCAAGGAGCCGTTAATGCGACACTTGGGTCGTCAATCTATCTTAACGGTAATTTATATTGTACCTGGATAATGGCTAAAAGTGATTCATCCTGGCCCGTTGACGAAGGTAAAAAAGCCGATCTAGTGGTGGATCACGATTATCAAGTATCGATACTCGCCGATTCCAGATCGGTTGCCGTTGGGGAAAATTCAAGTGAACTACCAATTTATCAGATGAAATTCATTAATTGTTGCACCAATAGTGGTGCTAATATTGGTTACAAGGTTCGAGGTAATCGAGAGTATCTTTTAATTGCTAAAGAAAAGGTCAACTCAACGGACTTTTTACTTCAAGTGATTGGACAAAGTCCGAAAATTGTTCGAGTCGCTCTTAATAACTCAGATGGACTTGGAATCGTTGCCGAATGTAACTATGAAAACGCTTCTTTCAACGGACTGGCCACAATTGGTACTGTCTCATCATCGATTAACAATCAACTTGATCATTCCAAAATTTATGATTACCGATGCTCTTGGACATTACCCAAGATCGTTAAATGCTTGTACGGGGTTTTGGACACTAAAAAAGTGTCCTACAAATTACAGATAATCGCTGATGGTGTTGCCGTTTACAATCAAACTAACGTTAAATTAAATTCTGCCCTTTCAACGCTATCCAATTTAATTTTAATTGTTTTCGCAATTGTTTTAACTTTAGTTTTGTGTTAATTGTTTTCATTATTTTTCCTCTCATCTAATATGTAAAAGGCGATAATTAGATGATTGCTAATCAAATTAAGCTTTTATCTATTGCAAAATTAATCATCAGCATCGTTAATTGTAATACTAATTGTATTATTTTCCCTGTGACCATCAACTAATCAAATCAATAACGTAACTAAATTTAATGTCTTGTCATTATTTCCCATCAACAATAGCAAACAAAAAGCAAGAGAGGAATTAATTGTAATTACAATTAAAGAAACAAAATCAAAAGTCTAATTTTTAATAACAATTTAAAAATAACAATTTACAATTAAATGTTCTCGGTTAAATCAACCATTTAAATTGATTAACTAAGCAATTCTCATTGATTTTAATCATTTATCTTTGTTTTTTAATTGTTCCCAACAATCAATCAAATCAATTTTTACAAATTAATCACAAACAAAATTAGATTAACGATTAAAATCAATGAGAATGAAACAATTTGATTGATTTGCTTGATTAGCAGTTAATTGATTGATGTTCAATTTAATTGTTTCATCAAAGTCTCATCAAGTACAATCAGCAATTAACTTTAATTCAGATTGACCATCAGGCCTTTAGTTAATTGTATGTTTTATAAAAATTAGAAATTAATTAATCAGTTGAATCAGGAAAACCAAAATTTTCTCAAATCATTAAGTCAAATTCTGACCGAATAATTAAATTACTCAAGTGATCGAATACAATTAACGGTTAACCCTAAGGCTATAAATTGTTCACCTCAATTATTGGAATGATCAAAATTCATTGAAAACGAAAGTGTTTCCAGTTGTAAATTTTAATTTCCATTTGATTTGATTAACCCCTGAGGCGATTATTTTGATTAACGAATTTTGATTTAATTGGTTCACAAAATCGAATCAGTTTCTCTCATTTTCTCTTCCTACTTAAGTTAAATTTCACTTCCGTAATTAGTATGATCTATGATTGTTTTGATTTTTGGGTTAATTGTGATTGAGATAAATTATCCGATAAAATGATTCCAGAGGTTTTGATATTTTTTTCTTTGTTTTAATGACTATGAATTGAAAGCAAAATAAATTACGATGATTGTGACATTGATCTTATTTAAATAGTGATGGTTGGTGATGATTGGGATGCTTTTTTCACGCCATTAATTGCTTTCCAATTGATTGATGATGATGATTTGCTTCAATCCAACAAAAAAAATCTACATGTTGATGAAATTAAATATATATAAATTTGTGTTGGTAACAATTAACAATTATGTTTAACAGGTAATGAATATAAATAATTTTTGTATGATTTAGGTTTAGATTTGATGGTTAATGGGAGCAACGTGACCGAATTGAAGACCAGGGTGAACGGCGAAAAGGTTCATGTGTCCGCCCATGTGACCTCCATGTCGTTGTTGTTTGGCTAAACCAGCACCGATGATGGCACCAAGACCGGCAACACCGTAAGCACTACCAAGGAAAAGGACTGGAGGAGCTAATTTACCGAGGAGTTTGTCGGGAATGTATGGAACATGATGAGCATCAACGATGAAACCCAAGCACATGATGGTAACAGCGACAACGACCTAATACAATTAAGAAAAAAGAAACAAAATTATAATAGAAAATTAGAAAAACAAATCACAGAGAATAAGAAAACACAATAAGTTGACCATCTCAAATAGCAAAAAAAACACACACACAAACGGAGATCAGAAAGATTAGTCTGATAATCTAATTAACATCAGAGAGAAATAATCAAGAAGAGAACATTGAAATCCATATAATCCTACATTCACATACAAGAATTAAAATTGTATCACAGGAAAAAGACAAAAGGCCAACAAGAAAGATGGTCGAAAATCACTAAATTAAACTAATCACTTACCAAGAAACGCATGTTGATTGTTGAAAAAGTTGATTTGGTTAATCAAAGGGAACAAACAAAAAAATGAATTTGAAGTTGAAAGGTTAGACTGTTGAAGGCGAATGGAGATGATTCACTCGATGACCTCGCCTCTTATATATACACACTCACGGTGGAAGATCCAGTTGAAAGGGTGTTACTTGATATTCCTCCATGATGACGATCATCATGATGATATCTGAAAATTGAATCGACACAATAATTGGAAAAAAACAAAAGTGTAACAGTTAATAAAGAGAAAGAGTAACTTGTTTATCTGTTTTTCGGTTGGTAAAAGAATAGAAAATGAAAGAAAATCTAAAAGGCGGGATTAGAATAAGAGTAATAAAGGTGAAAGAGAAAACGGAAATGGGTTCATGTTTTTTTCTTCTTCTTGATTATGTTGATTGTTTTATATTAATTCAGTTTCTCTTAAAAGGTTGTTAGTGTTTTAATTAATCTCCTAACGGCAATAAGATGTTGTTTTCGGTCGTCAGGTCAATTTGTAATCGAATATATTACCAAATATATTTTACTTACTTTCTCTTCTGTTACTAACCAAAAGGTTTTCATCTTGATTTCTGGTCGACGCCATTTTCTTCTTGATTGGACATTACACTTTTCTTTTTCTTTTTAGATTCTTCTTTCCATTATCATCTTCATCATCTTCTTTATCTTCATTATCATATTTACCTAATCCATCATGTCCAGTTTTCGGTTGAAACAGGAGTAATAATGGTGAACCGTTAATGTGACCAGTAACCTGACCTTCGATGACTTTCAAAGGGTAACATACATTTTGTATATTTTGTGGTTATGTTGATGATGATGATTAATTTCAACTTTGATTATTGGATTATGATGATCAACAGTCACGAATTTATAATCACAAGGTTAAAGGTGAATCTTGAGGCAATTGGATAATCTGATTAAAGATTATTGAATGAACCCAAATCCATTTGTAATGTGTGTTTATCATATGTAAGTGTTTCTTTTTTGTATTCAGTTTAAACGCTTTAGTTTTTTGCATTTTTTTTTCTTCTTTATTTCGAGGCCAAAAATTAATTTAATTTCTCCGACATAATTAATCGTCATTTAAATTAAATGCTAATCACTAATCTTAATCCTTTTGCTTACTAAACCTTTAACCTCTTCTTCCGCTTATCCTTTACTCTCGTTTTTTTTTTCTGATGCAAATATTTTCTGATATCAAAATAGGAAGAGAATTGAATTGCTTTCAAATAGCTTCAATTAGATTTAATTAATTAACGATTTTCATCAACTAAATTACTCTAATCATTATTGATTGAAAATTCTAAACCTGAATAACATTGGATTTTGTTTTCTCGTTTAAAGGTTAAGTTGATTTTGTTTACATTTCAATTTAATATTAAGATAATAATTAACCTTCAATTTCATTTTGACAATTAGTTTACATTTATTAGGGTGATTCACTCAAAGGTACGGACGTTTGAATTTAAATGATTTTTTGAAAACTCATCTGATTCTAATTATATTGTACAATTTGTGTTCACAAGAATCTAGTTTGATAATGTGGGGTGAAATTCTCGATCTAAATTCACCAGTTTTCGAAAATTCGAACTAAACATAAAAAATCGAGAAAAATCACTTTTCTGAGTTTGAAGGCCTAGAAAATCAATTAATCAGTTGATTTTTCTGAAAGCTTAATTATAATCACCTAAGGCTTTTTAATTGATTAAGGTAATTAGAAATTTTACAATTGATAGAATAAAGATTTAGTGGACAATCGAAGCGAAAAAGTCCAAAAAATTTGCCGAGCAAATCAAAGGGGGGAGTATTACTTTTTTTGGAAATTTGTTATTTTTGAAAATTGACTTTTTTCGACTTTTTTACAATAATTAATTGATTGTTCGGTTTATTAATTTTTTTTTTAATTAAAATAAAATTCTTACTATTTTCTCGCTAGTTTAAGATAGATATTAAAAAAATCGTACCACTAATTAAATCAAAAATCAAAAATGAAGTTCCGTATCTTTGAGTGAATCAATCTAATAGTTGCTATTGATGATCAATGGACAATTGGACAATCATTCAGGTTGAAAAATTGCCTTTTAATTGTCATATCAATTTGATTAAAAGTAAACAAAAGTTATAAATATTAGAACTTTAGTTCTAATAATTGAAAATCCCCAAATGATTAACTAAAAAACGTCAAGAAAATGAATCTCCCATTGACCTAAAGATTTTATATCAAATAATTAGTTGATCATGGTTCGAAGTTGAATTCTGTTGATGTTTTTGATTTAATTGTTCATTTAAGATTCTAAAATTGGATCAATATTGAAGGATAAAGTTCATCTTGTGTTAATTCATTAAATCAGATTATTGATTATGCTAATTAATGGATAAAATGACCAACTTTGAGATCAATTTCGCGAGTTATTAGCGTTAATTTAGTTTTAATTTCTCAACATTAGCTACTTGATTATTATCGTTTATTGTACTCAAGAACTCTGAAATGATTAACTGAGTGTTTATGTTGAATTTACAATTCGATTCGTTGGTCAAACAGCAACGATATTTACTAATGGACTTCAAAAGCTAATTGAACATATTTGCAAAGGATCAATTGAATGTAAGACTAAATTGTTACACAAATTAACCAATTAATGACTACATCTAATGATGAAAATGATGATAATTAGAAAATTAACCTTGTAAACAATTAACAGAATCAAATGATGAGATTATTTCCATCGTTTAGCTTTTTCATTTCATCCAATGATTAAGGTCATCGCCAATATTATTACTCAATCGTATACGATACGAATCAATTTGAAAGAGATGACCATCATCATGATGACCATGCTGATAATTAAAATCTTCTTGGAAGGTCATTGAATCGTTCAATCTTCTTCTCAATCTCAAGGATTTCCAATTCAAAGTCCTAATGACAAATCAATGAGATTGAATTGAAACAAATGACCAGAATCATCTTTAATCATTATAATTAAGTTTCTAATTGTTTATCTTCATTAATTAGGTTTTAAGAAACATTTTATTGCATGGACGATGGTGACGATTGATTGGTGGACATTGGAGGTCGTTTTTTAAATTGACTTTATGAACTGAATTTAGAAAATCATCTAAGAAAATGATTTTTTCTGGTCAACTCATCGATTCTTTGATTTGATTAACTAAATTAAACATAATCCTTGTCCAAATCGAACAGCTGATCTTAATCAATTTCATATTGATTAAGAGATTGATTCTAGACTCAAGGATCTGTGGCCGTTACCCCGACCAAGTGACCTGTAAAAGAAAAGCATTTCGATTGGTTGACCTTTTCGTGGATTACGAAAACTGACCAAGAGATTTAAAGAATGAGACATTAATCAACTTTCTTCAATTAATTGACTATTTATGTGAATAATAATTAGCCAACAATTAAGCTAATGATCATTTATATTGTGAATCAATTTTTAATTGAACAATCACCTGAGATGAACAGGTAATTGGAAATGTATTCATATGACTATGAGATAAATTATCATGATTAATTAATGATAATTGATAGTGTAAATTAACCTTGAATTTCAACTAATTATCAGTTGATAATCAAATGAATTTAAAAACTCAAATGACTAATCAAGACCTCGGAATCAGAGTTATTGATTAATTGAAAAAGATGTGACAATATTAACACTTCAATTAGCACAGAGACGATTCAATTTTTTAATGAAAAAGTTAATTGTCAATCTTTCTAATTAAATTATACGTTTATTTCCTTAATTTTTTCTTCTTCTAGGTAACAATTAACCTTTTAAACCACTTGGGGACACCTTGGATTAATACATAACATGCTTACTGGCCGTTAATCATCATCTTAATTTCATCCGATAGTTACTTGTGATTAATTGTTGATAACTAGAAAGATGTAATAATCAAGGTAAAAAAAACCAGAATTTAAATCAGATTGAATTGATTTTCATTCCAATCAATGGAAAAGAGTTGAACGAAATTTTTTTTTTAAATTCTTTTTTTCTGACAACGTCGACAATTTAATCGCTCATTTAATTGTCTTCACATATTAATTAACAATTAACTTTTTTATACTCTCAGTCTCTCTCTCTTGTTTTATTTTAGTTTTTAATTGTATCAAATTTAACTAACCATTAAGTGTCTATTAATCAAGATGAATCTCTTATGGACTTTACAGATTTTAATTGTTACTTTCATGCAGATTAATTGTGCCACTAACATTTTATCAGGTAAATTACACTTTAACAATTAAAAGTGATTCCAATACTTTTTTAATCAGCTAATTGTTTGATTGATTTTATTGATTGCAGTTCCTAATATTGATTCAATATTAAGGGATAAAAGTTCATCTTGTATCAATGCATTAAATCAGATTGATGATTTAGCTAAATCAGTGTTATTAATGGATGGGAAAAGGATTTTACCAAAAAATGATCAACTTCGAGATCAATTTTGTTCGTAAGTGATTAACTTGAATTGTACTTTATTTCTGATTAATCGATTGTCTTGTCCTCTTGTGAAATTGTCACCAAGACCCTTGAAACAATTAACTAAATTAGGTGGTGTTTATGTTAAATGTGCTACTCCATTTGTTGGTCAAACAGCGACAATTTTAATCAATGGACTTAAAAAACCAGTTAAACATATTTGCAGAGGATCAACTGAACGTAAGAATTTAATTTAATTGTGATTGATTTGTTTATTACTATTAAGTGATTATCTTTACGTTTATATCTTAAATTAGGTTTCAGGAAACATTATATTTGTATGGACGATGATTATATTGATAAATTGTTGGAGATTGAGGCTCGATATTTAGACTCATTTGATGCAATGAATTCGGCAAATTTCTCGCGGGAAATTGTACTTCCGGGTGTTTGCTGTTCAACTAATCGACTATTTGAAGCAATTAAGACGATTAAACATAATCCATGTTCAGATGAAACTGCGACTCCTAATCAGTTCTTATTCAGTCGAGTCGAGGAAGCGATTAGAGACACTTTGGATTTGGTCTGTGGCACTTATCCGGACATGGAAACTTGTAATAAGAAAGCGCCACGAATTTTTGAACAGTTCAAAAGCTATGAAAAAGGACCAAGAGATCTGAAGGACGAAGCCTTTGTAATTAGATTACTTCAACTTTTCTCCAGTTTATCTGAATAATTAGCGAACAATTAAAACCCGATTTCCAATTAGAACGTAATTTTATTCATACTGATGCTTATCTAGTTATGTAAATAATGAATTGAAATGCTGATTTTCAATGATTACATCGAGAAGTCAATTAAGGAATTGATTGATTAACAATTAACTTAATTTAGAATCTACTATTAATGTGCCTTGATTGTCAACCAATTAAATGTCAGAATGTTAACAATCTGTTATTAATCATAAACAATTTTTACGATTCACAATTTTTCTAATGAAGATTGAAGAAAAGCTAAGCCCACAAAACAGAACCAATGGCATAGTCAGAGTCAAAAGTTATTAATGATGAAAAAATGAGTGTTAAATTGACCAAATTAAAATGTTAATTAGATTAATAAGAGGACGAGATAGAAAAGAAAGAGTAAAGGGGTGAACTATGACGTCTGGTTATGGGGCAATTAGGTGGAGTTCAATCATAAATTTCAGCATCGTGTATCATCAATGCAGATAAAGTTTACTCATTTTTGGTGAATATTTTTATGCAAAAAATAGCCTAACATTTATATCTCATTGAATTAGCATCAAACGATGACGAAATGGCCAAATCTAATTAAACCATGTGTATTTATTAGACTTGTGATTCACAAATAACATATAATGCTAATAGCTTAAACCTTAATCATCTAATATTATAGATAAAGATATAGATGATGATGATAACGATTATCATCAAGTTAATGATTACTAAAATAGTAATCGGTAATCCTTATTATTATTAAATGAATATCAAGTGAATGTAACAAGAGTAGATTTAGAATAAAAACAAACATGAATGAAATGATGATAATGTTGATTTCAAAATATCTCTTGTTTTCCATCATGGTGATGTTGTGTTGATATTTTTAATGGAGAAACTTCAAAATTAATAGTTTGCATTGATTTTAATTCATGTTTACTCATATTGTAAATATTCACACACTTCGTTCATGAGAAGATTACTCATTTGGTTGATTTCTATTACAAAATTAAAAATCATTGCCTATTTATACATACATATATAACTACGGTATTTTTCCTATCTTGATTTGATGATAACTTGTAGGTGAGTCAATATTGATGCAAAAAAGTCCAGAATACGATTGACTTTCAATCATCTTTTTTGTTTTGTCAAAAGTAAGATTTTTATTATAATTAAAACTTTGATTTATCATTATTAATAAATAGTGATTATCAATCAATGATAATCAATATGATCTGCTAAATTATAAACAATTTAACTTAATTAACCTTCAATTTTTCGTATTACAATTGACATCAGATAAACAATTGAAGTAAGAAACTTTTTTTACAATTAACCCTGAAATTATTAATCAAGGTTCTGATTCATAAGACAATCAAAACAATCAGATTGATCAACGATCAGTTGATAAGCCATGATGGTTATGCTGATTGTTGTATGATTTTTGTATGATAGATCTGATGATTGTTGATAATTGTGAAATAATTAATCAGAATTCAAAATTTAGTTGAGAAAAAAAAACTTTTTTTTCCCATGAAATTTTCAAACTTTTCCTTCGGGGTAACAACTTCATCTAATCAACTAATCAACTAATCATATTAATACCAATGACTTCAACCATGCAAATTAATGATGATGATGATGATGATTTTACTGAATTGAAGTTAATTATGATGATTGAATTTTAAGAATTCAGAGTTTTCCATGATAAGTTTACCTTAGAGGTTTAAATTGTTGATTCTTAATCAACGCCCCTCGATTACAATTAACTTTGATTCCTGTGGTATTTTAGTCTTATCATTAGACTAATAGATTTATTAATCACCATATGATTGTCTATTTATGTATAAATAGTGATTCTAAATCATTTAAATTATTCAGTTGATTGTTGGTTGTTCAGAGGTTTTTCTTGAAATTTTTGTTAATTCCACAGTTAAAAAGTTAATCATGATTAAGGTTAATGTGTTTATCCTTTTGCTAACTGTTTATATTATTAATCACTCATCAGCAGCTCCAAATAAACCTAAAGGTTTGTCTTAATTGTTAATTGTTTCATCTCATTTTCTGTTGATTACTGTTAACTTTAATTCTGTCATTTTAATTGTTTTCTAGGAAATTTATCTTGTCCGGAACAATTAAAAGAAGTGGACAGAATATTTAAAGTATTATTGTTAATCAGTAAACGAAGATTACTTCCCAAAGATGATGCTAAGCACACCGAATACTGCAAGTAAGTTAATTGTTACTCAACAATCAAGATCGAATTTCAATTCGATTAGTTTTTTACTCTATTGAATTCTTCAACCACTTTTATCCTAATCAACCATTAAAGCGATAATTTAATTTGTTACTTGATTCTTCTTCTAAATCTCTAATTAACAGATCAAATTCTCTAATTTTTTGCGAACAATTTAATTTTCTGGTTAATTGTTGCAAATTTTGTTCTCTCATTAGTTTTATTTCGAATCACTAGATGGCGTTTGTGTAGATTCTTTTTCTTAATTGTTTTGATTTCTCTTCGTAATTGTTTTAATTTTAATCTAATTCTCGAAGGGACGTTACATCACTCGGAAAAAAGGTAAATCGATACTCTAAATGTGAAAAGCCGTTCGCAGCTCAAGTGTTGACGATTCTCTCCAATGGTGTGAAAAAGCCGATAAAATATATTTGCAACGAAAAGAAACAAGGTAAGAGAAACAATTGAATTCGAACTTTTTTATTCGAATTTTTTTACTTCTATTGTTGTTTTTTTGCATATTCTTTGCTTCTGATGTGTGAAAATGTTGTTTAGTTTCAATGGAAAACTTTGGCTGTATGACAGATCAATTTATCGACCAATTAAACGAGAAAGAAAGTTACCTGATCAAGAATCTAAAGTATATCACCAATAATGCTTCGAGTGCCGAAGCTCTTCCGCTTTTCTGTTGTTCAATGGTCGATTTTCTGGACAGTTTGACCAAAATCGAACCAGCTAAATGTTCATCCTCACCTAATGTTCACACAGGTAAATTTATTCATCAAAGAATCAGCTCAGGAGCTGCTGATGTTTTGGATCTCGTTTGTTCAACTTATAAAAATGTGAAAACTTGTGATGAAAAAATACCTTCAGTGATGACCACCCTTCGGACACCAGCACCAAAGGGTTTCTCAATCGACAAGGAGCCATTTGCAACCTATTTCATCGGTGCTGTTACCAAAATGTCATAAATCCCTCAGGCAATGAAAAAATATTGATGTTCATTGAAATACTATTTAAAAATATCGATCCAAACAAGAAAATATCAACTAAATTATTTTAAGTTTACCAATTTATTAGCAATTTAACTGGTACATTGGTACTTTTTGCATCCACAAATTGAAAGCTGATTAAACAATCGATTTAATTGTTATTAGCATTATGATTATCTTTTTTATATTAAAAGTAATTCAATCTAATTGTTGTCATGATGAACATTTCATTTCTATCGGTGATTTTAATTCTAGTTTTTCCTACTACAGTGATTAGTAAAGATGATGATCAAACTGATTTTACAATTGATTCGAGAAACTCATTTAAAGTCAAGGTAATTTATTATCGATCAGATGATTTATTTATTAAGTTAATTTATCGGCAATTAACTAGCCAAGGTAACCAAAGATTAAATCAATTTAATGAGCGACGTAAGAGACAAGCTGATATTGAGAATCCTAAACAATATCCATCGAAAGATTGGAAAAGTTTTATTGGATCTTCGAAAAGGCCACCGATCAGATCACTTTCAGATAATTACTCTGATCATGGTAAGTTAATTGTCGGTCGAAAATGTCAATTGTTCAGTAACTTTAATTTTCTTTCACATTCTAACACAGGAAAGATTGGACAAATTCTCAATCGAATCAAAGACTTAGTCTTTAGAATCAATGATTTTTTCATTGGAAATCGTATCAAAACTAACTATTCAACGGTAATAATTAGTTAATCAATAGAAATTAAAAGTCCAACAGTTAATTGCTCAATTTTTCCTTCTTTCAGAATTCATAGATGGCACTGTCTTCAAGAAACTCTTTCAAAAGTTTTCTCAACAATTAATTAGTTTTCATTTCTCAATCATTGTAATTAATTAAACAATTAAATTAATCAAATTTTCTCCATTTGATTCTCTTATCCTATAACTAAATCAATAAATCCAAAGTTTCAAGTACAATAAACTGTTTCTCATCTTAAAAATAATAACATTTGAAGTTGATCAATTTTAAATCCCTTTTTTTTGTTAACTTTAATAATTATCCGAAACTAAATCAATAAATGATCAAAACAATTAAAGTTTAGGTTCATAGTACATTAATTTAGTTGAGAAAACAGTTTTCCTGATAACAATTAATTTTATTAATAATCTACTAATTGTATTAATAACATTGAACAAAAAAGTCACGTCGTTGATAAATTTACATTTCTGTCAACAATGTTTACTTTTAAGTTTTGACAATTTAACAACAATTAACGATACTTTATTGACACAACCGATCAAATCAAATCAAAAACTGATTGTAAGCTGAATCAATTCAGTTAAATCCAGTAATGATTAGTTAATATAAATATATATATGAACCATAATACAATTAACATCACTAATCAAGAATAAAAAAATCATCAAGTATTAATAATAATCAGTAATTGTGGTCAATTGATTATCTTAATAACCAAAACAATTACCATGGGTCAACAATTGATTGTACTTGAATGTTTGAAAACAATTAAACGATATCAATGTAATTACATAACATAATCAATCAGATTCATATTAATATCAAACAAACAATTAATTACTTTAAAACAATCAGTCCTTGATAATGAAATAATAATTAAACTAAATTAAACGACTGATTAAACAATGAAAAAAAAGTGAATCAGTAAAACAATTAGATATTAATTTAGATGAAATTAAAAGCAAACCAATGCAATTGAAATTGTTTCATTTGGTTAATTATTATCGGACAAGTAACAATATAAATCATTTGATTACAATGAGAAACTCATATTTGTTAATTTTAATTGTTCTCACAACAATTTTACTCAATGTTCCAGGTTATGTATCTAAATCACTGCTAATTAATGATGATCCTAATTCAGATGATCAAGAGTCATCATCAACAGTAATTGATTCAACTCCAGTGGAAGACAATCAAGCCGAACAATCAACTCCACAATTAACCCAACCATCACCACAATCAATCACCACAACAACAACAGTGATTAACCAAGATGATAATAACGATGAGACAAATCAAATTGATCTGAGAAATGTAATTAAACCCAAGTTAATTGCTCGATCAAACAATTTTGATCATAAGGAGGATAAAAATCATCGATCTTACATTTTGAGCAACATTGAAACTTATCAATTACCTTCAAATGATTTATTGGTCCGATCGCGAATCGTTGCCAATATTGATTGGATAATTAGACGAGGTGGACAATCAAAGCAACAATTAACACCACTGACAAGATTAAATGATCAAGAAAATCAAGTGCTATCAAGACGCAAGAGACAAGCTGATATGATGACCACTAATCAAGATCAACCTATGGATCAAAATGGACAACCGATGAAACCTGGAGATCCAACAAAAGTTAATCCTGGTAAGTTAATTGCTGGTTAATTGTTGATAAGCTTAATCTGTTTTTCTTTCTCATTAACAATTGAAAAAGTCGTCGAGAGATTTAGACAAATTTTCGGCCGAATGAAGGAAATAATTGCCGAAATAAGAGATTCTTTCAATGGAAATCGAGTTAAAACTAATATGCAAGGAGAGCCGAATGGAGTTAATCAACAATAGTTAATCACAATTAAGAAAATTAGTTGATTTTCTTCATGATTTCGTTGGGGAAAAAAGTTATCCAACTTTTATGGTTCTACTTGTAATCTCATTTAAAATGTTATCCAATATTGGATTTTTGTTATTGATTTGGTGGAGACAAAAGTTTATCATGATCAACAAATTGTTAATTGTTGTTCTCGAAAAATTAATTTCAATCAGTTTAATTGTCAATTAAATAAGAAAAACAATGTTTTACAAAATAGTGTCTCATTTGTAAGTTGGTTTTATACAATTGGTTGAGTTTATAATCACTAGAAAGTTTCATTATTATGACTTGAGTTAATCGAGATGGATTTAAATTGTGTGATTAAAGATAATCACATTGTACATAAGTGCAAAGGGTAATAGATTTATAATTAATTGTTATATTAATTATAACAAGAAAGGCATATAAAAAAATGGTTAACAATCAAGTATCTCAAGGAGTTAATTGATTGCTAATTTAAATATTGATGATGATGATGATGATAAGATGAGATGAGATGAGATGATAATGATAATGATTAATAGATGAAGAAACAAATTAACGGTGGTGAACGTGATGAAAGTAAATTGATAATCAATCTGATGAGATGGTAAATTAGATTATGATAATCGTCCGACCACTTTGAGTATACTTGATACAAATGAGTATTTCCTTAGATCAACGGTATCAACTCCTTTGTCTGCCAAAACTTAAGTGCCTGAGGGGCTTTTTCTTGACAAGCTTTATGACTTCGGAAAGAGCCACACATCAAATCGAGGACATCGGACACGGCCAGACTGACCATATCTCCAATGAAATTATTGGTGTTTATTGAACTGTCTTTACAACGAGGTCTTTCAAGTGCGTAAATATCATGGAGCAAAGTGTTGACAGCACAACAGAAATGAGGTAATATTTGATCATCGGTGACATTTTTCGAGATAATTTGAAGTGAATCAAGGAAAAAAGATTCACGACGATTAAATCGTTCGAGGTATTTAGTTGTCATACAAGCATAATTTTCAATGGCCTCTAAATTAACGAGAGAATCAGATAGAGAAAAAATCATTAAAATCAGAACAAGTAATCAATTTGTTGATCAATAAATTGTTGGACAGAACAGATAAAAACTCTAGTTATCAAACGCTCCAATTAAACTAATAATTAGGTTGATAAAGATCATTTCAATGTTAGTAATGTAATATTGATTATATTTGACTCTTTACTCAATATAACTTTCGTTTATGGTTTTCATGATCGACTAGTTATTGATTAGAAATTTCAATCAATTAAGAGATCAACTAATCAACTTACTTGCTTTATTTGCTTTGCAAATATATTTAACGGGCTTTTTGATTCCACTTCCTAGGACAACGACGACTTGGGCCAAAAACGGAGGCATACATTTACTGAATTTTGATACTCGACGACTTAAGGTTTTAAATGGACTGTAAATTGATAAAAAATAATAATAATATTAATTAAACATAAAGGTAATCAGATTAAATTGTCAGACAAAATCGATATGATTGGTACAATGTTTACAAGAAAAACAACAAAAGCAACAAGTTTATCTTATATGTTAACATTTTCACTTGTTGATTAAAGATTTGAAATGTAAACACATCCGTGATTAAAATGATTGAAAATCATGCCGATGATTGAATATTGATTGTGTTGATTAACTTTATTAATAAACACTTACCTGCACCAATCGTTCATGACACTTGAATTTACAGGAAGTGGGATATCATGATTCATTAGAAGTACTTGTTTGACGGTTCCATCAATTCCGTTTTCCTGATTTGTACAATCTTGACCACCTTAATTGTTACAATCGAAAAGAAGAACAAAATGAAAAAAGAGAGAATAAATAACCACACAATTTAACGAAAGTCAAATCAAAAGAAATTAAACATTAACAGATTAAAGAGACTTACTTGATTGATGAATAAAACACAAGAACAAAATGATAATAGAACAGGTAAATGTATGGATATTCATGGTGTAATGATGGAGAATTTCAATTGATTAGAAGAATTAAATCAAAGTCGATTATAAATTAGAATAGAAAACACGAAAATATAGAAGAAGAAAAAAAAAGAGAATAGAATTTGTTAAGAAAATAAAAAAGAGAATCAGATGTAAGAATGTCGCGGTTATGGATTAAACTGAGAAGCTTTCATACGAACCTTTAATTATTTATAGTTGAAAAGAATTTGATAGTATCACATATAGAAAAAGAATAGATTATTTAACAATTAACATTAAAGAAAACAAAATAATTAGCTGATTGAAAAGATTAGTAATAATCTTACAATCTCATAGTCTCTAGTCGCTGGAGAGACACATCCCTCTCTCGCCATTTTTTTTTTCGGCAATTAAAGTAAAGAATCAACGTGATCACAAGTTAATCATTTTCTCTTTAATCGTCACAATTAAGAGTGAAACAGAAATTGAACTTGTTAAAAGAAGAAAACAAGAAATTAATCCATTTTTGATTAATTAAACACTTGATGTGAAACAAAAAGTAAATGGTTAAAGAAATGAATTAAAAAGATAAACAAACAAAGTGATTGATTGAAATTCTTTCAAATTTGTTGGCGCGAAAATTAATTCTTGTCATTAATTTATTTTCATTTCTCTTGATTAACAATTTTCTTTAATTCTATTAACTAATTCAAGGTTAAACTAATTGTTCATCGGTAAATGTATTTATACATCAGCAATTTCCTTAAAAAGTAATTAACTTAATTATATAAGAAAATTTTTTCTTTTAATTTTTACCTTTAAGGTAAACACAAATTCTGCAAATTGATTGATTAACTTAATTTGATTCGATTGAAACTGATTACGTGATTAAATTGATCTTTTTTTCTCGATTTAACGATTAATTTAACAAATTTAACAAATTGTTTCACTTTAATTGTTAATTGTTTACTTTAAATCGGTTTAATTGTTACTCTTCTCATTTGAATTGGAAAAGTTTTAAAGTTTTTTTGGTAACAATTAAATTTAATTGTTCGATATCAAATGATCATCTCTTGTTAAATCACTAATTCTATCGTTTTATTGTTTCTTTTCCTTAATTGTTTTACTGGATTAAGGAGATGATTATGGTGATTATCTTTTAATTGTTTTTCGCATTTACAACTCTTTACATTTGGTTGATTTGATTACGAAAATATAATCAAATGATTAGTTAATTTTTCCTAATAATCATTTGTTTATCCTTGAACTTTTGTCTCATTATTTAATTGGTGTTTTTTAGTTAATACTATTAATTAGGACGAGATTAATTTAGTTTTCTTAATCTTGACAAGATTAATTTTTAATTGTAATCAATTTTTTTGTCTCCATCTTGACAATTTAATTGCTTCACTTTAATTTCACTTATCAAACCATCAAATTAACTCAAACATTATCAAACTTTAATTAACTTAAAAGGAGAAGCAAAAAATTTCTAAACCTTTAATTTATTACAAAGATAATTAATCTTAATTGTGAATTAATTAGTTTTGATTAACAAAAATTTTCGATTTTTTTACTTCTAATCTAATTCCATCTATTGTTTTCCAAATGAACTACAAATGTAAACAAACAAATTCCAATGTTTCAAATGTGAACAATTCATTTTCATATTTAGTGAATTAACTCTTGATTGTTATTGAATTTAAATGATTATCATGAGAATAAATTGTTCTTAACTAAATATCAAAGACAGTTAATTAGTTTCTCTTTTACCAAATTCATAGAGATTGAAAAGTGTTAGTAAATGTCATCATGTCTCTTTATGATGATATAATTACCGGTGATAAAAGTGACTCAATTAAAGATTCTAAATCATCTGAATGGTCTGGAATTAAATTGTTAGAGACACATTTATTATCGAAGAAGAAAAATCAAGCCAAGGTGAGAGAAAAAAAAGAAATCATTTCAAAATGGAATTGAAAACAATTGTTTTCTATTTTCTATTTGATAATCTATACAATTTCTATAAAAAATATCTTTTCCATTACAGAGAGAAAATATTCCAAGGCGACCTGTCGGGCCTCATAGTGGACCTGGATTCGGATTCAAGAATAAAACGATCGTCGAGGAAACACCGTTGTCCTCAATATTGGATTATCATGGAAAGGTGATTGTTAGCAATTTGTGGATGAAAAAACGAACAGGTTATTTATTTATATTGGAAAAATTTCTCTCAACAGAATACAAATGGATCTTTATTAGGAGGTGATTGGGATGTTACACAAGAATATGATCCTTTATTTCCCAATGATTATGAGAAGATAATCAAAGATCGACCAAATAATCCGGATAAAGTTAAAATAGAAGGTGAAAAGAATCGTGATTCAGATGATTATGAACATAGAAGACGACGTCCAATCGATAAATCATCATCTTCGACATCAGCAAATTCTAACTCATCAGGATCATTATCATCGGGAATTTTGGTCAATCCAACAGGTGGTTCAATGTTTTCCAGGTCACTGGTGGATGCTTATAGTGATGATGAAGAGGAAGATGTTAAACCTTCAGGTTATTCTGGTCGATCAGCACCAGTGGTCACTAGAGGGGCAGCAATTGCTCCACCACCTTCACTGATTGAATCAACTGTAGTTAAATCAACGTCTCATGAAATGATGGATACCTCGTCATCATCATCATCAGCATCACCTATAACTGTATCATCTTCCTCATCTGCACCGAAAGGTTCAGTTGCTGCAAAGATCATGGCTCGAATGGGTTATAAGGAAGGTCAAGGTTTAGGTAAAGAGGAACAGGGGATAAGTAGAGCACTTGAGGTGGAGAAAACGAGTAAACGAGGCGGTAAAATTGTCGCTGGAACAGCATCAGCAGCATTACCACCACCACCGTCGCCACTTCCACCACAATCGACTCCAACCCCACCGCAACCATTTCCAGGAACAGTATCATCTTTATACTCGGATATTGGATCTTCATCAAATCCCGTTCAAGGCAATTTATCAGCGGCAGTTGAATCGATTACTGATTTAATGAAAAATCCGACAAAAGTTGTTCTACTTCGTAACATGGTTGGACCCGGCGAAGTCGACGATGACCTGGAACCCGAAGTGAAAGAAGAATGTTCAAAATATGGTGAGGTGGTAAGGTGTGTAATCTACGAGATTCAAGGTGGTCATCCCGAAGAAGCGGTCAGAATTTTCGTCGAATTCAAAAGAGTTGAAGCAGCAATCAAATCGGTCGTTGATTTAAACGGTCGATACTTTGGAGGTCGAGTGGTGAAAATAAGTTTCTATGATGTAGAAAAGTTCAAACGATTAGAACTTAATGATTGAGAATTAAAACCAAAATCATAATTCACCAGGTAAAAAAAAAAGAAAAAGAAAATGTTCCATTTTCGATAGTTTTGTTTTTCTTATTCTCATGATTATCACTCATGTAAATTAACATTTCTACCGCTCGTTTCATCTCAGACTTTGATTAAAATCAATAATCAATATTTAATTTATAACCAATAGAGTTTTCTTTTTCAAGCATAAAATTGTATATATAATTTGTTTTTCTCACAGATTTTAGTTAATTAATTAATTAGAATATACATAATCATTTGTTTCGTTATTTAAGCTAAATTTTCACAGAATAAGAAAGAAGAAAAAAAGGAAATTAAGTGAGAGATTCACAAAGTGAGAGAGAAGGAGAAAGTGGGAGAGGAAAAAAGTCAAACATAATTAAATCAATTGAATGGATAAGGTTTAAAATTCAGTTGATTGTTGTTCCGTTGTTATTGTTTACAAATTAGGATCCAATTATAATATTTAGTTGTAATCTCTTTGTTTTATAAATATAATTGTTGGTCAAAATTTGGTAACAATTTGTTTGCTTATTAATTTTTTTTTTCTGCTTGGATCAGGGATGATGAAAGTAAATTGGTAAATGGATTTTTGGATTGATTGATTGATAAATTGTTCATTCTTGGGCAAATCCTTCAGTCTCTTCAATGGCATAGGTTAATTTTTCAACTAATTGTTCATAAGATTTGTAAGGTGGTAAATCAAGTCTATTGAAACAAGTATGACTTTTGGGTAACCAAGTTTCTTTACCAACTTTTTCAATACAAAATCTTTGCGGTCCATTGGAACCCATTAATTCAGCAAAACCGCCTACAGGCACTCGACAGGTACCGGTGACAAATTGAAGGAGACGAGCTCTTTTCTCATTATCCATACCCTCTTTGACGAAAGTCCAAAACCATTGGATTTGTTTACTTCCTCGAGAATAATGTCGATAGATTGTATTCTTTTGCCAATCCTCAATGTCAATCTCTTGCATTCCACATAAAAGAAGTTCCAATTCTCTTTCATCAAAATAATGTAACCATTCCAATGGTAGAACTTCATTGAAACCATCTAATAAGGCTTTGGTTTGCTCCTCTTGTCCACGACTAAATCTCCAATCACTGATTAGTCTTAAATATTCATCCTTATTATCATCGGTTACCCTTATATCGGCTCCACCTTCTTTAAGCTCGGTACTTTTCAGCTGACCCAAAATCTCATAATCAACGGTAAAATAAAGTTCCATCTCATCTTCAATGTCTTTAAGACTATTCTCTTTAATCCAGACAAGGCTGTTGTAAAATTGTGGATCAATTGATTCAATATCTTTCATGACCAATTTTTTACCCAACATGCGTTTGTAGAAAGGCAAAGTAAATCCTGAATAGATAAATTTACCATGAAACAAAGCCATTGCAATAAACCGGCCAATGAATCGGAAATATAATAAATGATCAGGATTAACTGAAGAGGCTGGATTAATTTGTAGGGAGTAATTGTTTTTACCGGCATATTCAAAGAGACAATACATTGGATTTAGTACTTGATGGGAGAGTAGGAAAAACCATTCTCGAGCTATTCCTCCGTAATCGAGACCTTCTTCACCTTTAAAGGTTATAAATAAACGTCGACGAAGTTCATGTGGAGGAACTCTCATTATTTGATGGAAAGAATCTTCAAAAATGTTGGTACGAGAGACGCAAATCTTTATATGGGAAGGCAGCGCATTTATGTGACATAGGTAACGGAATTGGTGAAGTTTAGCACGGAAACAACGTTCATAGGTTATACTGGATACGGATGCAGCGATATCACCATTTTCAATTGGAATCCTAGGATCTTGAAAAGTCGTCGATTTCCTATTATGATCAACAAAATATTTTTCACCCTCTTTAGTGTATCTAATTTCCCAACCTTTTGGTAAAGGTAATAGTTCATAGTTGGTTGAACCGGTTAAAACATTTGAACCATTCAGGCCACTTTGTAAGTTAGGTATAAATTTCCCTTGGGTTCTTGGATCGTCCCATTGGGTTGTCTTATTTTTATGATTAACATAATAAACACGAGAATTTGGATCAAGACGTCGCTCCCAACCTTCGGGTAAAGGTTCCTCTTCATATTTGATTACTACTTCCCTGGAGGATCCTCCGGAACTGGAAGCCACAAGGGTTGAATTGATTGTTGAAGATGAGGATGAATTTGATGAAGAGGAGACAATCTTATTGCCAGTGGTATTGGAAACACTTGAACCAGCTTCTTGTGATTGATCACCATTTTGTCCACCATTAGTTAAATTATTTGATGATGATGATGATGTTGCTCCTGATGAAGATGCTCCTCTCTCCATTTGTGGTGTAGCATACATATAACGTTGACCACATTGTTGCATAACTTGACCCTGAGACGATTGCCATTCATTGAAAATACGTAAAGTGTTTTCAGTTGGTCGCTGCCAAGTTGTTGTTTTCGTGTTATGATCAACATAATAGACTCGACCTCGAGGATCAATTCTTAATTCCCAGCCGTGAGGTAATTTCTGTGGTTTCTCCCAGGTTGTACTTCTTGTATTATGATCAACATAATATTTACGATTATATTGATCATAACGAATCTCCCATCCTGGTGGTAGATTTTCATCTGAATCATCTTCCACTCTAGGCCTGATTCCAGTTGGTGCAGTATAACCACTAGTGTTGATGTTAGAATTGTTGTCTTTGTTGCTAGTTGTAGGTTTAATATCATTATGTGAAGGCCTATTACCAGATGAGGTCGATGATGATGATGAGGCATTAACTATTGCAGAAGATGAAGATGATGATGATGATGAGCTTCCATTGACCCAATTGGATGTTGAGGCTGAATTATTGTTGCTTGTTGATCTATCGTTACCACTACTAGCACCAGAGTGAACTCGCTTTGGATCGAGTAATGACCATTTCGGCAATGAGCCCATTATTGATAAATATAATTTATAATTTGTCGATAATAATATTAATTACTAATTGAGAAAATTTATGAAGAAAGGAAAAAAGAAGCAATCACAAAGAGGGAAGAACACAAACAGTTGATCAAATTTGGGGACAAATTTGACTGTCTCACTTGCTATTTTTATCTCACTGAGTAACAGGTAAAGTTGAGGAGTCACTTTGAAAAGGATTAAAAAAAAGTAACGTTGGAATGTAGGACAATTGGAACAGATTGGAAAAGAGAGTAATAAAGAGAGAGAAGAGTGAGAAGAGTGAGAGAGAGAGAGACAGTCGGAAGAAGAGGGAGGTTGTTGTGATGATGGAGGTGGATTAGAATTACTGGTTAATCGAACAACTTGAGAAAGAAAATTTGATAATCATCTAATATATAACATGATAACAGAAGATGAGGACAGAAATTGCAAAACGATACCTCGGGTTCTTTTCTTTTTGGTGACAAAAAGTCAAACAAATGAGTCTTGCACTTGAACAGAACAACTGTCACAGATAATCAAGTAAAGTAGATTATACACAATAGGGAGAGAAAGAGAGATAAAAGTGTGAGAGAGAGAAAGAAAATAGGATAATATCAAGAGAATGAGAGAGAGAGAAGAACAATAAAGCTGAACCTTAATCAACCATTGACTTTGAAAAAGGAGCAAAAAGATTAATCAGAGATCGAAAATTTTTCAATAAAAGAAAAATAGTATTAGAAAGATATTAGTTAACCTTCAATGAATATCAATGGTTACTTATCATATAACTGGAAAGCAGAACTTGAAACTTGTAAGCATGTGATTTAAAACAATACATCAACTTACACACACAAATTGATAAGAAATAAATGTTTTAAGAAAATCAAGCAGACTTTTGGTTGAAGAAAAAAGAATAGAGAGAGAGAGAGAAAAGTGAGTAAGTTATAGTATCAATCTAAGCAAAAACACTTCCTCAATGAGAAAACCAAATGATGATGATGGTGAATGACGATTATGATGATTAAGGTAAATGATGGAGGTGGTTGAATAATGTTTTTTGTTGTTGCGATGGTGTTTTGATCGTAGATTCTTGATGACAAAACAATTAGAAGTTGTGATTTCTGTTGGCCTTTTTAAAGATCAACTCTTCCTTTTAACGATCTTGTTAATGATGATGATGACACTTTGGTGTGAGTGTGTTGATAGGATGAATATTGTCGTAATGATTGAATTAAGATCACTGGTTGATAATATGTTCTAATCCTTTTTCTATACAATTAGAAAATGAATAAGTGTAAAAAACGAAAAAAACACTTTTCTTCTTTTCAATTTAAGTGTAAATTACAGTTGGAGAATTTATTTTATATCAGGAGACACAAAGGAATGAGAATAACCATTAAAGATCATCGCCAGATTATAACCTTTTCTTTCACGATGAGATGTTTTTATTATTACCTAATGCAAAAGTAACAACAAGGGGAGAAAATAAAAGATGAAAAAACGTCAATATGATGCGAAAAGTGAGATAGAGGGAGGGAGGAAGGGAGAGTAAAATTACAAATTGAAAGGGAGAAAGAGATAGACAGAGAGATGGTGAGAGAGAGAGAAAAGTCTCAAAGTGAGTATATTTTTGAGACAGACAGAGAAAAAAATGAACCAAAATAAAAAGAGGCAAATTATGGGGATAAGAAGAGAAAGACAAGAAAGAGTCGAGAAAAGAAGATGATAGAAAACTTAACCAAGGAGAGTGAAAAGAAAGAAGAAGAAAAAAACAAGGAAAAAAAAAGAAAACACAATAAACTCTCTTATAGAAACAACAACATTCTAATCATATGTAGAGAGAAATCAATTTGGAGAAAACAATTTACTCACCCAGTTAGAAAGTCCAACACGATTATATCAAAAAGGTGAGTTATTAGCTTAATTGTAGACCAGAAAAATTAGTAAAAAGAGGTTACAATTAAATTAGATAATCATTTCAAATAGATAAACATTAATGACTAACATTCAATGTTTACTTTTTGATTCCATGAAAGTGTTCCATCTACCGATCGAAATTGAAACTTTTTTCGAATAATTTTTTTTTCTAAAATTTAAATGTCAAATTTTCAATTCGTACTGTTAATTATTTCGTTACATTATAATATCGTAATTATTATTATGATAAAAATCTAATAACTGAAAATGATAACGATAAAGATTGAGAATAATGGAGAGAAAAGAGCAAAGATTTTAGAAAAGAATAGAAAAATTTTTATTCGAAATTACGAAAATGAGAGAGAAACAAATTAATGAATAGAATCGATAAAATTTTAAAGCCAAAGACTCTGAGTTCGCAACCACCCGTTCAAATCATTCGTGCAGGTAAAGGTAACTTTTGATATCTAATAGGATGACCATTAAGGAGATTTTATTGTTACAATGAGAGCTCATTGGTTCTTATCATTTGTCTTGGTCAGTTTAACTCTCATTGATTAAATTTAATTGTGTGGATGATTTAACAGTTAGTTGCAGATTCTAAGTCTTTGGCTGTATAAAAATGAGAACATGTTATTATTTTCTTTGAGTAACTGTGGGTCATGAACACCAATCACTATTGATTGAACATTTTCCATTGAACCAATCGATTTGAATTTGATTGATTCCACTTGTTGGATTAATTGAATTTTCCTTCGTTGAAGGTAAGAGTCGCTTTGAGTTCCAACGGGAATTGTGTTCAAGATAAGCGTCTTTTAGGGTTAATTTCAGGCCATCAGAGAGACACATGTAACATGATCGACAAGAATCTGATCTACATGACATGAAACACTCATCGGAGGTACAAAGATCCTCATTAACGGCTAAGTCTTTTTCCGAGACTCTGAGATTCCATGAATCTGAATCATATTGATTCCAATCTTTGATTCCATCGATTCTGGTTAATCCAACGAGAGAATAAATTATAAATTACTTGTTCGTAGAGTAATTTATTGGGTGCAAAGTGAGCCGAAGATAAATTTGGTGACATATTGGCCTCCATTAGATAAACATTAAGATCTTCATCAACAAGAAAATCAAATCGAACCATTTCGAAAAAGTTTCTATTCGATTTAGGAAAAGCCATTGTCGATAATCGTCCCATCGGTGCTTCTTTCTCCCGGTAAACATTGGAAATTGCTTCTTCCATCTTATTCCAAATGACCTGAGGATCTTTACCAATTGATCGTAAGTAAATGTTCAAAGTTTGCTTCATATTGTAATTCAATTCACTGAAATATTTACTCAAACTTGGCATCTAAAGGATGAAAAGACAAAATGAAAGGAAAGTTAATCGATTCATTCAATTATCTAAACAATTAACTCACCTCCCAAATTGGTGTGTAATCATCACCAACAACATAAGAATCATAATCAGATGAATTGAAAGGTTGATATTTGTTTCCACACCAACGGAGAAGAGCATCTTTATCGTAAATGTAAACTCGAAGTGGATTAATGGACGTTTGGATTACATATAATCCGATGTCAAATTTCCTAACAAATAGATTAATCATTTACAATCAGTTCTAATTACTCTCATTCATATTATCAACTTACTTTCCATCGATTAAAAGTGGATTTTGAATATATTCTTGAACAAAGTGTCCAGTCTCATCTAAATTCATTTGGTCAATTTTTTCAACTCTAATCCCTCGGTGGTTGTTGCTCTTTTTCACCCATAATCTATCTGGATTAGCATTGGCCTATTGAGATAAAATAGATTAAGATCAAAAGATTAATAAGATGAGTGAGAGAGAGAGAAATACAGCCTAAGATTTCGAGTTCACAACCACTTGTTGAACTTGAGTTCGAGTTCGAGTTCATTTGGATAAACTTACATAGGAAATGAACTTATCCTTTTCTTTGGGAAGATGAAAAGCTTTTGGTATATGAGGCATTGAAGTCGTTGCCAAACTCACTTTGTTGGTGATATAACCTGACCCGGGGAAGTGATTAACCTGTTGATTAGATAGCAATTAATCGGTTGATAATCAATTGATTGGTTAACTGTTGATCAACTTACTTTTTGATGAGGTTTAAGTGAAGTAAAAAACTCTTTACCAAATGGATAATCGTGTGACCAGAGGACATCCCAATCTTGAGTTAATCCATCGACCCTTTGGTAGCCAAGGCGATCGAAAGCCTCAATAACATGATTTAAGTAACCAGATTCCATCTACAATTAATCAGAAACAATCACAATTAAAATGATGATCACTACAATTAGTTGATTAACTAACATTTCTTCCAGCAATCCAGACTCTTGGTTTATTGTCACTTGTTGTTATTTGTTGTTTACTTGTTGATGTTGATCCATTGTTTTTGGTTAACAGATTTTCATCACTCATCAAAAGTTGATTAAGGTGATTAAGTTGATTTGGTAAATCAATTGTCTCATTATCAGCTAATTTGTACACAATCCTTGCAGTAAATATTGTTACAATTAAGATAATTGTAACAATTAATGTGATGAAATTAAGATGAGATCTTGCAGAAAATTGAATTGATTGTTTATCACCAATCTTTTTACCTGATCGTTTACCATCAGAACAATTTGATTTCAATTCTTCATCTGATTCCTGTAAAACAATTAACAGTTATCAATAGATAGACAATTTTGTCAACAATTAAAAATCTAATTCTTACCTTGGTGATTTCCTTACGTTTTCGTAACATTTTAAGACCAATAAGAGACACAAAGGTAAAACAAAAAGGTCAACTTATTATGTTGATGATAAAACGAAAATAAAAGAACATTAAAATTAGGCCAAAGCTTAGAATAGAAAAAAATGGTTGACCCAAGAAGAAGAAGAAGATGATGATGATGATGAGAGAGATGAAATGATGATGATTATTATTACACAAGAATTGAAATGATTCTGTTTACAGGTAGGTTGAAGATGGAGCTTCACCTTAATCGCAATTCGGATGAAACTTGATTTTCAACTTTGTGGATAAACAAACTTACCTTGATTGTTAATGAAATTGTTTACACATGGAGAGTAAGTTAATCAACCAAATGATTAGCTATTTGGTTAGACAATTAGATTTTAATCATAGTCACAGTCTGATTTAGATTTAGGAAGTTAACATAATCTGAGAGAGGAAATGACAATCAAATTGTTGGTGATTTTTAAATTGATGTTTCCATTTATTGCTTCATAGTTTTTTATACACACGATATGATTATTGATGTGTAACAATTAACCAAGTTGATCATCAATCTATTCAATTGATAATTCACAAGGATTTTCTTCAAGCCAATCGGTTATTTTGATTCTTTCATCTTCCTTCATGATCTCTTTTTCCACGAGGCGATTTAAAATGTCGGAAATTTTCATGAGTGACCTCACTTTGATTCCTTTTTTCGACAGGTTCTCGACGCCTTTTTGTTCTCGATCAACAAAAACACAAACAAATTCAACCACCAGACCAACTGATTTGAGAGATTCAATTGTTTCCATGATACTCGATCCACTGGTGATTATATCCTCACAAACCATCACTATTTCACCTGATTTGAATTCCCCACCGATTTGGTTTGATTTGGTTCCGTATGTTTTTGTTTCTCGTCGACTCAGTAACATTCGAACGTCATGATTGTCCGATATCATTGTCGCGAATGGAATTCCTGTTAATGGAACACCGCAAATGTGATCAAATTGAATATCACAAATCATTGACCACATGGACAAACACATTGATCGACGAAGAGCAAGATAACTATTCACCTTGCGTAAATCAATGTAAATCGGTGAACGATCACCCGATCTCAGGACCACCTCCTCAATCTTAATGGCACCGATTTTATAAAGATTGTCAATAAGCTCATTTTTACTCGATAGATTCATTTTGCTTTCTCTCTTGAAGAAACAATCAATACTTTCAAAACTTTCGGAGAAAATGGTGATTCGGAAAACAAACCAAATCTAATTTCTTCACCTGAGTCAACAAAACAAAAGAATCACCAATGCGCAGGTGTGCGGAAAGCGAATGAGCGAAAAATATTAGACCTAAACGGTGTCCCATTGGTGTTTCTTTCTCCCGGTAAACATTTGAAATGACTTGAGGGTCTTAACCAATTGATCGTAAGTAAATGTTCAAAGTTTGTTTCATATTGTAATTCAATTCACTGAAATATTTACTCAAACTTGGCATCTAAAGGATGAAAAGACAAAATGAAAGGAAAGTTAATCGATTCATTCAATTATCTAAACAATTAACTCACCTCCCAAATTGGTGTGTAATCATCACCAACAACATAAGAATCATAATCAGATGAATTGAAAGGTTGATATTTGTTTCCACACCAACGGAGAAGAGCATCTTTATCGTAAATGTAAACTCGAAGTGGATTAATGGACGTTTGGATTACATATAATCCGATGTCAAATTTCCTAACAAATAGATTAATCATTTACAATCAGTTCTAATTACTCTCATTCATATTAACAACTTTACAATTAGGAAGTTATTTAACCATAAGCTGAGAGAGAAAATGACAATCAAACTGTTAGTGATTATCAAATTGATTCACATGTTTGAATTTATTGCTTCATTAATTGTTTCTTTATAAACACGATAAGATTATAACAATTACAATTAATTGGAAAATACGTTGGAATGATTATTATTGATTGTTCATCAGTCTATTCAATTGATAATTCAACGGGTGTTTCTTTTAGCCAATTGCTTATTCTGATTCTTTCATCTTCCTTCATTATCCCGGACTCCATGAGACGATTTAAAATGTCGGACATTTTCAGGAATGACCTCACTTTGATTCCGTTGTTCAACAGGTTCTCGTGGCCTTTTTGCTCTCGATCAACAAAAACACAAGCATTTTCAACCACCAAGCCGACCGATTTGAGAGATTCAATTGTTTCCATGATACTTGACCCACTGGTGATTATGTCCTCACAAACCATCACTTTATCGCCCGATTTGAACGGCCCTTCAATCAACTGTTTGGTTCCATATGATTTTGGTGCTGATCGTCTCATCACCATTGGAACATTGTTGTCCAAAGACATCGCCACAGCGAATGGAATTGCTGTCAATGGAACACCGCAGATTCGATCGAATTCAACATCTTTAATCATTGACCACATGGTAGAAGACATTGATTTGAGAAGATCGGGATAACCAGTAATCAGACGCAAGTCAATGTAGATCGGTGAACGATCACCCGATTTCAGGACAATCTCCTCGATCTTAATGGCACCGATTTTGTATAGATTATCAATGAGCTCATTTTTACTCAATACTTTCATTTTACTTTTAAAACAATCAAAAAGTGTCACAACTCAAACGGTTCGTTCAAAACTTTCCGAGAAAATGGTAAATCGGACAACACGTTGTGGCCAATCACATCTCGTTCATGACTAGAGACATCTACTGTTCACCCACCGGCTCCGTTCATGTGTCAGGCCTGACTGCCAATTTCATTTCTTCACTTCGGTTATCAAGGTAACCGAATCGTTTACCCGGTTTCTTTAAATACCAATTAGTTTAATTGTTGAGTGGAAACAAAATATCCTCGAGTTGATATGAAATTTTCATCGATTAATAAAATAAAAAAAATCAATCGAACCATTTCGAATAAGTTGTCAAATTTCCTAACAAATAGATAAATCATTTACAATCAGTTCTAATTACTCTCATTCATATTATCAACTTACTTTCCATCGATTAAAAGTGGATTTTGAATATATTCTTGAACAAAGTGTCCAGTCTCATCTAAATTCATTTGGTCAATTTTTTCAACTCTAATCCCTCGGTGGTTGTTGCTCTTTTTCACCCATAATCTATCTGGATTAGCATTGGCCTATTGAGATAAAATAGATTAAGATCAAAAGATGAGTGAGTGAGAGAGAGAGAGAGAGAGAGAGAGAAATACAGCCTAAGATTTCGAGTTCACAACCACTTGTTGAACTTGAGTTCGAGTTCGAGTTCATTTGGATAAACTTACATAGGAAATGAACTTATCCTTTTCTTTGGGAAGATGAAAAGCTTTTGGTATATGAGGCATTGAAGTCGTTGCCAAACTCACTTTGTTGGTGATATAACCTGACCCGGGGAAGTGATTAACCTGTTGATTAGATAGCAATTAATCGGTTGATAATCTATTGATCAGTTAACTGTTGATCAACTTACTTTTTGATGAGGTTTAAGTGAAGTAAAAAACTCTTTACCAAATGGATAATCGTGTGACCAGAGGACATCCCAATCTTGAGTTAATCCATCGACCCTTTGGTAGCCAAGGCGATCGAAAGCCTCAATGACATGATTTAAGTAACCAGATTCCATCTACAATTAATCAGAAAAAATCACAATTAAAATCGTCTTCACAATCATCACAATTAATTGATTCATCGTTAGAATCAAATTTGTCCATTGGTTCCCGTTTACGTAAACATTGATTGCTATGATATTTACAGTGTTTGTTGGTTGATTGTTGAGGTGAATTAGTTGATGGGCAAGTCCAAGGGGAATCGGGATCACTTTTGAATGCTCGTTGTGAACACTTTGAGATCAATGAGAGTGGATTAGTTGATTGTTGAGAATCACAATTGGTTAGATTATCATCATTATCACAAAAAGGACTTTTAATTGTTGTTGTTGTTGTTAAACCATTGGTCGTATTATTATTTGCATCAGCTAATGGACAACGAAAGGTTTGGCTCGAATCGTCAATTGAATTATCCATAATTAATTTTCTTCTAGCTTGTTTTTGGAGAGAAAAATAATAATCACAATTAGAATTGTTGTCCTTGGGTTAATTTGTCGAAGGTAAAAAAATAATATTAATAATGATTAACAATTTAATGATATAACAGAAAGGCACACAAATGTAACATTCACCCAACAATTAACAATGGCACAGAAACTGAATTAACTTGTTAATTGTTGTTCTTTTTTGCTGATTGTTCACAAAGATACAATAGAAATTAATTGGTTGATAATCTATTGATTGGTTAACTGTTGATCAACTTACTTTTTGATGAGGTTTAAGTGAAGTAAAAAACTCTTTACCAAATGGATAATCGTGTGACCAGAGGACATCCCAATCTTGAGTTAATCCATCGACCCTTTGGTAGCCAAGGCGATCGAAAGCCTCGATAACATGATTTAAGTAACCAGATTCCATCTACAAGTAATCAGAAACAATCACAATTAAAATGATGATCACTACAATTAGTTGATTAACTAACATTTCTTCCAGCAATCCAGACTCTTGGTTTATTGTCACTTGTTGTTATTTTGCGATTACTGGTTAATTTGTAATCAATCCTTGCAGTAAATATTGTTACAATTAAGATAATTGTAACAATTAATGTGATAAAATTAAGATGAGATTTTGCAGAAAATTCAATTGCTTGTTTACCATCAATCAATTTACCTATTTGTTTACCATCCTTCCGTTTTCGTAACATTTTTTAAGACCAATGAGAGAGACACAAAGGTAAACAAAAAAGGTGAACTTATGTTGATGATAAACGACCAATAAATGAATAAAAGAACATTAAAATTAGGCCAATGCTTAGAATAGAAAAAAAATGGTTGACCGAAGATGATGATGATGCTTACAGGTAGTTTGAAGAAGGAGCTTCACCTTAATCGCAATTTGGATGAAATTTGATTTTCCCCTTTGTAGATAAACAAACTTACCTTGATTGTTATCCTAACACGAGAGAGGAAATGACAATCAAATTGTTGGTGATTTTTAAATTGATTTTTGCATTTATTGTTTCATTATTTTCATACACATAAATATTGATCGTCAATCTAATTAGTTGATGATTCGACTGGTGTTTCTTTGAGCCAATTTGTTATTTTTATTTTTTCATTTTCCTCCATTATCCCTTTTTCCACAAGACGATTTAAAATGTCGGAAATTTTCAAAAATGACCTGACTTTTATTCCGCTTTTTAACAGGTTGTCTTTGCCTTTTTGCTCTCGATCAACAAAAACACAAGCATTTTCAACCACCAGACCAACTGATTTGAGAGATTCAATTGTTTCCATGATACTCGATCCACTGGTGATTATGTCCTCACAAACCATCACTTTATCACCCGATTTGAATTCCCCATCAATCATTGATTTGGTTCCGTATGTTTTTGGTGCTGATCGTCTCATCAACATTGGAACGTCATGATTGTCCGATATTATTGTCGCGAATGGAATTGCTGTTAATGGAACACCGCAAATGTGATCAAATTCAAGATCATTCATCATTGACCACATGGACAAACACATTGATCGACGAAGAGCAGGATAACTATTCACCTTGCGTAAATCAATGTAAATCGGTGAACGAGCACCCGATTTCAGGACAATCTCCTCGATCCTAATGGCACCGATTTTATACAGATTGTCAATAAGCTCATTTTACTCAATATATTCATTTTTCTCTCTCAAAACAAACAATCACAAAAAAAACTAAAACTCAAAAGTTTCCGAGAAAATGGTAAATCGGACAACACGTTGTAGTGTCTTGGACACTGCCCATTGGACAATGTCCATCTACCTGTTACATTCATTTCTTTACTCTGGTTATCAAGGTAGCAGAATCGTTTACCCGGTTTCTTTAAACACCAATTAGTTTAATTGTTGAGTGGAAACAAAATGATATGAAATAAACAATTAACAAGTGGTTTTGTTGATTACAACTTAAGTTGGTCAATTGTTAAAAAAATAATTCTTCAATTAGATTAGCTGTTTTCTTGACCATCTAATTTAGTTTAGTATAAAATTAATGGATTATAACTATTAAGAGTTTGATAGTTAATCTTTTTGTTGTTCATGTTGATGATAATTTGAAGAGTCGAGGCAACAATCAAATCCACTGATGATTGTTGATGGTTGAAATTTTTACAAAGTTCTCATCGAATTTCTAATCATTAGATTAACATAATAATCCTAATAGAAAAGATCGAACCTTTTCAAACCAAATGTACAAATCAACGATCAATTCGATATCATCTCGAGCATATTCTGGTGGGATATCCAATAACATTGAATCGTCTTCACAATCATCACAATTAATTGATTCATCGTTAGAATCAAATTTGTCCATTGGTTCCCGTTTACGTAAACATTGATTGCTATGATATTTACAGTGTTTGTTGGTTGATTGTTGAGGTGAATTAGTTGATGGGCAAGTCCAAGGGGAATCGGGATCACTTTTGAATGCTCGTTGTGAACACTTTGAGATCAATGAGAGTGGATTAGTTGATTGTTGAGAATCACAATTGGTTAGATTATCATCATTATCACAAAAAGGACTTTTAATTGTTGTTGTTGTTGTTGTTGTTAAACCATTGGTCGTATTATTATTTGCATCAGCTAATGGACAACGAAAGGTTTGGCTCGAATCGTCAATTGAATTATCCATAATTAATTTTCTTCTAGATTGTTTTTGGAGAGAAAAATAATAATCACAATTAGAATTGTTGTCCTTGGGTTAATTTGTCGAAGGTAAAAAAATAATATTAATAATGATTAACAATTTAATGATATAACAGAAAGGCACACAAATGTAACATTCACCCAACAATTAACAATGGCACAGAAACTGAATTAACTTGTTAATTGTTGTTCTTTTTTGCTGATTGTTCACAAAGATACAATAGAAATAGGAAATGATAGCTACACAGAGAAAACAGATTGATAGTCAAACAATCAGTTAATTAATCACGAGGATCGATAGTTAATTAGATTAGCAAAGTAAATTTAGTTTTCTAAAAAGTGAGATGAGTTCTAATGGTAAAGAGTTACAAGGAAAGATTTGTTTTCCAAAATCATAATAAGAATTGGAAGCAGAAAAAAACTCAGCGAAAGTTAATTAAAATGAGATACCTGATCAGGTGAGAGTAGTGAGAAAGTGAGAGTAAGTGAGTGAGAGAGAGAGACGAATATAAAAAGGTTTGAGATTCTAATAACTTATTGGTTTGTAATGTTTTCCATGATTTTCCTGATGATTATCATTCATGTAAAAAGAGTGAGCGTGTTTTTAGATGACAACTTTCCTTATCTTGATTGTTGGAAGATAATTGAAATTAATTCGCTTACATATCAAATCATGATCACCACAGAGAATGAGAGAGAGAAAATAATCTACAAGTGAAAGTAGAAAATAATTGAATTCTATCAAGAAATTGAACAAAGAGGAGAAACGAAGTGAAAAAAGAGGAACACAAAGTGATAGTGAAAGTGATTAAATCGAATGGTAAACAATTGAAATTATGGTGAGAAGCGAATCAAGGTGTAGTCACAATTGAGACAGCATTGGAATCAGTTGATGATGATGATGATGATAAAGGTAGATGAGAGAGAGAGAGAAGGTTTGAAAATGATGATGAGTGAATTAGTATACAAACAATTAGAAGGGAAAAGTGAAAGTAAATTAAAAGGCAGCGTATTGGAATCTTTGTCTACTCCATTCACACAATAGATACATTCACTCACTCACACAGTGATTTTTATGTGTATCCAAATCAATTGTCAATAGAATTAACAAAATCAGGTTAATTGTTGACCTGACTGTTAACTTACCAAACAACCTTTTCACCTTCACTTTTTGGTTGGTCTTTATTGCGTTGATGTAATGTTGGTATCGCACATAAACACACAATGAATGAATGAATGAATGAATGAAATATATCAGAAAAAAGCACAATCCGAATAACAATGAAACAGGTAAACAATTTGAAAGAGAAGAAAAAAATTCTCTTTTTTTGTTTTCTTCTATTCTCCTTAATGAGAGAGTGAGTGAGTGAGTGTCTTGAAAGAAAAGCAAAGGAAAAGGAAAAAAAGAGAATCAAAAATCGAGATGAAGGCGAAGATGAAATGATTTGATTAGATGATGAGAACGTTGAGATATTGATGAATTAATTGTTCAACTTTTAATTAGTGAAAAAGAATTAAAAACAGTGAAAGATAATTAATTCTTTAAGAACTTTGGAGATAAACAAAGGCCAAAGAGTTTCTTCAACTGAGAGAAAAATTCTACTCTCTTTTTTTTTGGTTTTCTATTCTTTCTCTTTCTCTCTCCCATTTTTCTCGTTTTACCGGGAAATCAACTCTCTCTCTCTATCTCACTCACATACTCACCCTCTGGTTCTATTTCGAGGAGAAAGAGAGAGAGAGATTTACTTTAATTCTCCCTTTAAACCGACTCTTAGCTCCACTCTAAAAGTCATTCATCTTTTCACCTTCCAGAGGAATGACCATTGTCCAGATGAAAAAGAATCTCAATCATCATCATAAAAGAAATTTCAAATTAATTGTTCCGACAGATCAATAGATTATATTTTATTTAGAATTCCAATGATTATTATTAGATTTTTTTTTCTCTCTCGAAATTACAATTTTATTTATCTACCAGAGTTCATTTAATGGAAATGTAGAGAGAGAGTTTCAAGTAGATTTACTGATTAGAATCATCGGCGATCCTCTTTTTCCGAATCAATAGTTTTTCTGTGGGAGTAAATTCTGTCGATTCTGTCGATTCAGTTGAATCCATGGTTATCGGTGGTTCGGAAGAAGATGGAGAAGAAGAAGAAGATGATGGTCGAATCTTAGAATTCTGATTTCGAAGTAGATTAAGGTGATGTTCATGTTCCCTTATGGCCTCTTTATGAAGGAGAGCCAATTCTTCACGAGTGATTCGTATTCGAGAACGTTTATCTTGACCATTATTCTCACAGAGACAATACTGACCAATCGCTAATCTGAAATGAGATTAATAATAAATCGTAACGAACCAATTGAAAATCAACAACAATCGATAAACTTACATAGCCCAAAGCGAAACAATTAAAAACGACAACCTGAACATGACGATTATCTAAATGAGTTGACAACAATTAATAATAGAATAGAAAAACAATTGATTAAAACACAATTAGTAAAAAAAAAGTTAATCAATCTAAGATTAAAAATAAAATGACCCAATTAATATAATCTAATTGTCTTTTATAATAAATTGTAGTTGTAAATTTGATCCACTCACAATACGATCAATTAACAGATGATTAGTAATTAAAAGTATTATAACCTGTTGATTAATCAATGATTAATAACGTTGTAAAACTAAACCAAGTGTATTAGATTTAATTGTAATCTAATCATTTCAAGCAATCAAAAGACACACATACAATTTTATTGCACGAAAAGTTTTTTAATAATGTTAAAAATAAACAATTTAATTGTTTGAAAAAAGGTAAAGGATTAAACTTCAATCTCAATTTTAGCCTCAGGGTTAATACCAAAGGTGATGGTTGTGGAGAAGTTGTTTCCATGGTTAATTAGATTAAGAAGTGTCTCATTTCCGTGTCTTTCCGTGAAAAGATCATCGTTTTCATTGAGGGTTATCGGGTTGGTGTTGGCCGAGTAAGGGTCAATCAGTTTAAGCTCATTGGCCAGTTCGGTTTTGAAGTAAATTTGACCGACAAATAAAATGTCCGCTTTTTCAGTTGTATTTTTGGGATAAACTTCAATATGAATATGGAGACAACGTGGAAAATACCAGCCGGGAATTATGGTCTTAAAGTTGACTTGACCATTGGAATCGGTCACTTGGTAACCTCGGAGGAATCGCTCATCGGTTACTGGATCTGGTCTTCCAGGTAAACCAGGTCCTGGTTTACCTTTACCTGGTTCGGGATGTTGTCCACCTTGACCTTTATCAAACTCTTCTGATGGTCCAAAATTTTCGACACCTGAATATTTACCTACGGCATTTGCACTCCAAATATGAACGTACATGTTTCCCATTGGATTACAATCATTTGAATTGACCAGGTTAATTGTTAATTCCAAGGGAATACCTGGTTGACCATCGGTTATATCAGATCGCTCGTGGTCATCGGGAAGGTAAAATGGACCCTCGACATTGATTGGTGAAAGGACACATTGGTGTTGATTAGCTTCTCGCTTGTATTTAGCACAATTAATCACCGTTCGATCATGATTAAGATATTTACCTGGTCGCTCAGGATCAGCTAAACATGAAACAATCATGGTAATTAATACACAGGTAACAATTAGTTTTCCCATTTTAATCATAAAAAACAACTTTCTTTGATTCTATTAATAATAATACAATTTACATGTAATGTTTATAATGATAATTATTAATAATAACCAAATTAGATTGATCAATTAGCCTAATTTATATTATTTGTTCAATGTCATATTGGGATTGATAAATTGATTAACTGTTTCATTGTTAATTGTTTAAATTCCTTGATGGTTGAGAATTATATTTGATAACAATTAGTCTTCTCATTGTGATTACAGAGGATCCGGGTTGCTGATCAAACAATTAAATTCACAAAGTATATTTAGCTAATTGTGCTGATTTTTTTTCTTGGAAATCAATCAATCAATTTCATCGGTAATTATTAATATATCTTGATAATAACAATTAATTCTGATTGTTAATTCTGAGAAATAATAAATTTTATCTTTATATTGATTTGATACAAACTTTGTTGGTCAAATTTTTGATTGACAATTAAACTTAATCACTACATTATGATTACACTTGATGATTAAATTGTCAACTAATTATTTACATTAATTATTTACCTGATCACAAAATCTTCACTAAATCATTCAGACAGTTGAACCTTTATTTGATTACAATTTAAGTTAGACATTATAATTAACCATTAATAACATGAACAGTAGCAATTATCGGCGACTGATTTAATTTCAACAATTAACTGATTGTTTCCTTTAGATAACAAATTTTTACCTTGAAAATTTTTTCTGAAAAAAAAACCTCAAAAATGATTAAAATTTATTGGTTGATAATTGTAACTGTTATGACAATTAATGACAACTGTTGAATTAATCAACAACAATTAACTTTACCAGCCCTTCGGGTCAATGTTATTATTTAATCAAGAAAAACAATCAAATAAGTTAATTGTTTAATCAATTGTACGATAAGTAAATTGAATGATCAAAAGAAAACAAAAAAGATGCAAATAAAATCAGTCAAGTTAATTTGGTTGATTGTGATTAATAAACATAAACACTTACACAACAATTTATTTTTAATTACTATTGATCCTTGAAATACATTTTTATCTTGTTTTCAGCAATTAATATAAATAAAACATAAATTAACCTAAATTACAATTAACTTGACCATGAATTAAAAGGTAAATTTGAAATGGATTGACCTTCACTTATATTCAGGTTTGTGGTTAATTATTAATAGTTGATTATCATTAAATTGTTGTCTTGAACTTTAATCTTACACACACACTCACTCACTAACAGTTAATTGTTGAAACTTAATCCAGTTGTTAATAAAAGTAAATTAAAAATCACAATTTTCTAATCAAAAGAAAAACTTTTCATTTCTTTTCCTTATTATTATTATTAAATTTAATTACCTTTCATTGTTTCACTTGTTGTTGTTCAATTCAATTGTTCACAACAATCAAATTATAGACAATTTAATAAACTATTAAATCAACAATTTACTGATCATCACCAATACATGTTAAATTGTTATTCTCGTTGGAACAGTTAATTCAAGGTTTTCCTTTGATTCTGTTAATTTCTGTGAGTAAATAAAATCTCATGTTAATTAATTGTTGTTGTTGTTGATTTTTTTTTCTTGATTGATTAACTTTCCAAGGATCAATGGTTAGTTAATTGTTCAGTTTGTTTACTCGTTGATTGTTGATCCATTGTAGAGACAAAGACAAGAAAAGGATTTTCTATTCACCCTCAAGGAAGGACAATTAATTATACTTTTTACTTTGTATCTTAATCATTGTGATTAAGTTGATTGTGTACAATTTGATTAAGTTAATAACCTGCGTATCAGAAGCAATTGGATACAAATTGTTCAAGTATTTTAACAACTTGACTTTAATTACTAATGATGATCAGTTGATGATCAATAGGAAATCAGTGATTCGATTACAATTATAATATCTTAAAGTGATCGTTTTTCTTTTCACAATTAGTTGATTGTAGTTAATTTACTTATCGTTGAGTGTTTCTTTTCAACTTAATCTTTAATTTCAATTAATTTCTTTTGTTTCGTAATCATTTCAACGAATCATTTGTTACAATTAATTAAACAAATATCATAATAATTAGACCAAGATTTTAGTTTGATTTTTTTGTTTTCTCTTCCTGTAAATAGTAAATTTCAATTTTCTCATTTAATTTCATTCAGTTTTCATCGGTTAGATATTTGATTTTTTTTTCATGTCAAGTGATGGAGGGAAATTATTGTTAATTAAATTAGCAGTTAATCTTCAATTTCTTGATTCAGTTGATTTCATTTTTGATTTCTGCTTTTCATGCATGTTCCCAGTTACCACTGCACAATTTAAATCCATTGTATTTGATTTTTTTTAATTTCCAATCTTCCAAATCATTTGAAAGATGGATGATCAGGAGGAGAGTGGAGGATCCAAATAGTTAAGAGAGAGGGAGAGAGAGAGAGAGAGGTTAGATTAATTAGAGGAAGATGAGGGAGGCGAAGATAATTAGTGAGATGATAAATTTCAAAGAAATAGCCCCATAGCTATTATACCGGTTTACGATGACCAAATCAACAAGAGTTTCCAGAAAATTTTGACCACGAATATGTAAATTAGATTTGTCATCGACTCGAAATCTTAATCACATTGATAGTCCTATTGGCTTTTTTTTAAATCATTGAATATTTCCATTTCTCTCTCCAGGTAATTAGTGACCGTTCAAAGTTGGTTTTCAATTCAATTGCGAATTATTATCTTCCTGGTAACAAGATTTCCTCTTTATAATTTAAAATGACTTCTTGTTTGATATTAACTATGATTAAATGTTGTTCATCTCGTTTCTATCATGGTCTTTAAGTTACGATTCCAGAAGTTTTTCTTTTCCTGAGGAACTTTTATTTTTTACCATTCAGGCCATTTTCTGTTTTGTTTGGGATTGCGTTCGCTTTAAAGAGTGATTGTTGTGTCTGTGTGTGTGTAGTTTATTTGTGTGTTTATTTGATGAATGATGTTTCTTAAATGAGTGTTGCTTGTTTGCTTGTTTGTGTGTGTATGTGTGTGTGTGTGTTTGTGTTGATGTGCTGCATTTTTTTCCACGAGTGAGATTCATCTTTCAATTATCACCCAATTGTTTTCTCACATTCTCACATTTATAAATCAAAGAAAAAAACAAAATGCACAATCCACCAAAGTTGTCAGGGGGATATTAGATTTTCTTTTTGTTTGTTTGGTCTGCAGGTCATTTCTTTTTTTGTTGTTGTTGTTGTAAACGGTAGCACTTAGAAATTATATGGATCGGTCAAATATGGATCTTGAGAGAGTTCAGTCTGTGAAAGTCCAGGTTGAGAGAAAGGATGTTGAGATAATGATGGATAAGGTAATTGACTGATTTGACTCATTGACAATTGATTTTGAGTCAATGGACCTTGAGAGAAAGACGAACCACCGATATCTTGACTCGCTGGTTGACTATTTGGACATGAACCATTTTCCAATTTAGTTGATCGTGAAGTGTGCGGAGGTTGATTACTGTTAAGACGATTAAGTCGACCAGTAGTTGAACCTTTGGATCTTTGTTCACCAAGGATACCTTGTTGTTGCTGTTGTTGTTGTTGTTGCTGTTGACGTTGTGATTGCATTGCTTGTTGATGTTGATTGTAAAATCGAGGTGGTATATGAATCATATTCATAAACATACCAATAGGTACTGGAAGGTTGGATAGAGCTGCTCCTGCTTGAGCCCGTTCTGGACTAATGTACGATATTTGATCGTGTGCACGGAAATATGAAGGATGGTTAACATTGGGTGGTGGTGGTCCAGTGTTACCTGCAGCAGCGGCTGCAGCAATTAAATGTAACGATCCATTGTAACGGTTTCCAGTAGTTGCAGTTCCTGACCTGTCATAGATACTTCCGGGAATCATTGCCTCACGAGCGTCAAAAGTTGTGTTGTTCATGAAATGGCCTCCGGGATTGATTGAGTTTAACATTTTACGAGGTTTACTAAATTGAATCATACTCTCTTTTAGATTGTTCAATGGCCCTTCAACCAAAACTTTGTTTTCTTTGTAAAAGGTAAGCAAATGATTCCAGAGAGGTTGTTTAGATAAAACCTTTGGATTACCAACAATAATTATACCATAACGAGCACGAGTTAGGGCGACATTAAGACGACATGGATCGTTAAGAAAACCGATTCCTTGGTGTTCATTTGATCGTACACAGGACATTATGATTAAATCTTTTTCTCTTCCTTGAAAAGCATCAACACTTGCAACTTCAATCTCTTGGTAAAGTTTAGCATGAAGAGATCCATTGTATTGCATATACTGGACCAAATATGCTCTTTGACCTTCGTAAGGAGTGATGACACCGATTTGTTCAGGTCTTACTCCACCTTTCAAGAATCGAGTTGTAATCTTTTCAACAAGTGCGGCCTCGGTTCGATTTAAATATGAGGTTCCTGAGCCAGCAATTTCTTCTTGACCTTGGCAACAGTAGAAAAACATTGGTTTATCGGGTTGAGGCCATGGAAAATCGACCCGTTTCATTTTACGATCATCGGGATTGACACCATTTTGAAGGGAACCTTCATAGAAAAAGTTTGATGGAAATTTACTCAACGATGGGTGCATACGATATTGAACTTCTAATCGAAGTGGCCTAATGCCCAGAACAACAAGACGCTCAAAAAGAGATTGTGATAAACCCGCTCGAGCGGCTTTTTTACACATAACAACGGGTCCCAATTGACAATGATCACCAACAAGTGCAAGTTGTTTAGCTCCTAAAATAACGGGAACCATACATTCTGGTTCTGTGGCCTGCATACTCTCATCGATCAATATTGAATGGAACTTGAAACGAATTAACCTTGGATCGCCGGCACCCACACAAGTACAGCAAATGACATCAGCGGCTTCCAATAGTTCCCGTTCACAGGCTTTTTTAAGCATTCGGTAACGTTTCTCATCGGCTGATGAAAGTTCACCAGTTTCATCTTTTAATTGTTGTAATTTATGTAACTCTGAATGTCCTTGCATATTGCGTATTTGATTGTGAAGAGCAAGGAAAGATACAGGTGAACTTATTGCTTCACGACTTTTAGCACACAAACGGACCACTTTTAGTCCAGTTCGATGAATTTTCTCAGTCAACTGGTCAACAGCAATGTTACTCGGTGCACAGACCAAAACCGGAGTGTTACCCGTTTTCACAAGATGATAAACAATTGTCGCTGAAGTAACAGTTTTACCAGTTCCAGGTGGACCTTGGATCAAAGACAATGGCCGCTGAAGAGCGTGTTTAACAGCGATCACTTGGGATCTATTCAATTCGGGTAAATTTGGAGCTGAAAAGTGTTTAGGTAAATTACATCGCATGATAACATCATCAATCTCATGGCCTAATAAACGATGATAAATATAACCAGAAACAGAAGATTCATCAACAGCAAACTGACGAAGAGCGGCTTGCATCCTAAGAAAATTGCGAGGAAAAAAAATCAATATATTAACTGTTAGATTCACAATTTAAGATATAACAAAAGAAATAAAATCGAATAGGTTAAACTTTTGAGAGAGATCATTTTGATAATAAGATTACCTGTCAAATGATGTTGATTTCCAGACAAAATCAAGAACAAAATTAGATGTACATTCGGTTGGTACACAGATATTGCTTTTCATTTCAATTCCAACCTCCTCACTGTAATTGTCGGGGATCTTAATTACATGACCAACACCAGACCAGGGTTTATCCAGTTCGCCCAAATAACGTAAACGAAGTTCATCTCCGTGCATCAATCTCATATCACTATCCGATTTGGCGATATTAAAGTAAGCAATTATTTTCTTATTCAAACCAATATCCCATCGTACTTCAATGTTATCTTGTGTTTGCGATTCTTTTAGCTTTTCGTCGTAGTCGGCTTCCATTTTAACCAGAGGACCGAAAATATTTTGATACTGATAACCATCTTCATACCTTAAGAGAACCTGTTGAGGTTCCTCATCGACTCCAGGTTTCTCAAGATCTTGAAAAGTGGCATCAACATTGTCTTTCCAAAGCTCTTCAAGTTTATTAATCTGTTGAGCGGTTATTTGCCGAGCTCTTGATTGTTCTTGACCAGAGGGAATTTTAACCAACCATGAAAGAAAAGTACGATCATTGATCAAAGGTTTCCATTGTTCTAAATCCCAGTTCATATCTTTTAGACTACTCTGAGCAGCACAAGGTTGTCGACATAAAAGTACAACAACCGAATCAGCTTTAGCAGGAATAAAGCCAAGAACGAAAACATTACGACATCCACAGCTATAACATTCGAGAACAGTTTCACCCAATGGACCATCTTTATGAAGGGTTACCTCTTTATGTTTAGCTCGTACAAGGTGATTGATAATATGGCTTCCAGAGGTGTTACCTCGGCCATTACAGAACCATTTCTTACAAACATTACATTGAACAACACAAGAAGGATCATGAATACCACAGTATTTACACGCGTGATCAGGTAAATCTTTGTTGTAAAATTGGTCTTCCTCTTCTTCTTCAAAATTTAATTCTCCAAATACCTGAGCAACAGCGGTAATATCTCCATTCTGTAAGCCCAAATCTCCTGACTTATGTGCCTGTTGATAGGTTAAAATGAGAAGAGGAAAAAGCGTAAACAATTATATTCTCTAAATAGAAGAAAAATACAAACAAAAGAAAGAAAATATAAACTAGAAAAGGAGAGAAAGAGAGAGAAAGAGAGATTAAAATGTACACACACTGAGGAAGAGAAACGAATGGCGTCTGTGTCTATTTGAAAGTGTATTAAAAGCTAATTGATTTAAAAGATGAATAAGCTGAGTAAACCTAATTAAATGGGTAAAATTATTCATAAAGAAGAAAACCTTCAAAATCTTTTCTTTTTAGAAAAAAAAGAGCAAAAAATTTTCTACTTTCATCTTGACTTTTTTAGAAGAGAAAACAAAACGGAGGTAAAAAAGAGAAACATGTAACAAAAGGCCTTACAATTTTTTTTAGAATTTTGTTTGTTCTACAAAAAGAATTTTTTGACTAGTTTGAAATTTCTCTGAATCTCATGGAGGAAGAACTTACATTGATGGAACCATCTTTATCCAGTGAAGAGGATGAAATAAGTGAAGCACCAGCTCCTCCGGTAAGCGGTTGTGAACATTGACTTTGAGTCAAAGTGGGTAAAGTGAAATCAGTAAAATCGAAATCAGTTCCTTGGGTATCACCTCCAATCAGTTCATTTGCTTCCTCAGGATCATGAAATGTTAGGGTTCCCTGTGAATTGGGTCCATAGGTTGACAAGCTCATGATACAAAAGCGTGGCCAGTTTGGTCTAAGGAAAAGAAAAACAAAAAAACAATGAGAGAGAGACACTAATCAAAATCAGAGGAAAACCTTAATAGTTATAATTAAAGTAAACCAAGGGAACGTTAATAACAAACAAAAAACAAAGAAATTAAAAGGAAACAGTAATTACAATTTAGTATATTGATCAAGATTAATTAAAGCCAATAATAAATTCAACACTAAGAGTTAAAGATTTAAAATGAGAAAGAGACAAAAAGAAAGAGAAAAATAAAAGAGAACAAAATTTAGTTCGAAAAAAAGTAACTAGATGGCAGCAGCTATTCGATTCCAATATAATTTAAATTTAAATTGATTCGCTTTTAATTGTAAACTGATTTATGGATTAGCTGATTGCTTGTTGATCACCGTTTAATTAAAGATTATCTTCTGATCAGTGAAACACGATAACTGACCAATGTGACTTTCGTTTAGATGATTAACTTTTTGTTTCATTTCTAAGCTTTTTCCTCTTCTTCTCGATAAACTCAATTACAATTCAAGTGATTAGAATTAATTTAAAGTAATTTACAAAATTAACTTAAATTGATTGTTTAGTTTAAAGTAAAGAGTTGAAAATGGTGAGTTGATTAAATTATTGAGGTTATTTCCATCGTAAGTGTTGATATAACTTTTACCATTGGATTTTAAAAAGGATTTGATTTTTGTTTGTTTCCCTTTGATTAATTTTAATCCTAATCCTAATTGTCTGAGTTAATCCTTGTGATATTTGGCTGATCAAACTTAAGGATATTGTTAATTCCTTAAGGATAATTAAAAATCAAATGATTATCCTTTGGACTCCAAGTCGTAAGTTCAACCATTAACTTTGATTAATATTAATCAAGATGAATTAAGTAATTCAGTTCAAATGCCAACTCAGCAATATAATAATTGACTAATTAACCAACAAGTTAATCATCATCATAATTGACATGACAATTTATATAAGATTTTCAAATAAATTGTCACAATTTTAATTTCAATCTAATTATCAGTCATTAACCCATCAAAAGTTATCACGAAAATTAATCAATTGATTGAATGAAATCTCAATGAACAATTAAAATCAGAGATGAATCAAAAATTGAATCAATTCCAATTGTGTGTAAATAATATTTAATATTTGTCTAAAGATTTGAAAAAAAAAGTTATCAATGAGTTAACAATTAACCATTTCACATAATTGTATCTCTCTAAATTAGTTAATTGAAAAATGAGAGACGATGATTAGTTTGATTGTTGTTGACAAAAGTTGACGGAAATAATTAAGACACAGTAAAAGTAATATTTTGATAACAAATAATAATCGCTTCCGATGATCAATGATAAACAATTAATTTCCTTGGCTGATTACGTTGGAAGCAATTAAATTATCGGTAGTAGAGTTAATTAAAGTTTCTCCTCCATTTTTCTCATTACTCTCATATAATAAGAATCCTTTTTTCTCGGTTACCTGAAAGTGATTAAGAAATGAGAGAAAAAAGAAAACAAAAACAATTAAGAAAAAAAAAGTTGTTGAAAAAAATTCGAAAAAAAGTTTTTCTTTACCTTGAATGGAGTTCGAATGCCGCTTTCGCTATGAAATGTCACCGAAACTTGGGTACTTTTACCTGTTCGCTGGTCGAAGATGCGACAATTAGTGATCGCTGGACTGTAGAGATGAAGACTGACCGCAGGTTCGACATGGCTCATGTTTTCCACTCGATGAAGACCAATTGAGTCTAATTAAGAAAATTAGATCGATTAGAAAACAATTAGCTAATTGTTACCAACCACAAACCACCAAACTGATTAAATGAACATAATGATTGTCGTCATAATAATAATCGCGACAACAAATCAATGTCATTGAGTTTTAATCATGTCAAATTGATTATCATCTTATTACCTGATTAATTTAATCTCTAAATATAAATGTTAATCAACAACAATCAACTTGATTATGTTGTCTAATTAATTGTCAAATTATTATTTCTCTGTCTCGTAATCGTAATCACTTTTAATGTTAATAGAAAAACTTTTTTTTTTCATTCTCATAATAATCGTTTATTCATTTGTGACAATCAACAATTAATCTTAAGGTGACTTTTAAAGTGGTAAAGAGTGGGTTAATTATTATCGTAAGGTAATTAATTATCATGATAATTAAATCATTAATACAATTAAGACAAATTTTGTTTACCATTGATGTAAGTTACTTGATCACATTTGTAAGTTGTTGATGAAATTATTTTCAGCTCATCATCATAATCATTATCACTTGTTACCTCTTTATCCTCAGGCCATTGAAATTGTGTCTCAACAAGTGATCCAGACATAATCTAATTAACAATTAACAAATTGTAATCATCATTAAAAAAACAATCAAAAAGATACAAGAAAAAATAATCACACTAAACATATTCAAGATTTAATCAACTCAATCAATCAGATGAGTTGAGATCAATTTCTGAATGGATTTGAGAAAAACGTAAAACCAATTGATTGAGTTACGAAAACAATTAATCAACATGGAACAATTAAAATTAAAGTTAATTACCTTCATGAAACAATGGGAATTAGCATGATCATGAATACTACTCCCTTGACCAGGGGACCAACATAATAGGATGAGATTATATTTACCGTTACCTGTGTCAACCAGATTCCTGGTGTACCTGTTAAATTGTTGTAAAGATAATTGTTAATCTAATCAATTAATTAATCCAAATCAATGTAAACGTTAGTTAATCCTAATCGTCTCTATTGTTGTTGTTGTTGTATTTAAATTGTTTGAGAGTTTATGTTTTCTTATAATAATAACATTTATCCTTGATGATGATAATTAATCCTGGCAAAAGTTATCAATTGATTTGAAAACAATTAGTTAATCATGATAATGATGATGATAAAATCAAAGAGATACAATTATCTTAGCGTAAAAATTTTAATCACCATTATCTTAATTGTGCATTTGGTTAGTTCTCAAGGTGGAAAATACTTAATTTCCACCTTACATCATCACAATTTGATGATTGTTAACAATTAATAACCAACCAAAGGAACAGTTAATAATTAGAAATTAATTTTCGATTTGAACAAAAAAACTCAATTAGTGAAATTTTTTCTTCCTCAATGTTAACAACTCATTCCCAATGTATTCAAAGGTTTGATGGACAATTTGATTGTTTAATCATCTAATCAGTGGACAATTAAGTTGAGTAGTAATTAAGTCTTACCTGTGACGGTCAAAGTGGGCATATTTCCGCCATTCTTTGGGATTACTTTGATACGATGACATTAATTGTTTGACCTTTTCGATATCGACAAGATCGGTACTAAATAGTTCACTCAATGAGTTAATTAGATGATCCAAATCAACAGCCTTTTCCCCGTGCGACATGGTCAGTCTAATGGTCAACCAATTAAATGAATTAACAAACTTGAAGGTGGAAAAAAAGTTGAACAATAAAAAGAATGAAAAATTTTTAATCTCAGGTAAATTGTCAGAGAGACACAAAGTAACTTTCTTGTTGGTTAATGATGATGATGGACAATCACTTAAATACAATAAATATAACAATTATCAACAATTAGATGATAACAATTATACTGAAAGATGATCACAATCAAAATGCGAGAGACGATAATTGTTATTGATTGTAATCAATACAAACAAACACACACATAGAGAGAGAGAGAGAGATGGAGAGTAATCAAAATAACAAAACTAAGGTGATCGAAAGAATTAATAACAATTAGCTGATTTATAACGATCGCTTTTTGTTTTCATCACAATTTAACTCACTCAATCTTAATCATCTTCCTTTTCTCATCATCATCAACAAATAATCCTCTTTAATTATCTTATCAATTTCTCAACCTCTTAATCTTTTCATTTTTCCTCAAGATTTTACTGTTGATTGTAATGGTGAACAAACACTCAAGAAGATAATATTAATAACAATCATCAAATATATCTAATTGTTGTATTAACTACAATTAAGACGTTTAGAGGTTGCCAAATTGCGAAAGTGAAACAACAGCAGCAACACAACAACAATTAAGGATGAAAAAGAAGACAACAATTAAGAAAATGATGATGAAATATATGTAAGGTTACAAGTAGAGATTAAAACTCTTTTATTATTTCATTTGGAAAATATTAATTGTCGACAATTTATTAGAATTAGTTTCAGATGGAGTTTGGAAATTGATTTAATTTGGATTCGTATTGATGTTAACGGTTAATTGTTGGCTTGATTTAAGCGATTATTGGATAAGTTGGACTGGTCATTACACCACAATTGTTGTTTTTCTGGGCCATTAAAATGTAACCATCGTTACCCCAATAGGTTGACCACGAGTTTTTAATTAGCCAATACTTTTGACCGTAAAGTTGACCATAGCCGACGGCGAGTACTTGATGGTCAAGATCGTCTGGAGTGTTACCACAATTATCATCGTAATAAACACCATGGGAATAGAAGGAGAAAGTTTTTTGTGAGGCATCAATGGCCACGGTCACTGGTCCATTTTCAAATAGAGCCAATTCCAAGGCTTCGGGATCATTTGAGGTCACATTAATGAAACCGGTCACTTTAACGGCCTTAGGTGTTTTAGAATCGTGACATTTACCATCTTGACCCAAGTAGGAACCGTAATCTTCATCGAGGGAAACTCCACCGGCTCTCATTAAGTACTTGTAGGCTCGGAAATCTTCACCACCATCGCAACCATTATCTCCTTGATCCCAACTACAATCAACTAATTGCTGCTCAGAAAGACGGAGTAAATGTCCAGTTTTAACGAAATTGACACCTTCGATTGTACCGATTGTACCAAATGACCAACAAGATCCACAAACAGCCTGATCTTTGACTGGGGTCACCGCTCCAGCGATTCTCCAATCAAGAATTGATGGTCGGTGTTTCTTTTCAGATCGTATATAAGGTGAACCTCCGTTATAACCCTTTGTGCTCAATCGACCTCTCATATAACGAAGTTCAGAATCTTCCATATCGGCTAAATGGTTAACCTTTAACTTGTAGTTGACATTTCGTCGATTATGTGATTCAATGAAACGATGATTGTGTCGGAAAGAGTTTCTTTTCTTTTCCTCGGTCAATGAGTTTTCGTAATTTTTATTATGAGTCGCCTTGAATGATTCGAAAGCTTTGGTCACTTGTGATTCTCGTTTATCCTCATCGGCGATAAATTCGGACATTGGATTGTGAAGATGAGCAATTTTACCAGCACCAGGTCCAGGGAAAGAGCCACAGGTCATGTTAATCGTCAATTCGAAGGCTGAACTTGAGACTGATTGAGGTCGATAATTTTTATAAGACACTTGGTATCGATCGTAATGTGAACCAAACAACGAATTGTATCCTTCCATATCGTAGTGGACTGGAATGGGTGACCCATTGGTCTGATCGCGTTTCAACCAAAAAGTATATTTACTTTTCTTTTCCCCGTTAACAATCGTGTAAGAATATTTTTCACAGGTCTCACTTCCCTTTAATTGTGAATCAAATTGTGGACAATTATCATTTCCTTGATAATTGAATGGACTTAAATCGGGTAAAGCTGATTGAGGTCTAACGGGATCGAGTGACGAACCATTTACTTGGAAGCAAACTCGACCTGGATTACCTGATGAGTCCACATTGTAAGCGATCTTGTAGCTTATACCTTCCAGATCATCGGCTTCCGAGTTGACATCCCACGTTGAAGGGTCAACACCAGGTCACCATAATAATCAATTCGACTTCGATTACCTTGACCATCGTAATAAGCGGTAAATGTTTCATGGATTTCAGCGTATGGAAGGACAATTACACCTTCGACATAATAATTATCATCAAAGGTCACAGATCGTGATTGATGAGTACCAGAGATCGATGAACATGTTACCAGGCTCACGGAAATTAAACTTAAAACAGCAATTAGTAAATTAGACATGATTAACAATTGAACTAAAATAATGAACAAACTAATCAACAACGACGAAATGATTTTCCTTTAAATAAGATGATTAGTTTTGTTTTCACTTGATCTTTTCCTCTGTTTATCTTTGTCTTTTGTCATCATCATCTTATCATCCTAATTATGATTTGTTTTTGTTCAAATATTAACAATTAACTTTTCTAATTAGATTCTGATCACAATCAAAAGTCACAATCAACTCTTTATGTCTTCCAAGTGAATACCTTTTGTTTATTCATTTATACATACAAAACAATTTCCTCTTACAAACAATACAATTGATGTTTCATCATATTCACAATTAGTTAATTGATTGATTGTTTATCATCAACATTTGATGATTTAATTGATTCTTATGAACTATAATTAACTGTTTGATCATGTTAATTGTATGATTGCCTTTTGTTTTAATCTATTGTTTCAATAGAAGTAACTTTTTAAGATGATTTAGATTATCATTAAATGAGATTACTAAACATAAATTGTTTTCAATTGTTTATTGTTATTAATTAGTTAATTGATTGTTAGATTAAAATGAAAATCACTAGAGAGATAATTATGATATTAAAATAAGTGTTGACTTAATTTTCAAGACAATTAGATTGAATTATGAACAGAATAATTATCAAAAGATGATAATGATCAATTAAATTGCAAAGACAAATATTTGATTCCAAAGTTAATTGTTCCAATCAAATTGACCAATCAAACTCCAAGAGATTAATTAATTGTTTCAATCTTCGAATATCAGAAATGAAAGAAACTCTATCACTCAGATACCCAAACTACAATTTAAATCTTTTTTCCATCAATTTATAAAAAAAATACGATTAATCAATTAAAATTGGAATAATTAATTTCGAAAGTGATTCAATTAATAAAAACGAAAATTAATTCGTAATTAGTTTAAATTCTACTCACTAGATGGAGTAACTTTCGAATTCCGCTTTTAGCGGCCTCTTGTTGCGAAAAAAAGAACTAAAACTGTAGAATAATTTTTTATTCTAAAATTTTTCATTCGGTTTATTTTTCCTTTGAGAGAGAAACAAGTTTTTTTTTAAATTTTTCTCTTTAATCTTTTTGATTAATCAATTGTTTTACTTCGGAAAGTTAATTGTTACTTTTTTGCTTATGTTTTTTACCATTGATTAGTGTTTTAACATAATCGTTTTGTTTGTTTCCTTACACCATGAGAAGATGAAGATACCATAATATTATTTGTTCAATGCTCTTGGATGGTGTTAACAATCAATATCTTATTGGAAACGGTTTTCCATTTTATTACAAACCGTTGGTAATTTTAGTTTATATTGTTAACCATTTAATTTAATTGGTTTATTTCTTCTTCTCTAAAATCCATGTTAAAATGAATCTATTGGGTTCTAGACATCAGTTTAATACTGATTCTAATTGTTTGAGAAAAAGTATCCCTACCAATAACAATATCAATATCAACAATAATAATAATGTTGATGATGTTATTTTTAGTGATAATAAATATAAATTTACTAGTGATCAAGCTGTGATACCCAAAGGAACCATCACCGGTAATATTGAAAGTGATATCGTTATGGTGACTTACACTTTTAACGGTAGTTCAACTAATTCATCAACATCAACCTTAACAACGACAACAACAACTTCAACAATTAAAGGTTCAATCAGTGGTTCAACATTACCAATGAGATTACGGATAACCGGTGATCAGTTGATTCTTTTACGTAAAGAAAGTGATATTATTGATAATGACGATGATGATGATGGTTTATTGTCAATCAATAATGTTAATTCAAATGATTCTGGTTTTATGATTCAATTTAATTTATCTAAAACTGGTACTGGAATTGGTCGTCGTCAAATTGAAGAGTATCGAACAGTTAAATTGGTTCGTGAGAAATCAGTTGGTTTTGGATTAAGTATCAAAGGTGGATGTGAACATGGTTTACCAATTTTAATCTCTGGATTAACTCGAGAAGGTCCTGCTGATAGGAGTCGACAATTGTTTATCGGTGATGCCATTGTTAGGATAGATAATGTTACCCTTTCATTGACCACAACAACCCACGAGGAAGCAATCAGATTATTGAAACAGGCTGGACATGAGGTTAATTTAACGGTAAAACATTTCAAGATGGTCTCACCTTTCCTAACCAAATGTTGGAGAAAAAGAGAGACCTTGGATAACGAGGCGGGAAACCTTATGGCCTCAACCATTACCACCACCACCACCGCCAAAAATAATAATGGTACAACCAGTAGACAGGAAAAGGGGAAAAAACCTTTACAAGATGATTGTGATTCGAATATAACCAAAACCAATGTAAACGGATCATCTGGTAAACTTGGCTCATCTTCATCATCCAATGATAGTGTTAATAATAATAACATTAAAAGCGATAATAATAATAATTATGGTAAAGAAAAGGGCAAAGTGAAAAAGGAGGTAAATGTTAACCATGAAAAAGAATCAGAAATTGACAATTGGATTCCATTAATATCAATTGACCTTGGAAACTGTTTCATAACCAAATATATTCATGATAGTGATAAAATCCGACCACAAAGTTTTGAGATTAGATGGTTAACCAATTTTTATGGACATTCTAACCGTTCAAACTCATGCTTTCCATCATCATCAACATCATCCTCCTCTTCATCTACTTCATCAACCTCTGGAACATCATCTTCATCTTCATCTACAACCTCATTATCTACACCCAAATCAACTGATTCGGGTGTTGGTGTTGGCATTAAATGTGCCAGTAACAGTACAATCACATCTATGGGAAATTTCAAGGAACCATCATCTCTAATTGGAGGTGGTGGTAGATCGAGTAAAACTTATTCCTCAGCCATAGTCATTTGTAATAATCAACAAATTTACTCTCAATTGTTTGCAAATATTGAGAAAAGTGTTAAAAGTGTGACAACCCATCAAATGGTCACATTAAATGAACATTTACCTGTAAACGATAAAATCTTATTCATGGGCTGGATTAATCAAGGTTTACCAACGTCATCAAGTGAACCACATCGCCCCTGTTATCATTGGTATACACGATACCTTGTAATTAAAGGTGGCGATGCCCTAATTTACATTAAACCCCCTCAAGGTCTTTTATTTACTCCAAATGATAATAATTCATCTACCACTAAAACAACAACAACAACCCCAACCACCTCTTCCTCATCCACCTCCTCATCTTCCCACCCCTCTACCACTAATACCATTAGGTGGTCCGAGGGTCAACCTTACCTTTTCAAGGCTCATCAATCAGTATTACGATGTCTCAACCCAAATGAATATGTCGATGAGAGAGAAAATTGTTTTCTTCTACTATCTTGTGATACAAATTATTCATCATCAGCTACAAAATCACCTTTAACTTCAAAACACAAAACATCATCATCATCATCATCAACAACAACAACAGATCATCATCCTGATGGTGAGAAATCTGATCTGACAAATAATCCAATTGTAACCGAGACATCAAATGAATCAACAACAACGGCAACTGTTTGTTACTTTTCAGTTGAAACACCAAGTGAATTAGCACTTATTAGAAACAATTGGAATCGTGCAACTTACCAATCTGTCACACAATTAAGGGTTTGTATCATTTAATATACTTTTTTTTTGTTATTATTATTTATTTCATTTCTCTTGCATTGTTTTTCTGCATCATCATGTTGTTGTTTATCACAATGTGCAAGGATGATGATGATTACCATTAACACTTTTTAACAACGAAAGCATGAAAAACATTGACAACAATTTCATTTCAATTGTCATCATTTTTCATGCAATCATAATGATAATTGAGTTAAATGAAGCAGATCTCATTAGATTGAATGTTAAATTGGTTTCTAAGGTAATTAGTTACAGATTAAATTCTTATCTGTTTTCTTTTGTTATTAATGCTTCTGTTGCTATTGCTGATGAATGATGAAGATGATGATGTTTTTACTATTTAATTTGATACAATCTGATTAAATATCAAAGATCAGATCATCATCATGGTTTTCTTTGTATCTTCTTTTACAGGTATCTCTTGATTATCATCTTTGAGCTTGTTGTATAATCAATTCGAATCTATTATTTTCTCTCTCTCTCTCTCTCTCTCTCTCCAGCATCTCTATTAATTAACAGATCAATCAGCTGAATCATGATTTCTTTTACCTTTTGATTACCTGTTACAAGTTTACCATCTAACTTACATTAATTTCATTTCATCCCATTGATCTTTATCATCTCTTACCATTTCTCCTTTTTTTCTTATCATCTTTTGCTCTCATCATCCTCTTCTGATAACCACTTTTAATAAATAATAATAACCTAACCCATACTTTCATCCATCAAACATGAAGATGATCATCTTCATGATAGTAATGATGATTCCTATTTTTCCCTTTCATTTTAACAGAAGTTTTTACGTTTCTTTTCATGGCCATTGTCTTTTACAATTAATTCAATGAATAGTTATCGTTACTCATGTTTAGTTGATATTATATTTACCATTCAACTTGTTCACCTTGAAATTCAAGGAGATGAGAGAGAGAGAGAGAGAGACAATGATGATCCATGTTGTTGTTGTTGCCTTTCACTCTCTCATCTTCATCCCTTCCCATTTCACGTTCACCCCTTTTTTTCCAGTTTCAAAGGTAATTCATGTAATAGTAAAAGTAGATTGCAAATTTTTCTGAACTTTCTTCAATCATGTTACCATGTTAATCATGATAATTTGCTCACAATTGATTCAATAGACTTTAGAAAGAAAGTTTTTTTTTCTCTTCTCATCAGTTATATTTACATTTACCTTTTTTGCTTTTTTGTTATTCAATTGATGAACTTTCAAGGAGAATTTTTTTCTTATATTATATTACATGAATTATTTTTACAATGTCATCTTCTTACTGAATAATAATAACTTATAATCTCATTGAATAATCATTTTAATTGCTTAGATTGTCATGACTTTTGCATTCAATTGGATTCCATTCAATTGAACCAGAAACAAAAATCATATTCATATTCAAATTTAGAAGCTTAAAAATAGACACAATGTCAAACAATTTATCTTTTCAATAAACCAATATGTTTAACTTAATTTCACCATATCTTGGTCATCTTGTTGATCGTCATCAGCAAATGACTTAATTAAGGACATAATTAATTAATCAATAGCCTTAAGATTAACAATGAGTGTATTTACCTTACCTAAAGATATAAACTTATTGTTTACCTTAATGGAAACTGAATCAATATTTTCAATCTAAATTGAGACGTATTAATATTTTGATTGTAATTTGCTGAAATACTTTATTATTTTTAATAACAAGTAATTTAAATAAGTCATCAAATTACAATTTAATCGAGTAATCAATTTTGATCGTACATTTATTATTATTTTCCAACCTCTGATCTCTCAGCTGGAGAAAACGGAAATTTAATTTAATTTAATTTAATTTATCTACTTACCGTTTATTAGCTTACTTTTTAATTAGTAACAATTACACCCATAAGATTTTACCATAATTAAGATTATTAAAAGATGATTAAGAGATTAAATTAATGTTTCAACCTCTTTTCATTGATGATGGTTGATAATTATGTTTGTCTGAAGATCATCTTAATTACTATTCAACTTTTTTTTAAAAAAAAGTCTGCATCAATGAACCTCATCTACTATAAAATGAAAAATGATGATGATGATAAGATTTTTAATTTCACTTTATTTACAATAATTAAAGTGTGTTACCTTGATCATCATTTTTTTCCTTCTTGATTTCATGTTGTTTATTTTATCCTCATCTTTGAATATATTTAAATTGATCTTATGTTGTATTTGATTATCATCATCATCATTATTATTATTATTATTTAAGAAAAGGTTATAATCTTATACATATCTAAGATTATATTGATGCTAAGTTATCATCATCTCGATTCAACATCATTAAAAGTCTATTTTTATTGATGCTTTTAAAAGCCCAAAGGCCTCATCATCATCTTCCATCAACCTTTTTATCTTCATCTTTTTCTTCCTTATTTCTCATAGAAAAAAAAGAAAACTTTTTCTTCCATGTTACACTTTTTTCTCTCTCATCTCATTTTCTTGCTCTGGTAACTTTTTATCGTCATCTTCCTATTTAGCTCCTCTCTCTCTCTCTCACTCTTTCTACTTACTATTTTTTGAGGTCACTGACCAAAACTAATTGCAAATAAATATGCATCTACATATGCAATGCAATATATCATTGCAAAGGTATTGCAATAACCTTTGAACCTTTTCCACCCTACAACCCAACCACCTCCACCTTATTTTCCCTCCTCTTACTCCTCCCTCTCTGGTCCACCTTGTAAACTAGTGTATTTGCTGCTACCTGATCCAATGATACCCAAGAATGTCAATCCAAAGTATTGCCTTATAATCAACAACAACAACAACAATAAACCACAATAATAACATTAAACCTTGTCCAACTTTGATTGTATTAATTTCAATCCATTATTATCATTGTAACTATTGTTACAATCACATTCTGTCAATGTTAATTCACTCAATTCTCAAAGTATTTCCATTTAATTATCATTACCATCATATCTCATAGTGATTTAGATTATTATGTCTAATTTACAATCAAAATCGTTTGAAAAAAAGTTCAAATTTTTTTTCTTCTCTTTTTCAATCAAACATATGATTGATTAAAGACATATTCATGTTATCCAAATGATGAATTTATTCAATTTTTTCAGGTTATCTTTTCAACTTAGTCATCATCGCCTTTTTAAATGAAATGATTATTTCAAAGTTAATCCATGATTCTGTCATAATCTCCACTTAACCTTAATCCTCCTTGTAAGATCAAGAAGTAAAATGATACACATATACGATCCAAAATTAAGATAGAAATTAAATCAACAACTTTTTACAAGTTTAAATACCATTTCATTTGTATTATGAAAGTAATCAAATTGAAATAATTAGTTTTTTAATCATCGATACAATTGGTCAGTTAATTGTTAGACTAAGTTTTTTTTCTCAATCAAATCTAAATTGTTGATGATTGTTCATTGATTAGAATCCGGTTCTTATCATGGTTAGTTATCAGCAAAAAAAAACAAGAAAGTAAATAAAACCACGTTTGACTCTACCTGACCTGACCCTTGACAATTAATTAATTACACTTTTATATTAACTTTCAATGTTTACCTTTACCCTAAATTATTCAACGATCATCTTAATTGTTCAGTTAACTTCAACAGACTCTAGTTTTTTTTTCAGACAATTAAATTCATAATGATAGTAAATCTTCATACAAATCAAATTGTATACCAATTAGTTAATTGTTGTCTCAAGCCAAGTATTATATTTGATTAAATAATAAAAGTGTACGTGCTACTGGTATTTTAATCAACTAACTGTTAATGTTTAAATTGTGGTTAAACCAAGCAAACAATTCATTTATCTCAACACTTGATAATGGAAAAAAACAGTTAACCTAATAGGATGTCAATCGCATCCTCATCACCTTCCTCATCCCAATGATTAGGCCAAAAACAGTAGCTGTTAATATTTAATTTGTTTGGTTAATCAGATGATCCTTAACAAATTTACTCAAACAGATCAACATCCTTGTCTTGCAATCAATTGAATCTTGAGGATGATGAGATTCAAGTAAAACTTGCTGTTTCCTTTTCATCCTCATCATTATCATCATCTTCATAGTTACCAATCGTGTCTCTCTCTACCTGTTGTTGTTTTTGATATTGACTGTAGATGTGTAAACAATTTGGAAAACTATTTAAAATTCAATTGGAAACTAACTTTTTTTCCATCCTCTCAGTACATTTAATCATCACCATGATCAACATCAACACCATCATTATCATCTTCATCATCCAAATCTCCTTTCCTTATTTTTTTTCATCATTTGTCAACCGGAAAGATGTTGTTGTTGTTATTGTCACTTGTTACTCCATCATCATGAAAGGGAGAGAGTTAAAGATAACAACAAAAAGATACCAAGAAAGCAAAAAATGAAAGAAAATGAATATTCATCAACTTTTCTCAAAGTTAACATGATAATTTATTTCAAAATTCATGAATGAATTTGTAATAGGAAACCTTAATTATTTGATTACAATCAACAACAAACAAAATTGAAAGCAAAACAATCAACTTGAACACATTGAACCATTTCTAGATCATCTTGATAATAAATATCATTTTGCTGTTGTTTGTTAATGTTAAATAAATTAACTCACAATTGAAATTTTCGAAACATCTCAATGAGACAATGATAAATGTTAATTGTTCAACTTGATTGAAGTTAATTACATCAATCCAACCATATTAGGAACCAACTCGTTTGCTCATATTTGACCAAAGACATTGAAACATTAATAAAAGTCCTTTGTCCACCTTCACAAATTAAAACATTTAACTTGTCAGGTAATCAAAGGTAAACCAAGATAAAAGTTCAGGTAGAAAAAGAAATCATATTTGAACTTTTTTTTTATCAATTGTTTGACCATTTCAAATACTCTTGTTAATGCTTCCAATCATGTGTGTCTCTATCATTTTTTTTATCATCATTCTCATCATT